ATCTATGTATTGGCGTGTCCAGTTGGATCAATACTCTGTCTGTACAGTGGCAGTGGTTCTATTTACAATCAAACAAGCAGGATATGACATCATACGTCCCAGAATTCATATCCAGTCTTGATAAAAAAAATACCATAAAACAGCTTGTATCATGTGATGTTGATAAACTGTACAATAAAAGCCATGCCATAAAATATAGGTTGTAAATATCCGGCAGTGTGTCAGGCTTATCAAGAGACTTGGCAAGGGGAGGCTTCTAGTGTGATAGGACATGTACGTGTGTGTATGCTAGTTATGGTGGTTTAACCAGATCTGGTGTTCATTCAGGCATGACATGTATATAGAGGCATAAAACTGTCGTCTGCTCTCAATATAAATACCACTAACCATAGATTTGATCAAAGTGATCTAATACAACAGAACGAACATAACAATAGCCAGGCCATTAAGTACTACTAGCCATACACAATCAGGGTGACAGTTAAACCCGGCCTTATGCTTGTTTTCATGTGGGAGTATTGTTCATTTAAATCTACATAAACACATTTGTGAATCAAATGTAATCTATAGGTTATATAGTTTACCTGAGACAGGTATACAGACATGTGTCCCCTCATAAATACCAGGAGTGTCTAGTACTGTATGATGTGGGCGACATGGTCAGATTACTCTCATTTCCATATCAACAAGAAGAAAATGAAAATTTAAAACAAGTTCTCCAATGTCAATGCATATTTTCCTAACAAGGGCAGACCTTTTCCTAACCTCGCTCATCAAACATAACTTCAACACACAGGCACAATTAAAATGCTAGCAGTGAGACTAATTCATATCTCAATATTACCAGTTTCTACAGATCTGTGTCATTCATCTCATCCTAAATTCTTTTAAAATGTGTGAATATTCTATCTAGTTAATTTGCTAGTTTTTGAACGAGGTCAGTAAAATATGAACTCTATCACAGCTATCTAGATACACTGATTCTTATAACACTATAATTACTGTTATCACTATATAATTATTCTTATATCCCAAAATATTCAACAAGATACAATAATTACAAATGAAGCAGAATTTTATCTCGGTTCATTTTAAAACACGCTGATTTCAAATGACAATACTCTCATGTAAACAGTATCCAAACCGACATGTTCTATTTTCTTGTCTAGTGTCTACAGAGTTATCCCCCTTGTTGTGCAACGAAAATTTACATGGTTGTGATTCTGTTCTGTGCCATGGTCCATGTCAGTCATATCAACATACACTTAAGCAGCTTGTTTTAAAATGGTTTCTGATATGGTATTATCAGCAACTGCCAAAGCAGTTTGATTTTATCAAATGTGTGACATTTTTTGCAAAATTCTGCTTTGCCTTCAGCTGTTTTTTGACAACAGTAATGCTTGAAAGACATATTCATAATGCAAAATGAAAAAGGCTGCTTGAAATCACAATAAATTAAAATAAAAAATTCTAACAAACATCTCTGAAAATGATTTTGATTAATATGCCTGTCACACTTTAATTCAATTTTGACTGAATTTCTGTAATTTAAAAAAAAAAGGGAGAATTAAATAATTTCCCTTGATCATATCTGTAAGTAATATCAGATGTCAACCTAACCAAATCATACATATCTAATGGTGGACTATACAACCATGTTTTCTATGTAACTGTAGACTGCTATATACCAAGGCATAGAAATGTATTTTTATACCAACAGATTGTATCGCAATAGATTCATTATATAACACTGAATTAATAGCAGTGGGCACCAGGCCATTTTCGTGGACAAAAGTGATCCATTTCACTAGCAAGAAAAGCATACTATAACACTCTACATACATTACTTTTATACAATACCTGTATACTTAAATATCACGATGGAACGTACAACAAAGTACATAAAGATAAACCACTTCTATTATACATTAAGGCACACAATTTACTCAAGGCCTCACATATTGTGCCTGCATCAGCATGGAAGTTGATATGTGGTGGACAAGTTTGCTCTGCCAATCTGTCCTGTGTATTAGAGTTTTCAATACTGGTCCTTAATGGTATAGTCAAAGGTTCTCAATCTTATCACAGTGACCCTCCACATACACAGGGTCCTCAGATAAAACATAAAATAGCCCTTTACATAAACAAGATCCTCAGATGTACTACAATCTACATATATAGGGTTCTCAGTCATCTTTCAATGACCCTGTATATACATAGGGTCCTCAGTCATCTTAAAATAACCCCCTACATACAAAGGATCCTCAGTAATATTACAATAACCCTTTACAAATATAGGGCTCTCAGTCATCAGGGTCCTCAGTCATATTACAATAACCCTGTATATACAAAGGGTCCTCAGTCATCTTAAAATAACCCCCTACATACAAAGGATCCTCAGTAATATTACAATAACCCTTTACAAATATAGGGCTCTCAGTCATCAGGGTCCTCAGTCATATTACAATGACCCTGTATATACAAAGGGTCCTCAGTCATCTTAAAATAACCCCCTACATACAAAGGATCCTCAGTAATATTACAATAACCCTTTACAAATATAGGGTTTTCAGTCATCTGGGTCCTCAGTCATATTACAATAACCCTGTATATACACAGGGTCCTTAGTCATCTCACAATAACCCTCTACATATATAGGGTTCTCAGTCATCTCACAATAACCCTCTACAAATGCTTGCACCTGTAGCTACGTATCATGCTCCGTTTTTGACACCCAATATATATTTATTTCTCTGACAACTTCTAGTTAATGGATAAATTGAGTAATCCCTGAAAAAAAAATCCTACTTTTTTCTTTACAATAAAATTGCTTCGATAAAGACACTGTGTATACTAATTTAAGAAAATGAAGTAAAAATGTCACAAAAAGATTAATCCACAGATTAATAGTGAATTTTCCTGGATCTTTACTCTATTCCTCCATGTCCAATATATTGTATCCTTTGCTATATAACATATCCCATCAATGTTTATATACTAGTTCTGTACAATCAAGTTTCCCTTGGTTTAGCTCTCAACTGAATAAAAGTAGAGAAAATCTTGTGGAATACAAACTTTCAGATGTACCCCACTCCTGAACAAATACATAATATAACCTCAGGATGATTAGCGAACATTATATACATCTGCCGAAAACTTGAAACATATTCAAATCTACCTAATCCAATATTAAGGTCCATAACTCTGCATTATTAGTCTGTTTATCAAACAATCAGACCTCACCTCATTATCTGGACTACTAACTAAACATTTCTTGAAATTTATGAAGCTTGAGGACAAAAGCCCAGGGAAAAATTACTTTAAACGTAATTAATTTGTTACAAATCAGGATAACTAGTAAGGTAATTATCACTTTTTGATAAACCCCTACAATGATGAATTGGCACACCACAACAGAGACCGCATTTAGTGCAAACATATATCAATACTTTCACTACAAAAAGCACAAATATCAGATTATCTCGAAAATGTGTGCATTTACAAAGGACAGGAATCTGACCAGCATATTCTCATCATATAACTCATCTCCACATTAGCAGTGCAATATCTACATGGAGTTTTGGATTTGAAACTCACAATTTTTCTAAATTTCTAATTTAATCTAAAATCATATAAAGAGAAATAAACTATAAGCAATTTTATTGCGTTTTCTCATTCTAAAACTACATACCAATTTCAGTCCAATATTTCCATCTGTCAAAACATTAATGAGCAGAAACCAAATTATGACAGAACATTGGATTGAATGACAGAATGACTGCTAGGTACAACACTATAATGTCTTAGCTATTTTAAACCATGGACAAGCATAGGATTTGCCAGTTATTGTATGACACACTATATCAGTTTTTGTACAGCTGAAAACATCATCCTTCTATACCATTATACATACGATTTTAATATCAAAATTTTGTGTCCGCTGGAGCATGGCATTTCATAGCCCAATAAACATACCCTATTATTCAGGGGGGACTTTAATCTACAATGTGAACAGTACAAGCACTGTTTGTGAAGTTTTTACATATAAACTGCCATTATGTATGGTAACTTACTTATCTTGTGACCAAATTTTTTGAATTCTGTCTATGGTACTTGAGAGGGGGTTTCTGCACAAAAAGCCAGGTAACATACACATAGCTATTTTTACTGAGATAATTAACATACAGACCAAGTCATCACTTGTATATTCTATTTCCAACCCGCCAGGCTTAATCAACAGGTACAGAATACAATATATAAGTACCGCCGGACTTTATCAACAGGTACAGAATACAATATATAAGTACCGCCTGACTTTATCAACAGGTACAGAATACAATATATAAGTACCGCCTGACTTTATCAACAGGTACAGAATACAATATATAAGTACCGCCGGACTTTATCAACAGGTACAGAATACAATATATAAGTACCGCCTGACTTTATCAACAGGTACAGAATACAATATATAACTAACTACAGGTTCAACATACAATGTATTTAAACTCTGGATGACCACATACACCTATGAGCACAGTAGTACATAGTGTGTTTCTCTTATCATTGACAATGACCATGCAGCATGATGTTGCATAAGGATATATGCTGTAATCTCATCAACAGAGATTACAATGGTCACCAATTCGCAGACTACTCAGAAAAACTTTCTATTATAAATTTCTTTATAAATAATCTGAGACATTTATAGAACAAAAAAAGATACTTTCAAGAATGGAATTAAATTGATACCAAGTTGTCAATTCATTTTTCATCAACTCATACCTAGAGATTAATCTATTTTTTTATCTAAGTTTTCAACTCACAAATTTACTTTTCTTCCTCGTTAGCTGTAAATCTATCAGAAATGTAATTAATTATCAAAAGTTTCTCTATTAAAGTATATATGAAATATCTACTTACTTGTATCTTTTCAGGAATCACGGCGGTATGACTGCCACCATTCACAACATGTGTGACACACTCATCATAACACTTACCTTGCTTTGGCTCAGCTGGCGTCGTTACAGCAGCTGTAGGTGGCCCAGGAGTCACATCAGCTGATGATGCTGAGGACAGAACTTTTGTCTTTGGCTTCACAGCTTCTGCTGACTTCAAAGGTTTGTGTGTGAAGGTCACTGAGCTTACATACTTCTCGGACTGTTCCCCCTCTGATTCTGTGGAGTCTTCTGTGGTCATCAGAGCTGGTATTTCTGATTCTGCTTCACTGTTGTCACTGACCTTGGTACTGACCTGTGTGACCTTAGGCTTATCTTCTACAATTTTGTCATCTGACACTTTGATCTGTTCCAGCCTAACAGTCTGATCTCCACTAGACTTAGACTCAAGAACCACAATTTCCTTCTCTTTTTTCTCAGTTTCTTTTGTTTTTTCGCTAGAAATTGTTTTGACAGAGACTGAAGATGTAACCTGCTGATTCTCTGCAGGAGAAGCCACATTTGACATTTGAGGAACAGAAAATGGTGCGGTTTTCTTTTGCTGAGCAGAGACAGGAACTGCTTTTTGCTGAGCTGAGACAGGAACTGCTTTTTGCTGTGGAATAGTGGCTACTTTTTTCTGTTGATCTTGCCTGCCCTGTGTTATGCCTAGTTTGACCTCAGTGACTGATTTCCTTAATGGTTCCACTTCAGATGCATTGGCAGGACGTTTGAAATTGCGTATTTCACTAAGCATCTGTTCTCGAGGGTCCACTGGTTGATTAATAGGGGGCCGGCTGTACTTAGAAGGTTGGGAAACTTTTTTGAGAGTAGGAGCGACAGGTGCTTCTGGTATTTTCTTGGTTTCTGATGACTCTTGCACACTACTTGTTACTGATTTAGTACCACTTGACACTGTCTTTGAGACAGTTGTTGTGGATTTGGTGACAACACTTGTTACTATAGATTTACTACTAGAACTTGTTACCGAGATAACCGTCTTATCACTGTTAGGTTTAACAACTCCGGAAGTGTTGGAGGTTGTAGACCTAGCTGCTGCACCATTTGTTATAACCTTGGGCATGTTCACTACAGATTTCCTCTCTAGATTTTGTACAGTGTTTTTAACACCAACGTTTAAGATGGAAGTGCTCTTAGCACCATCAGACGAGCTAGTAACAGGAGTAGTATTTTTTACTGGAGTAATCCCGACGGATTTGGTTGAGGATGTTTTTGCAGTAGAAGAGGTGCTGTTGGTCAGTGAGGTTACTGGAGGGCTGACAGTAGTCTTTACCACTGAGGACACGGAAGTGGAGACTGTACTGGTATCACTAACGCAGTTGGCTGTCGATACCTTACTGCCCGAGTGACCATTACTTGGCATTTTACCATTGTTTACTATGGGTTGTAAGATAACTGGTTTCTTAGGTCCTGTGTTTTGTGTGGTTGTTTTAGCATCAAATCCACTCTTGATGTTCTCGCCCTCTGTGGCTGATATCTTCGCAGAGTGTCGTCGTTGGACGTTGTTTCCTGAACTACCCTCCTTTTGCTCGACATTGGAACTGTGGCGCTGAACTCCAGGTGGAGCAGGTGCAGGGGTCTTCACATGTTGGTTTCCTTGCTGTAATAACACAAACATAGACAATAAAATTAAGACAAAAAGGATTTCACAGGCTACATATCATACATTGACAAGAAGTAGCATCTTTCTAGTTACAAACAAAACAGTAAAAATTAATTGGAATGAAAGCTTAAAGGGAAATTATGTGATGTTGTCTAAAGTGAAATATTATCAAAAGGGACAAATGTTTTAGCATCTTTTTTAAATCAACAAATTCTAGATGATAAACTGGCAAAATATTTATCTTGTGTATAAGAGACGGAGAAAAAAAAGAGAAAAAACTTCTCAACATCACTGTCTTCTTAATAGATATGCATCGCTGATATCCCTCTCTTAATGAATAAAAACCTGAGTTTGTATACCTACCCGTGGTGACCCCTATCACAGCTATTACTTAGGTAAGGATACCAGCACAAGACATTCTGATTGGTCAGAAGACCTGTTGACACACTGATAGTTTGGGGCTCTACAGGGAGATTGCTGAGGTGATACTGTTCACCAGCTGTTGTCTTACAAACAGGCTAATTACATTGAAGCTTCTGAACTAGTGGAAGTATAGGGGCAATGTGTTAGCTCTCTGATCATTTGCCAAATACACAACATATAGACATGTCATAACTGATTACTTTACATTCCTGTAACAAAAGGTCCAGAGGGTCTTCATTACCCACATATTCAGCATACGTGACAAAATATTCTGATTAACACTCATGTTACAAATATACCTTCTATCTACCTTGCAGTTCTGCCTCTAAATACCAAGACAGGTAAAACTTTTCTTTCAAATTCTTTACCAGATAACTGTTCCTTGGACCTAATTTGTGGAATGTTACTACAGTTTACAGCATCATAGTGTTTCTTGGACCTGATTGGTAGCATCTTAAAGCTGTTTACAGCATCATACTGTTTCTCGGACCTGATTGGTAGGATCTTAAACAGTTTACAGCATCATAGTGTTTCTTGGACCTGATTGGTAGGATCTTAAAGCTGTTTACAGCATCATAGTGTTTCTCGGACCTGATTGGTAGGATCTTAAAGCTGTTTACAGCATCATAGTGTTTCTTGGACCTGATTGGTAGGATCTTAAACAGTTTACAGCATCATAGTGTTTCTTGGACCTGATTGGTAGGATCTTAAACAGTTTACAGCATCATAGTGTTTCTTGGACCTGATTGGTAGGATCTTAAACAGTTTACAGCATCATAGTGTTTCTTGGACCTGATTGGTAGGATCTTAAAGCTGTTTACAGCATCATAGTGTTTCTCGGACCTGATTGGTAGGATCTTAAACAGTTTACAGCATCATAGTGTTTCTTGGACCTGATTGGTAGGATCTTAAACAGTTTACAGCATCATAGTGTTTCTTGGACCTGATTGGTAGGATCTTAAACAGTTTACAGCATCATAGTGTTTCTTGGACCTGATTGGTAGGATCTTAAAGCTGTTTACAGCGTCATAGTGTTTCTCGGACCTGATTGGTAGGATCTTAAACAGTTTACAGCATCATAGTGTTTCTTGGACCTGATTGGTAGGATCTTAAACAGTTTACAGCATCATAGTGTTTCTTGGACCTGATTGGTAGGATACTTAAACAGTTTACAGCATCATAGTGTTTCTTGGACCTGATTGGTAGGATACTTAAACAGTTTACAGCATCATAGTGTTTCTTGGACCTGATTGGTAGGATCTTAAACAGTTTACAGCATCATAGTGTTTCTTGGACCTGATTGGTAGGATCTTAAACAGTTTACAGCATCATAGTGTTTCTTGGACCTGATTGGTAGGATCTTAAACAGTTTACAGCATCATAGTGTTTCTTGGACCTGATTGGTAGGATCTTAAACAGTTTACAGCATCATAGTGTTTCTTGGACCTGATTGGTAGGATCTTAAAGCTGTTTACAGCGTCATAGTGTTTCTCGGACCTGATTGGTAGGATCTTAAACAGTTTACAGCATCATAGTGTTTCTTGGACCTGATTGGTAGGATCTTAAACAGTTTACAGCATCATAGTGTTTCTTGGACCTGATTGGTAGGATACTTAAACAGTTTACAGCATCATAGTGTTTCTTGGACCTGATTGGTAGGATCTTAAACAGTTTACAGCATCATAGTGTTTCTTGGACCTGATTGGTAGGATACTTAAACAGTTTACAGCATCATAGTGTTTCTTGGACCTGATTGGTAGGATCTTAAACAGTTTACAGTCATTAAATTGTGCTATGATGCATAAAATTACTGGATATGAGAAAGCTCAGTTTAGAGACATTTCACTGAACTTCAGAGCAATATCTACCAGTATTTCATGGACATTATTTTGTGTAATTTCAATTTACAACATCATCAATATGATTTAAAACTTTATTTTCATATCATTCCAGTTTACATTGCCAAAAGGCCAGAAACATCTTTACCTGCTGGAAACACTTCATGCTGCGGTTCATGAGCATGGTGAGCCGGGTCTGAGAGGTATTCATTTCCTTAGAAATTTGTTTGTACTGACGTGAGTTCTTGTTCAGTGAAGCCAGTTGTGCACTCAGTGAGTTAAAGGTTGCCTGTTCGCGGCCCATCTCCTTCTGAAGCATGGAGATAGTGTCCAGCAGATTCTGCAACATGGAAATTTCATCATATTTACATTACATGGTATTGTCTGTATTCATAACTAGACATTGTATCATATACTATGTAGTCTGAAGACCATGTTCTATCATACCATACAACATCAACATTGTATCATATACTGTGTAGTCTGGAGACCATGTTCTACCATACAATACAACATCAACATTGTATCATATACTATGTAGTCTGGAGACCATGTTCTACCATACCATACAACATCAACATTGTATCATATACTGTGTAGTCTGGATACCATGTCCTACCATACAATACAACATAAACATTGTATCATATACTGTGTAGTCTGGAGACCATGTTCTACCATACAATACAACATCAACATTGTATCATATACTATGTAGTCTGGAGACCATGTTCTACCATACAATACAACATCAACATTGTATCATATACTATGTAGTCTGGATACCATGTCCTACCATACAATACAACATAAACATTGTATCATATACTATGTAGTCTGGAGACCATGTTCTATCATTACAATACATCATAAACATTGTATTATATACTATGTAGACCTTAAACCATGTTCAATACAACATAAACATTGTATCATATACTATGTAGTCTGGAGACCATGTTCTACCATACAATACAACATCAACATTGTATCATATACTATGTAGTCTGGAGACCATGTTCTACCATACAATACAACATAAACATTTTAATATATAATATGTGTAACTTAAACCATTATATACCATACAATACAACATAAACATTGTATCATATACTATGTAGTCTGGAGACCATGTTCTATCATTACAATACATCATAAACATTGTATTATATACTATGTAGACCTTAAACCATGTTCTACCATACAATACAACATAAACATTGTATCATATACTATGTAGACCTTAAACCATTTTCTACTGATGCAATGTCAATATCTTACAAAAAAATAACTAATTGACAAATAATCTACAAAACACACATGAGTTACCTACCTTGAGTGTCATCCCCTGTATGGACTTTTCAAACTCCCCGTCCCCACACTTGAGCAGCTGCCCCCCTTCCATCTGTGTACCACCTGACATCTGCAATACAAAATATCAAATCCAAAATTTCACAGAAAATTCACCAATAAAACGAGACTATTTACATCTTAACAAAATTCTGCAACATCTTTTCTGGATGTTTTGAGGTGCTCCTAAGATTTCAAGTATTAAATCAAATTACATACTTCAATTTTCTTATGAAGCCGATCTCAATTTACTTTATTACTTAAACTGGTTCAAACATCAACTAATTAAATTACACACAGATCTCACCAGGTCTCAGTTTCACCAACATTAAAATTTTGCCTGAAGCAATGCTGCCATCACAGATTACTTTGTAAGATAATACATAGATGCACATACCTAATGTAAGTACATAATTAATTTGATGATTTAAAACTGGGCCAAGTCATTATCAAATGTACATTGTATAAAAAATACAGTAAAAGTATTTGTTGTGCTGTATTGATATAAAATATGATAATTAAATAGGTCATTCTACCTCTCTATAGTGTGTCACCTGTGTATGGAGAACTACCTCTCTATAATGTGTCACCTGTGTATTGTGAACTACCTGTATATAGTGTGCCGCATGTGTATAATTAACTACCTCTCTATAGTGTCACCTGTGTATGGTGATCTACCTCTATAGTGTGTCACCTGTATATTGTGAACTACCTGTATAACACCTCTATGAAGTGAACTCCCTCTCTATTGTGTCACCTGTGTATAGTGAACTACCTGTATAACACCTCTGTGAAGTGAACTACCTCTAGGGAGGCTAACATAGTGCCTACATTGTGTAATGTTAAACTGATACAGTTCACACTCTTCTTTAGTGTGTACATGTTAGATGTGCCAAGTTTCATCAAAAGACATGAATCATATCTCTGGTTATAAAGACTGCTCTATGGTTTAAAAGTAACATTCATCAACAACACCCAGGGACAATTTAAACTACAGATAAATAAATTGTTTTACTATGTATAATTTCTGACTAGAGACTGATTTTAATGTAAGACATTAATTTCATCAAAAAATATGATGAGTTTCACTTTTAATACATTCATGAGTATTCTACTGATGATACAGTGTAATTCTGTATGAACTTTCAATGTTTTGTAGAAATTTTTGTTTCTAAACACAACAGCAGAAAATCCCTGCTGGGGTGATTAATTCAGCATATTAACACTTACCTTCTTTTTCTGATCTTTCTACAAACTATAAAGTCTCCTACACAGTAAACAGATATCTTTTTATATTTCTCATCCAAATCCAAGTTGATACAAGATAGAATCTTCCTTTCTTCAAATACAATTAACAATCAATCACTTAACTTTTTTCACATTTTAGTTTTTGTAATTGTTACAGATTTTGGATCTCGTACATCTTGTATACCAGCTGATGAATATAAACAAACCAGAGTAGGTGAAAACTGTACACAGGAAATTGATTTATTCCAAGTATATATGTACATACCAAAGAGTAAAGGCTCTCTAAATTTGCATAATTGAACAGCCAGAAAGGCTGATAAGTTGTATATATCCAGTTACACTGCAGATATGCATAAATATAGTGTGTTATACTGATAATTGTTATTGTGTACAGATAACAAAGGTCCATGATCAGCCAGTACTTTATTTATATACAAACATTTTTTCAAGCCTCAGGGTACTGTATACATAATTCTAAATCATTTTCATGATACATAATTAAATTGATATTCATTTACCCAAGCTCTACCAGTGTACAAACTTTATCTTTTAACAACAGTTGTGATACAAGTTACATCAATTTATAATATATATTTGTGATATAATAGCTCCTGTTGGCCAAGACAAATACATGAAGAGAGTAACTGTGTTAGAAAAATGCAATATACTTTGAATTTAATTGAACTGGAAAGTTACCTAGGGAAAACCATGTGTTGCCTAAACACATGGTTTTCCCTAAATAACTTTTAAAGTAGGTGACCTCAAACTTTAACCTTTCCACATTCCGTATGGACACATCCAGCCCTGGTAATCATTTCAAAATGTAAGAATGTTATCACTGCTGTTTTCCAAAAGCCCTAGTCTATTCATCTTCTCTGAATAACATTATGGGTGTCAGACATATCAGGATAGGTGGGCCAATTCCATAACGTACCCTTGGTAATCAACCTGGGTAATCAAACCTAGGTAATCGACTTAGGTAATCAAACCTAGGTAATCAACCTGGGTAATCGACTTAGGTAATCAACCTGGGTAATCAACCCTAGGTAATCGACTTAGATAATCAACCCCAGGTAATCAACCCCAGGTAATCAATCCAGGTAATCAAACTAGGTAATCAACCTGGGTAATAAACGCTAGGTAATCAACCTTAGGTAATCAACCCTAGGTAATCAATCTAGGTAATCAAACTAGGTAATAAACCCTAGGTAATCAACCTTAGGTAATCAACCTAGGTATTCAACCCCAGGTAATCAACCCTAGGTTATCAGCCTGGGTAATCAACATAGGTAATCAACCTGGGTAATCAACCTAGGTAATCAACCCTAGGTTATCAACCTGGGTAATCAACCTAGGTAACCAACCTAGCAGAGATGAAATTGGCTGGCATTGGAAAAGGCGGAAATCCGCCGATCGGCAGAAATTTTTCATCTCTGTTGTAATTCAACTATAGCTTTTAAACATTCTACTGATGTAAGAGTTATCTTCCTTCGTATTATCGATTTGACAATACCGCAAACTCGGTGCTCGTAACTGCTCGATGTTTAGTTTTACAGTTTATAAGGGCATATAAATCGAAGGATTTAAGAGCTGATGAAGATTAAAAATAAAATGCATAATCAAGACATACCTAACCCCCACCCCAGAAATTTTCTCACCGGATTTGCATCGATCTCAAAAATGGCCAAATTTGCCATGAAAAAGGCGGAAATGCGCTGATCGGTGGAAATTTTTCATCTCTGACCTAGGGAATCAACCTAGGTAATCAACCCCAGGTAATCAACCTAGGTAATCAACCTGGGTAATCAACCTAGGTATTCAACCCCAGGTAATCAACCTAGGTAATCAACACAGGTAATCAACCCCAGGTAATCAACCTAGGTAATCAACCCCAGATAATCAACCTTGGTAATCAACATAGGTAATCAACCCCAGGTAATCAACCTAGGTATTCAACCCCAGATAATCAACCTAGGTAATCAACATAGGTAATCAACCCCAGGTAATCAACCTAGGTAACCAACCCCAGATAATCAACCTAGGTAACCAACCTGGTAAATCAACTTGGGTTATCAACCTAGGTAATCAACTTGTTTACCTTGGATAGTGGATAATTTTAAAAGAATACCAAATAAAAATAATGCAGATGTTGCATGTTTAGTACCCTAAAGTTATGTTTAGTAGTTCCCACTTTTAGGACTGTGCTTGTAATCCAAATAATCAGTGATTTTTTGGACTTGAATAACTGAGTGCATCATGTTTTTCATGTGGGACTTGCAAACTTTTCAGAACACATTTTATTTCTTTGTAACTTCATCAAAATTTTGTAAATGGAGCTGTGAACTCACAAGAAAATAAAACTTAAAAATTCACCACAAAAATCTCTAAGAGGCAAACCTGACAGGAGGTAATTAACTGGGAGGTGAATTTATTACAGAACACTAATACTGCATTATCTACTAAAATTGCAATAGATCTGGATGGGCTTATTACCAGACATGGATGCATTTCAATATGAATACATTGATCAGTTGATGCTCTAATCAATCTGTTTGATTAAACCTCGACTGCTAGAGGGAAATGTTCACATATATCCTCCAGCTGAATCTGATGTACTGACTTTGTAAGTACAATACCTTTTGACTCATTAATGAGATGTTCCGTCTATCAAGTGATCTATCAGTCTTAAACACAACAAAAGATAGCCTGCAACATTTTATCTTCTCAGCTGTTTGTCTTACCTGTAGATCTGGACAAGAGCCCAGGTATATCTACCTGTACTAGTCTATATAGGCTTTTATCCTATCTAAATCTAGTAGTGAATACCTACAGTACCTGCTACAGGTGTAAGGCTGAAATCAATACCTGTTGAATTAATGAATAGCTGTGTATTTACAGCCCCATCCTCTTTAAATCTTACAGTAACTGTTTCTTGTATACAATTTAATCTTACAGCAACATTTCTAGGTCTTTCTACATGCATCACGCAATCCCCCCACCTTATCATCAGTAAAAACTTTTGTTCAAAATTCACAAACATATCTTTCCCTTGAATAACTGTAATACATCTTGCATGTCTAAGGCCAATAACCTATGAGAGTGAGGTTCTGTCAGAATACTCTGGAGTATGGACAGGTAAACTATCATCTTTGATTACCTTCACTGAAATTCCCTACAGACAAAAACTTGACTTTTCAAAACCACAGACAATTTTAAACATGCAAACTTCAAAGTCATGTTAATTCTACACACTCATATGAAATAGAATTTAATTCCACAGTGCTATTTGTTAATGATAAAAGTCAATGTTTACAAATGAAATTACATGTATACTGAACAGAACAATATACCTTGGAGAACTCCATAATGACAAGACAATCAATTCTTCTATGTAGAATGTTTCTGGTTGAATAAATGTATTTACCATTGAACAAATGCTATTTATATACATATACATTGTACATAGACAGTGTACTTAATTAAGTAATCTGTTTTAACAGAAAAACACTTTCCCCAGTAGAATGTAAGTTTGGATATTATTAATCTAATGTATTCATACTTAACATGTCTCCCCAGAGTATATATGGTAAATTTAAACACCATGAAATATGACATCATAGATCACTATAACACAAGCTTAACTGATAAATTATATCTACTTATTGCGAAGCCCAAACATCAATCCTTGTTAATCACCTAAAAATAACACCAAGCTTTTCATTAATTCATCTCAATAATAAAACAATTACTTGTCCAGACTCTAGAAATGGTACAGCTAAATAGATTTTACAAACAGGTTCAGCTTTATTTTAAAAGAATTGAAAAGACTCTTCCAACCATGACTAACTGCTCTGCTGAATAGATCATTAAAACTACAAAAGTATTTGTATAACCAGAAAGTAAAATAACTGGTTTTATGGGTGATAGTATCTCCTAAGTCCGTCAGCAGCTACAAGTCTGGTGGGTTGTAGAACATCTATTGGCAGTGAATCTTGTATGTCTAAAGGGAGATAATTCAGTAAAATAAACCCTAACCTTTGATTACTTAATAAATAAATAAACAGTCAAAATATTCCTGAGATACAATATTACAGTAGTAGATTATTTAGAGTCAATAATACAAAATGTACAATATCTCGCCAATAACCATACATTTATTAATTTAATAATTTTCTATTTCATTTTTTAAAAATTTCAATCAATATGAAAACATATTCAAGCACTATCAAATTATTTCAAACACCTTTTTTACAAACCACAAGCGCTTCGCCAGCACATATTTTTATCTATTACATATACATGCACTTTTCACAAATTGCCTTGAACATCAAGCTCTTTTCAAGGTCTGTGTGAACCCTGAATTAACAAGTATCTTCAAATTCACCTATCAAACAATTCTTGTGAGGTTGAAGTACTTTAATCAATTCTGAATCATTGAATGCTTTTTGTAAGAACAGAATGTGTAAGAAAAGTGAAGCTGATTATATAATAATTTATCCATCTACGACAGCTTGACATCTCAGGTTCTGACAAATTTCTGTCAGACATCTACAGAAACGTAATTAATTTTGTCATTCTGACGACAACAACGCCAAAATGACAGGTGCACACTAGTGTAGGGCAGAGGAATGAATACAGGCTTGTGTGGGGTTCACACTGATTGTAGGCTGGTGTGGGGGTCACACTGAATATAGATTGATGTGGGGTCACACAGACTGAAGGCTGATGTGGAGGTCATGCAAACTGAAGGCTGGTGTGAGGTTCACACAGACTGTAGGCTGGTGTGGGGGTCACACTGATTGTAGGCTGATGTGGGGTCACATTGATGTAGGCTGATGTGGGGTCACATGTACTGTTGGCTGGTGTGAGGTTCACACAGATTGTATGCAGGTATGGGGGTCACACAGACTGTAGGCTGGTGTGGGGATAACACTGAATAAAGGCTGGTGTGGGGATAACACTGACTAAAGGCTGGTGTGGGGATAACACTGACTAAAGGCTGGTGTGGGGATAACAGTAACTAAAGGCTACTAAAGGCTGGTGTGGGGATAACACTGACTAAAGGGTGGTGTGGGGATAACACTGACTAATGGCTGGTGTGGGGATAACACTGACTAAAGGCTGGTGTGGGGATAACACTGACTAAAGGCTGGTGTGGGGATAACAGTAACTAAAGGCTAATGTGGGGATAACACTGACTAAAGGCTGGTGTGGGGATAACACTGACTAAAGGGTGGTGTGGGGATAACACTGACTAATGGCTGGTGTGGGGATAACACTGACTAAAGGCTGGTTTGGGCATAACACTGACTAATGGCTGGTGTGGGGATAACACTGACTAAAGGCTGGTGTGGGGATAACACTGACTAAAGGCTGGTGTGGGGATAACACTGACTAAAGGCTGGTGTGGGGATAACACTGACTAAAGGCTGGTGTGGGGATAACACTGACTAAAGCCTGGTGTGGGGATAACACTGACTAAAGCCTGGTGTGGGGATAACACTGACTAAAGGCTGGTGTGGGGATAACACTGACTTAAGGCTGGTGTGGGGATACACTGACTAATGGCTGGTGTGGGGATAACACTGACTAAAGGCTGGTGTTGGGATAACACTGACTAAAGGCTGGTGTGGGGATACACTGACTAATGGCTGGTGTGGGGATAACAATGACTAAAGGCTGGTGTGGGGATAACACTGACTAAAGGCTGGTGTGGGGATAACACTGACTAAAGGCTGGTGTGGGGATACACTGACTAAAGGCTGGTGTGGGGATAACACTGACCGAACAGGGCTCTCACACCCCATTTTTGTACTGGGTACCGGGGCCCTTAGAATTGGGAAGAATAGCAGCATTTTCCTTAGAATTGGAAAAACTTGGGGTCTAAATTGGGAAAAAAAGATACTATTTTGCATTGGGAGTGGGGCTGAATATCGGTACCAAATCTGGCAGATTGAGAGCCCTGCTAAAGACTAGTGTGGGGATAACACCGACTAAATGCTGGTGTGGGGATAACACTGACTAAAGGCTGGTATGGGTCATACTGACTGCAACCTGGTGTGAGGGTCACACTGAATGTAGACTGGTAGGGTAAAACATTGACTGTAAGCTGGTGTGAGGAGAACTTTGACTAAGGGCTGGTTTGTGGGGGTTACAATTACCGTAGACTTGTGTATGGGAGTCACACTGCCTGTGGACTAGAGCATGGGTGTTACAATGGCTGAAGAATGATGTGGGGGTCATATAGACTGTAGTAATCTCCATATTGTTGTTATATCGCATCACATCTGTATATATATTATTGTTGTGTATCCATATATATTACTGCTATATTTGTATGTACCAGTATCATAATGATGTCATTGACATAATTTGCTGACAAGTTACTTTAACAGCAATATCAAAGTCAATATCATTAGCATTGTACTGTATGTTATCTACTGATAACCAATGGCCACCTGTATTTAGCTGTACCACTAACCTCAGTCTAACGCTATGATTTAAACTTGTATTTGTACAGGTATTCATAAATTTTCCACTGCCTGTCGCTCTCAAAACTTGGTGTAAAATTTTTAGGTAGCTCTTCAGTTTTTTTTTTTTTTTTCAATGCCTCTGATAGAGATCAAAGCTAAACACTCCAGCTTAAAAGTACTGTAAGATGTTGAATTTCAAATTCTCATAAGCCAAATTAGAAGGTGGCAGTTACTACTTTACCAAAGGGTGGTGTAATTCTCCTCTGGGAAGGAATTTCATATTAAACTTGATATGCAATAAACGATCATAATTTCAGTCAAAAATGCTTTTAATTGGTTTACAACAAAAGAATTTCCTATATTCACAAAACAATTTAAAGTAAACCATGTGAAAATAGTTCTCACATAATTCTTTACAATACCCTGTACCAAGGTATTTGTTTACATACATGTTACAACGACAATAAAATGTTATTGCAGTCATTCATATATAGTTTTATATGTATAGCATGGTATCATACAGTTCATGTTTTTATCTAATTTCTGGTGCACATACAAAGAGAAGACAATAGAAATTTTAGAAAATATATGAAAATGCACAGAGTCAAAACAGTGTGTGAAAATGAATACGTTACGTGTCCTATACAAATATGTACACTCATTTGCACACCTGTGTGTTTACATTACCTGTGTATACGTTTAAGTTATTTCCATTCGAACTGAACTGGAGAGAAGGGCACCAAAAAAGTGATAACGACAAGCGCAACCCCACTAGAACTGTTACATTAGCCGCTGTATCAGACAGCCTGTCATATCAATTACCTTGATACAGGTGAAAATTACAGGTGGGCTGGTCCACTTATAGCAGTCACTCCCGCAAGTTTACCGTACATCTGCTAGTTCGTGTAATATTTTTGTGATATACAGGTGAATCCTAAACCACAACACTCCTGAAATTAATCCCGGTCCATAAATAACCTGAGAGTGATCGACATACCTTTTTTCCTACCTGAGAACGACCATGCAGAACTGTCACTAAAGTTTCCGTTTCCTCCGTTCTACATGATTTACCGCGCCATATTTACATATCGAGATTTGCAGGTGGTGACGAGACTTCACCGATAACTGGATGATCTTAATCGTTAATAATAGCAGGGGTGTACACCATTATAATTTGATAATATTTCAAAGTCAAAGAATCATTAACTTATTTTTACTTTCCACAGAAACAACGTTAAAACTTTCAAATATTTTTGTTACTTAGAAAAGGATATACAGGGATGTATCCAACCAAAATGAAACAAACCAAAACCTTACGTTCCCTATTTAAAAATGAGTCCAAATAATTTGGATGAGTTTTTCTCACAGATTGACGTCACTTCCGCGCCGCCATCATCGACCTCCATGGTTCGCGCAGAGGAAATAAACATGGAAAACCAAGAGGATGTACTGGACGCCCTGTGTTGTAAGTTATGTGTAATATTCTGGTTTAAATTTGTATGATAAAATCATCTGTCTATTTGTGAGGAATAGGATTAATACATGTCGACATTTTCTTCGTTAGGCTACGAGAAAAAACCAACTCCCGACATACCACCGGTTCTGGATCAGTATCTGAGACGAGTGGCGAAAACTGGAGAAACGCTGTGAGTATAAAGAAGAAACATATTTCACTCATTAAGTATTCTCCTTTAAATTTTCCAATGGCATGTTAAAATCTCTGTGACAAGTATCAGGTTAAGACATACTTGTCATATGAATAATTGTCACATTGCCACTCTCACCACGAGAACAAAGAGCCGTTCGTAGTAAACAGTCTAGCGAGTGTTTTGATAAACAACGTGGTTGTTAATGTCTTCATGTGTTATATAGCGAACACATTTTTATACAACATGGAAAACAACATCAATTTAATGTATTGTTCAATATTGAACGAACTCTTCTGACAAATCTATTTCGTGGTAGGACCGATTAGGTAACATACGTAATATGTGAAACACACGTTTTTGTTTTTTGGACAACTGCCAAGGTCTGTTATTATTTTGAATTCTCGTGTTTATGAAAATTATATTATTTTATTCTCACTTCATATGATGTTATTATACCACATTTAACATGACTAATTATATATTTATTTACATATATTTATATCATACTAGTAACGATAATACTAAACATGTATATTGATAATTGTTGAAAAATGGGATGAAAAACAAAAACGACAAAAAGTACAATCCTGAAAGTTCAGAAGTTATGATTCTACGATTAGTGCTATTACATTTCCCACATTTTTCCTTGTTGAAATGGTCTGTTTAAAACAACACTGGAATCATTTCAGTTTGTTTGTGTTCCTTACCTTAAATTGAAAACTTGTAGAGAAATATTTAACTGAAATAATTTTAAAAGGTAGAATAGACTTCTCATTGGTTCACTTCTAATCTAAAAAAGGGAAATTTGTGATTTACCTAATTCTTGCTCATTCTGTAGGCTGTAATAGTTGCTTACCAGCTTGGTCTGATATTTTGAGTGTTAAACATTCACAATTTAATCTTCAAACATCTTATTGCTATACAGAAGAATTCTATCATAAGTTATCACAGAGCTTTCTGACAAGGGATGATTATAGTGAAGATTTATTTTTTTACCATGTTCTTAAGTCCAATTGTTTGAGATTCTTTATGTATGAATTATGTTGCAAATGTGGTAAATTCAAAACGATAGGGAAATACTTACTTGTTAGTGGCACAATAAGGGGTTTTGTAGTACAAGCAACACTCTAAATAGAAACAGATTTCATAGATTGATCATACTCCTCAAACTCCTTTCCTTTGCCAAAACAGTATGTCAGGTATTCCATACATAGCATTTCTGACATCATCTCACTCATTGGCAAAAATGAGAGTAATTTTTTGTTTTATATACTAGTTTCATATTGCTGTAGCAACATGTTTATTTTCTTCAAACTTCATTTGTTCCACATGTTGTTCTCAAGCTGTGTAATTAATCAACTGTTTGTGTACAGAGCATGCTTTTCTACACATAAATTTTGTTTTGTTTCAATTTGTTGATTAAAATGAAATGTGAGATTTTTTTTTCATATCTTCCTGGATTTATCAGAGTTTGTGCCAACAATACCATACAATATATGCAGATTTTAGAAAGGACACTATTTCATGTGAATGATTATCATTTATTTTATGTTTATAGAATTATTGCAAACAAGGTATACCAAATTTTATCATTACAGCTTCCCATGGCAACAGCTTAAAATCCTCTTCATCCACAAGTTGGATTCTGTGATCACCCAGTTTAACCAGGACTTTCCAGCTGACCACTTACAAAACTGTCCAAATGTTGAAAATGTCAAGTTTGAAGAAATGAAGAAAAGAGTAGTCTGCTCCTTAGAGGAGTTTCAAGGGTATACACTTTGTAAATATAAGGATTGGAAATAAAGCTCATTAGAAGTGTTTCCTAGGTCAGATCTGTTCTTATTGTCAGAATTCACTTGTTCTGTCACAACAATGATAAATCTCCTTATAAACTCTGTGTTACTTGATCTCTTGTTTTCAAACATGGAATCTTACTAAGAGGCATTAAATAACATTACTGGTGACTTTGTGTTTTTAGGGCACCATTCACCATTCAGCGCCTCTGTGAACTAGTCACAGAACCAAAGAAGCATTACAAGAGAACAGACAAGTTTCTGCGTGGAATAGAAAAGGTAACCTTGTATGCCAGGTGTACCTTTTAAAACACAAGTGTAAGCTCTCAAAAGCAGTATTTCAGTAATATTAGGACCTAGATATCTTTGATGAGTTTGAGTTATTTGTTTTTTATTTAACCGTTTGTCATAGTCTGGTAACGTTGATCTCTTTGCATGATTCAATTTTTAAATTAAATATTGTTGAACACATTCAAATTTTAAGTAGCAATGCTTGTGAAAATAAAGTAGAGTTCAAATGATCCCGGTTAAAATCACCTGAAATCACAAAATCTTTCAAATTCAGATATGTCTTAGCAAGACGAAAGTCAGCTATCTGTAAAGATGATGAGCTGTTTGAAGTGTTGAAAAAACTTGTTGATTATAATATGATAATCTTTTCAAAACACTCGCATGTTCATAAAACAATAAGAACTTTCAGTTTTCATTTTGTTGGTCATGTTAGATAACACAAGAATTAAACCATAAAGCCAGACAAAAACTCCTATCTGTTTACATATCAGTATGCAGAGTATGTGAATCAAGACTAATCAGAACTAATGTTTATTAATTGTATGGGTTCTCTCATAAGTAGGGGTCTGGAAAAACACTTGTCTTGTCGTCATGGATGAATGAAAATTGTCTCGGACAACCAGATTTATCTTTGTCAGTAATCTGTCGGAGGAGTACTTTTTTTCCAATGATATTAATGTTACAACAATGTTTTCAATAAAAATGTAAAGAAAATTTAAAACAAAGAAACATGTTTACAGTACTTCGAAAACGAAATATTCCAATCTGCACTCTTAACTTTTGATTACACCAGAACTCCCATGATGTCAAATATAGCATTCAGAATAGCTTAGTCATTTTTGCGCAGTCATACTGATGTCAGGTGCTTTCAGGCGGTACCAATATGAACCGGTCTGTATTTAGCAGCACCTAGTCAGTCGGATATAAACAAACACTACAACTAGTCCTAAGTTGCACACAACATCTTACGCAAAACAGCCATCACTGCATAGTTTTTTCACTAAAACTTAAAAAAAAAATAGAAAAAAGGTCACATGCCACATCCTCGCTGATTAAGTCGCCATTTCATAGCTGAATTCGGATGAGTAAATTTCCAATCCGGACAAGTAAATTTTTCAGTCTACTAGTCCTGTGCCTAGTGGTTTAAAATATTTTTCCAGACCCCTGATAAGATCTCTTACTATAAGAGAAGCATATGACAAAGTCCAACTATTGTTTATTTTATGTTATAAATATTGATATGCATGTAAAAATGACAATTTCTCACCACATTTATAGTGTGAATGCCAACCCAGGTGTGAGTTGCTCATTTCCCTCACTTGATATAGGGTGGGAGTTCTGACATTCATTGACTTCAGACCGATAAAATGCAAAAGTTGATAGAATGTCAGAATAATTGGGACTAGTGATGTATTTCAACCCCACCCCCTGTTTTTATTTGCCCTCATTCTTGTAATGTAAATGAAGTCTGTATTTTGTGTTTTCAGAATGTACTGGTTGTGAGTACAGTGGATCCATTTGGAAGGTAATGCCGTCTTTTGTACTATGTACATACTAACCATCGGCTTTATAAACTCCTCTCATAATTTGTCTTCATTTTATATTGAAATAAATGATATAATTCTGTCCTGCTGCTTATTAAATAATCTTAAATTTAAACACAACATTTATGTTGAACGATGCCCTTGGTATCTCTTGGATCAGAAAAAGGCGACTGACTTTAATTCTTATTTTGCCTCTTGAAGGATTTTTTTTTAGTATGTAAGTAAAAGTTGTTGAAAAGAGTATAAATGAAAAATGATGAGTTGTGCAGGAAATGACAATATATAAGATTATATATACTGTTACAGGAAGATTGTGTCCGATTCCAGACCAATGATGAATGGACTTGACATGAATGGTTACAATGGAAACCGCCCAGAAAACAAACCTCACTTTTCCTCGTTCCCTTCTCCATCATCTCAACAAACAACATGGCCATCTGATCGAGTGTTTAGTCCAGAACTCAGTAAGGAGCTTTCTAATCCTCTCTATGAAACGGATGTGTCCCCTTCTCCAAACTTCCCTCCAAGTGAAGGAGAAAGAGTTCAACCTACCTTGGAACGCGTTGAACAGCAAACTTCGCCCCAAATCAAAAGTCAAGAAAATGTGACTTTGCCTACAGAAAACATGGTTAAAACAGACACAAGCAGTGAATCCCTGCCTCCTGATGCGACCCCCTCAACAACAGGCACCTCCGATGTGAACACTAGCTTGCGAGGCAGTGACCTATCTGAGAAGATGATGACATCTGAACAGTCCAATGTTGAACCTGAAGTCAAAGGTAGGTAGTTTTTTTCATTGTTATTCCTGCAAAACCATTGTACGTATGATTTAGTCAGAATTTGTGTAAAAAGTATTTTGATGCATAAGACAGAGACATACATTTGTATCTCGAACTCTACATTGAATGGGAGAGGAATTTCAATTGATTCTTGTCAGGACAGGTTAAGGAATTTCCTTCATTCATTTCTGTATAACTATCAGTGTCTTTGTATACAATTTACATCAGTGACACAGCTAGAACCACTTTACTGCATATTGTAGTTGAGGTATCATGACATTATCTGGATGATAATTGGATTTAATGTAATATATGTATCTAAGTTTTCATGGATTGTCTACTGAGAGGTATATGGTAAATAACACCTTGTATTACTAGAATTGTTTTAAAGATGTGCAGTGGTTCCAGTTTTGAGAACCTTAATTGATTCATTTTGACATTTTTTAGCTGAATTTGGTTCTGGTATGTGTCTATCATTTTTTAATTTGCCCTGTTTTATATTACAGATGTACAACAGAGCTCTGATGCTGTGCACAGCACTAATACTACACCATTAGACACAACTTGTGTTGATAACAACAGCAAACCAAGCAACCCACAAAGCCAGGAAAGGGAAGAGGAGGACTTATCTGTTAGTGGAGACGCACAGGACAGTGACCAAATTTCGTCGTCGTCATCACTGCCCTTATCTTCATCACCAGAGCCTATCAAGGAACCAGAGGAAAGTGCTTCAAAAGAGTCTGAATTAACTAATGTTACAACAAGTGATGACACTAGCCTAGAGGGCTCAGCAAACGAGCCAGCATCACTATCGGTATCACAGGACACAACCAGCAATGATTCAGCAGATTGTGCAGTATGTGTGGAATCCTCCACAGACTCTGTAAATGATACACCATCTGTTGAGCTCCCTCTCGCCCAATCATCCACGGTACAATTAGACTCCACAACTGGGGAAGATGATATGGAAACGGATTCCACAATTCCCAGTAGTGATAGTGTGGTAGACTCCGACCAGTCTGAGAAAGACGAGAGTCAAACAAACAATGAAAAGGAATCCAATTGTGAGGAAGAAGTGAAAGTAGAAAGTGAAAGTAGTTCTGGTGCAAGTGAACCTGTGGCCACTCCCATGGAGCAGGATTAGCTGTGTTGTATGAATGTTCTGTATTGTTATCATTATGGCATCTAAATTCTTCGCTCAGGACTCCTGTGAAAAAGTTATCATCAGAGTAATCCATTAGAAGTCCATTGAGGAAAACTTTGTGAATCATTTATTTTACAAAAATAGACGATTACTTTCCATTTAAGTGAGTTGATCTAGAACCACCAGTGTTATTCATATTTATGGGTTTGCAAGTCTGTGTATGTACCTTTAATTTATTTATTGTGACACAACACACTTTTTCAGAGGTGATTTTAGCATTTAAAGTACTAGTACAACCATTTTTCCTTGGCTTCTCTCAGATAATCCTTGCCATTAAGTACAGGTTTCTGTATAGTAGTATGTATCACCAAGGTGACCTTCTTCAGAAGAAAGAAATTCCGAATGTTATATGGTAATAGTATGAAAATAATATTCAGGAACAGGATCTGCTTCCTTTGATTGATTAAGGTGTCCTTCACAAACATGTGCTGTATGGCAATATTGTGGACTTTCACATTATGTTCTAATGGAAGCAAGGTGGTTTTGTCGGTGGCCTTCACAGATTTCGGTTGTAGTATGGCGACTTTGTCAAGGTGACCTTCACAGATTTTGGTTGTTGTAATATGGTGACTTTGTCAAGGTGACCTTCATAGATTTTGGTTGTTGTAGTATGGTGACTTTGTCAAGGTGACCTTCACAAACATATTTTGATTGCTGTATAGTGATATTGTCAAGGTAACTTTTTATAAGAAACCAACATGATACAGAGTTCATTGCCATCCATCTGAATATTTCATGATAATACATTCACAGTTATAGCAATGTTCTCTGGTCATTAGCAGTGTTCTGGTTTAATTAAGCCATAAAAACATCCTATTCAGCAACCTTCATACTTTAAACTATCCGCTCTGTTATCAGTTCATCAAATTTTTATTAACATCGAGGAATAAATTTTACCAGATTTGTTCTAGTACGGCAGCTAAGTGTAATGACATATCGATACACCCACATCTCATTTTTGTATGAATCATTGTATTATCAACTTTTAAAACTGCAATCAGAATTTAAGTCAATACTTCTGCCTGTGATTCTTGATCTTTAGATTCAACAATCTGTAGTTCCAAAATAGATTCTGTATTATTAAAAGATGGTGACCAGCTTTTTTTATTCTTTAGTTGTACCTAAGTTATATCTTAATTTGTAAATGAAATAATTGTAAAAAGAAAATACTTGTCTTGATTGAAATGTGATGATCATTAATGTTTTAACACTGGTGGTTTGTGTATGACCTGCTGGCTTGGAGCTGTTCAGTGTAAAAGATCCGTGGTGAAGCAAGGTGAATGAGAGAATGTGTGGTGGTGACTGTGATGGTGTATGGCACCCTTCCTGTAATGCAGGCTGATAGTGGTGATTATTAGGACCAGTGTTTTGTGTTTTGACGTATGGTCATTGATTCTGGAAATTAGGATCATACAACTGTATAGTAAGACTTGTTTTTAAATCTACAGTAGATTTTTTTTTTGAATTTAGTTCAAATTGCAGTGGTCAAAATTTCATGCAAAAGAATTTTTAACAATTTTCGTATTATTTACACATTAAATTTTATATATTTATCGAACAAATCAAGTTTGGTTGTGATATGGCACTATATGAAACTACTGTTTATCACAAATTATGACAAATCATTGTCATTTTAAAACTGCTTTAGTTTTTGAGTGACTGCGAGACTGGAGATATCTGGTATATAAGTATGTGTGGTAACATCGGCATTGGAACTGCATTATCATAAGGGAGAGTTTGATTAAGATATGAATGTGTGAGATACAGCCTGATACAAATTCTCTGGAGAGGAAAAATAAAATGAGCAAATAAAAATCTCTAGTTTACTTTTTTATGTCAGAAAGTCATATAGTGATCAGTATGTTGGCATCATCAACAAAGATTTCAGTACCACCAAAGTTTTCATGAGCTCAACATACAAAAGTTATCTTACTGAAAATATGGATTCTGGATTGCTTTTCAAATTAAAAGTCAAGGTGACTGTGTGTTAATAGAACTTCACTTTAATATTTTTTGTCGGTACCACACAGGCAGCATATTGTTTTCTGTTCAAGTAGTGTGGTTGAAGATGAAAATAGATACTTTAAAAAACATTTATTGTATTTGTTTACTACTGATTTTCAACTTCACCTTTCACATTATTGTCCTGTTAAAATGTCAAATTTGAGATGCTGTCCATAACTGTTATGTTGTTTGAACAGTCTTAAAAGTAAAGAGATCAAATGACAGACCTATGAGAACCCATACAATTAATAGCAAAGAGATCGAACAAGAGGCCAAGAGGGCCTGTATCACTCACCTCGATCTTTATGACCAACAGTAGTATATCTGTGCATATGTTCCACATTTAACACATTTAACCCCTGTGACCTTGACTGGGTCAAGGTCAATTCTTTTTGCAAACTTTCGTGGACTGCATAAAAGGAACATACTGGCCAAATATGATTCTAGGCTTTTCGATATTTCAGAAGAAATTGTTTAAACATTTTAACACATTTGACGCCTGTGACCTTGAAGATTGGTCAAGGTAATTTCTTTAAGCAAATTTTGTAGGACACCATAAGAGGAACATAGTAGCTTAATATAATGATTCTTGGCCTTACGGTATTTGGGGAGTTGTTTAAACGTTTTAACACATTTGACTTCTGCAACCTTGAATATGGGTCAAGGTCATTTCTTTTCGCAAACTTTGTTGGTCTTCATCAAATGAACCTTCAAGCCATATATAATGATTCTAGGCCTCGCGGTATTTTGGAAGAAGTCGTTTAAATGTTCTAACACATTTGACCTCTGTGACCTTGAATATGGGACAATGTCATTTCTATTCACAAATTTTGTTGGTGTATATCAAAGGAACATTCCAGCCATATATAATGATTCTAGACCTTTCGGTATTTTGGAAGAAGTTGTTTCAAGGTTTTAACACATTTAACCTCTGTGACCTTGAATATGGGTCAAGGTCATTTCTTTCTGCAAACTTTGTTGGGCTTCATCAAAGGAACCTTCCAGCCAAATATAATGATTCTAGGCCTTCCAGTATTTTGGAAGAAGTCGTTGAAAGGTTTTAACACATTTGACCTCTGTGACCTTGAATATGGGTCAAGGTCATATCTTTTTGCAAACTTTTTTTGCAAACCCTTTGGGCCAGGTGAGCTAAAAATTAACTGACATGAAATTTTCAAAGTTGGTCAAGGTAATTTACTTATTAAGTAAGTTAACAACAGAAATGAACGCAAATTTGAGCATTTGTCATTTTCTATTTTAGGTAAAAAATTTCTGTAGAATTTAAAGTCAGCAGGCTTTTTACTAGATGTCTCAACTCTTTGCATATATTTGTTCTTCAGAATTTGTATTAATTAAGTAAAGACACTTAAATCATTTAACATAGAACAATCACAATTACTTTTTGCTCACTGTCAAAAGTCGGTAAGCTACACTATACTTGATCTTCGGTTAATGCCCTGCCTCGGGGACAAACAGACATCCAGAAAAGATCGGCCTGTGATGCAGCCATCTGATGAGGTGTCATATTTATCTTACATAATTGTTGGCCTTGACTAAATTTACCTGATTGTGAAGTAGCCACCTGTACATAGCTACCATTCGACACTATTTATGAGCCCAAGCAGTCTGTGAAGCTACCCTATCTGACCAGTTCACTGACCACATATCTGACCAGTTCACTGACCACATATCTGACCAGTTCACTGACCACATTTTCCTAAAGAACTACCCACTTCATTAGTAATTCATCATTTTATTTTTTCACCTTATAACTTTTAAAATCCAATTCAGCCCAGAACCCTTTTACATTATATATATCCTATTTGTCTATATGGCAGCAAGCTGAATGGGATGGTCAATTTGTAAATATTTTCAGTTAAACAGAAAGACACTAACACTAAACAATATGCTTATACTTTTGGTAAGGAGTAAGAGAATAAAATCTATGTTTCACTTTTCACTTTCAGAAAAGAAATAAAAAAATCCACTTGATTTCTCGTCGACAATAACTTTATTAGTCCTAATATTACAGTTATCAATCCTTAACAATAAGACAACATTCCTTCAAACATTAGAAGGCTGTGTGGAAGTCAAATCTATCATCTAGTAAAGAAGGGACTTGTAAAAATCTAACAGGTAACATACAGAATACTGGTGGAAGTTGACTTAAACCTGACAGGTAACACACAGAATACTGGTGGAAGTTGACTGTAAAACCTGACAGGTATCACACAGAATACTGGTGAAAGTTGACTTAACCTGACAGGTAACACACAGAATACTGGTGAAAGTTGACTTAAACCTGACAGGTAACACACAGAATACTGGTGACAGTTGACTGTAAAACCTGACAGGTATCACACAGAATACTGGTGAAAGTTGACTTAACCTGACAGGTAACACACAGAATACTGGTGAAAGTTGACTTAAACCTGACAGGTAACACACAGAATACTGGTGAAAGTTGACTGTAAAACCTGATAGGCAACACACAGAATACTGGTGACAATTGACTGTTAAATCTGACAGGTAACACACAGAATACTGGTGACAGTTGACTGAAAACCTACACACAGAATACTGGTGACAGTTGACTGTTAAATCTGACAGGTAACACACAGAATACTGGTGACAGTTGACTGTAAAACCTGACAGGTAACACACAGAATACTGGTGACAGTTGACTGTAAAACCTGACAGGTAACACACAGAATACTGGTGACAGTTGACTGTTAAATTTTAAAGAATACTGGTGACAGTTGACTGTTAAATCTGACAGGTAACACACAGAATACTGGTGACAGTTGACTGTAAAACCTGACAGGTAACACACAGAATACTGGTGACAGTTGACTGTTAAATCTGACAGGTAACACACAGAATACTGGTGACAGTTGACTGTAAAACCTGACAGGTAACACACAGAATACTGGTGACAGTTGACTGTAGTTGACTGTTAAAATTTGACAGGTAACACACAGAATACTGGTGACAGGTAACACACACACAGAATACTGGTGACAGTTGACTGTAAAACCTGACAGGTAACACACAGAATACTGGTGACAGTTGACTGTTAACACACACACAGAATACTGGTGACAGTTGACTGTAAAACCTGACAGGTAACACACAGAATACTGGTGAAAGTTGACTTAACCTGACAGGTAACACACAGAATACTGGTGACAGTTGACTTAAACCTGACAGGTAACACACAGAATACTGGTGACAGTTGACTTAAACCTGACAGGTAACACACAGAATACTGGTGACAGTTGACTGTAAAACCTGACAGGTAACACACAGAATACTGGTGACAGTTGACTGTTAAATCTGACAGGTAACACACAGAATACTGGTGACAGTTGACTGTTAAATCTGACAGGTAACACACAGAATACTGGTGACAGTTGACTGTTAAATCTGACAGGTAACACACAGAATACTGGTGACAGTTGACTTAAACCTGACAGGTAACACACAGAATACTGGTGACAGTTGACTTAAACCTGACAGGTAACACACAGAATACTGGTGACAGTTGACTTAAACCTGACAGGTAACACACAGAATACTGGTGACAGTTGACTTAAACCTGACAGGTAACACACAGAATACTGGTGAAAGTTGACTTAAACCTGACGGATAACACACAGAATATTTGTGACAGTTAACTGTAAATTTTCACAGGTAACACACAGAATACTGGTGACAGTTGGCTGTAAAGTTTCACAGGTCACACAGAGATGAGAGATAAATATAGTAAAACCATTTGTTTACACACACATATATATAACAGGTTTTTAAAGAGTAAACAGCAATAATGAAATATGAGAGCACCTGTGAACCAGACCTTGAGTAGTGGGACATGTAACAGAGGTCATTATTAATTGAAATGCCATGACTATGGTTTGAACACCTGACATACCTAGGCTTCTGCTCAACCAGATGAGCTCAGAAATTCTCTCTGGTTGAGCAGTATATTGTAGCCAGTATTTTCCTGACATCACATGCTAACCATGGTGGTTAAGGTAGGCATTATATAACAGCAAAGAAAATAACCATGTTATTAGCATGGTTTTCATCCCCTCTTCAGCACTTGATTTCCAGGAATAAAATGATCAAATAAAAGATTTCATCATTCAACAATAATGTTTTACCGTTTTAGAAAAACTAAAGATATATAAGGTAAAATTTATTTGATGACACCAGATAAATATCTTCTTCTGTACTTCCCCATAAACACCTCTTTCAGGAGAAGATGTGTTTTTGTTATGTCAGACAGAGACAGAGGATAAAAAAAATCAAAATGTCTTGAGAACATTGAGATTTTACTGTTCACCTAAAAACAATACACAATCTGTCATTCTATTCAAATATAAAATTTCTCTAAATAACAACCATTAATGTATTTATAAGCAGTTGATAATAAACGGCAGTGTTTCCACATATAAGTGAAAGATATGATGATATCTTTAAACTCTGTAGATTAGAGGACTACTTGTTCCAGATTGACACAAGTAGTGGGAGAGGTCTCTAACTCTGTTATAAACTAGAGTATCTTTACAAGTCTTGGTACAATGCATGTGAAAAATAGCATGAGGTTTTCGTTGATTTTTACCTGTGTTTCTAACATACTAACCATCAACTCAATATCACAACCGCTATGAGTGGTCAGTCATTAAGTCCTCAACTGTCTTCTCAATGACTGTAAACTCCAGATTACAAGCATTAGGAGTTGTCAGTCTTTAGGCCCTCCACTGTGTTCTCAATGACTGTAAACTCCAGATCACAAGCATTTCCTGTGGTTGGTCATTAATCCCTTTGGCTTTGAACACACTGATCACCAATGCCCCAACATAAACATTTGGACAATTTGTTGATCATAATTAATTTCCTTGGTCACAAACTGTTGTGGTGAGAGATTTTTTTCAGCAGCCATGTTCACACACTGTTGTGGTCAGTGATTGCTACCTGTGGTTGTGTTGTGTATGATGACCTTCCCGTCTAAGTCACAAAATGTTGTGGTCAGTGATTGCTACCTGTGGTTGTGTTGTGTATGATGACCTTCCCGTCTAAGTCACAAAATGTTGTGGTCAGTGATTGCTACCTGTGGTTGTGTTGTGTATGATGACCTTCCCATCTAAGTCACACACTGTTGTGGTCAGTGATTGCTACCTGTGGACGTGTTGTGTATGATGACCTTCCTGTCTAAGTCACACACTGTTGTGGTCAGTGATTGCTACCTGTGGACGTGTTTTGTATGATGACCTTCCCGTCTAAGTCACACACTGTTGTGGTCAGTGATTGCTACCCGTGGACATGTTTTGTATGATGACTTTCCCGTCTAAGTCACACACTTCGGTAATAACCACCTTACAGAAAAAACACTCTTTCTTCCTCATCATCTGATAGCTGATACAGTTCCTGGTGAAGGGAGATAACTCACATTTTAACAAGTTCTCAACTGTAAAATGTACATGGTTTCTGCTATAAATTCTGTATACATAATGCTCTGTGGATTGTGAAGATATCTGTAATTTTGTCCAATTAAGATAACAATGAATAGGGAAATGACTTCAAACAGATAATTTACACAGATTAAACAATTACTCTCATTGAAAATTATCCATTTAAAAATCCTCTGATTTGTAAAGATATTTCAAATGTCATTTGATAAAAATCTGTATGTAAGTTAAAAGATGAAAAGAACATACAGATTAATAAAGCATTAATAATTCTCATTAATTGTTCAAATGGTTTACACAAGTTCTGCTGCATGTCTCTATGGGTCTTACGGTTAAATGGTTGGAATCATTATCACAGGTGATGACACTACATTACTGGAGATAGGGTCAAAATCTGGACCAGTTCTGACAGAAGATTTGTGTTCTTTTCTTTATAAACCAGTTAATATATATAAAAGTGAAAATTTCAGAATATTACCTATTACAAGTAAAAGCCATGATTACATAACGACAGAAGGTCCAATCATAGTATCAATATACACTTGTCATTAACGGTAGAGGAATGTTGGAATTTTTCACAAGAGATCCTAGATCTTTTAGCTGTTTCTTTAAAGTTGGATCTTTTCTCTTCTGTCCTGTTTTTGCTCCTAGTTATATAGATGATAGAAAGATCCATCCAATCTTTCTCAAGCAATAGCTATTACAAACTTTCATGATAAAAGTCAAAGATCACTCCCTGACGGAAATAACAAGAATTGTTTAAGGACGAATAAAGGGATGATAAACCACGGACGTAGACTAATTTCAATAGCCCACCACCTGGTGATGGTGAGATTCTATTAAATGCACTCTCTTAAAAAAAAAATGTGTAACAAACCTGCAAGATAAATGTCCACACGGTGAAAATTTGGCAGACAGCGGGAAGGCATAGCATATAGTACAGAGTTCATCCTCCTTAATTACCTGTAAATTATACAAAGCTACATACAGAATCATAAATAATAACAGGAAAATAACACCAGGTATATAATACAGAATCCTTAATCACCTGTCAATTAGTTTTTGTTACTTGAAACTAATTAACAATTGTAACAAAGATGTGACCATCAAAAGGGTACCATTCTATCACCTACATTCTACAGCTAGCTGAGATTTAGTCTCATACTGTACCATTCTATAACCTATCTTCTACAGCTAGCTGAGGTTTAGTCTCATACTGTACCATGCTATCACCTACATTCTACAGCTAGCTGAGATTTAGTCTCATAATGTACCATGCTATCACCTACATTCTACAGCTAGCTGAGATTTAGTCTCATACTGTACCATGCTATCACCTACATTCTACAGCTAGCTGAGGTTTAGTCTCATACTGTACTATGCTATCACCTACATTCTACAGCTAGCTGAGATTTAGTCTCATACTGTACCATGCTATCACCTACATTCTACAGCTAGCTGAGGTTTAGTCTCATACTGTACCATGCTATCACCTACATTCTACAGCTAGCTGAGGTTTAGTCTCATACTGTACCATGCTATCACCTACATTCTACAGCTAGCTGAGATTTAGTCTCATACTGTACCATGCTATCACCTACATTCTACAGCTAGCTGAGATTTAGTCTCATAGCCATCAGGGTAGTCTGAAGGAGTTACTCTAAATATGTATTTTTTTCTTTTAATTTTGCCTTGTATTAAAAAAAATTGTTTTCATCAAAATCCCCCTAAAATAAACATTTATTATCATGATTCAGAATAAATATCTGATTTTTGCCCAGTTTTTTTTCTTATTTTCCTCTATACTTTAAAATGGTGAAGTAAGAGAAAAAATGAATTGCAGAGAAATTTCCAGTAAACAGTAGTCAGGTATAGTTACCTCCTCTTTACTGGAGATTGTGTCTTGGTGATGTTTGACATGAGCCAGGAAATCACGAACCATATTCATCTCCTCTTCACTCACCTCCTCATCTGTCACATTTTCAATTCATTCATATATTTATGCATTTATACAAGAGCAATATTACAAGTATATAAAGAAACTTATCAACAGGCAGGTTCTGGCTCATTAGACACAATATCTATACAGTTGTACATGTAATTCAGGTGTACTGTATATATACAGCAGGTGAATGTACCTGTATCAGTAGTGTACTATACCTGGTTAGTTTAATAGTTCATGATGAATACCAATTAACTGAAGTCACCAAGGTTTATGTGACAGACCTTTACATAAGTATACCCCTGTATACTTGTCTTTGATTAGCTGATGTACTAAATATCATCTATTGGTCTTACTTAGCTCACCCACCTTAGCCCCTCCCACTTTCTCTTTTTGTAATGTTTTTCTTTATTGTTTGGTTTTTTGTAAAATTAACATTGTGTAGTCCACAATGATCTGACAATAAACATGTCATTTGTATAAAATTCCTGGTGACAACATTAAGTTTACTTTCACTTCTTACTTACTTACTACTTGGTAGAAATAAATCTCCCCTGGGATAATCAATTTTCTATCTGAAACCTGACATAATGAAATCATTCTTACATTTCTGAAGGGAGAAAAACTTGTGTTTGTCAGTGGCTACATCAGTTGTTTGGGGTTGATCAGGAGGTCCTAATAAGAATTCTAGGGCTGACATTTGGAACCCTGCATCTGTCAACAGGCTCTTTGTGGCACGCATCCTATAGATAAACAGTAAACATTAGGACAAAAGGTTATACACATAGATATTGTAAACATTTCATTCTTTCCAAATGTTCCATTAGAATTCTATAAAGACAGTTCTTATATATATATTTCCCTCTCTCACTGTAATGATTCCATCTCTCACTGAAATATTTCCCTCCCTGAAATCTTTCCCTCACTGAAATATTTCCCTCACTGAAATATTTCCCTCCCTGAAATGTTTCCCTCACTGAAATATTTCCCTCACTTAAATGTTTCCCTCCCTGAAATGTTTCCCTCCCTAAAATGTTTCCCTCACTTAAATATTTCCCTCGCTGAAATATTTTCCTCACTGAAATGTTTCCCTCACTGAAATATTTCCCTCGCTGAAATATTTTCCTCACTAAAATATTTCCCTCCCTGAAATGTTTCCCTGACTGAAATATTTCGCTCACTGAAATGTTTGCCTCTCTCACTGAAATGTTTGCCTTTCTGACTGAAATGCTGTTAAAAACAAAGTGTAATCTAAGTTTAAAAAGTTGACCTATAAAATAAATTGGACACGACAGAACAAAAAGAAGCCAGCATCCTGGGACTTTAATTGGCCGAGGAACGGACCACATAGCCATGGTATATGTTTGCTGTACATACTTCTCCTTGCCTGACTTGATCACAAGCTGGTCCAGTATTCCTATCGTAGCTGCCAGAATGGGGAAATGAGAAACACTCTCCAGACCTGAAACAGTACAACACAGTACCTACCAACTGACTTCTCCAGAATTTTCCATTTAACTGAGCATCATAATCATGCTGATCTTATTAGCAAAACCATAACAATACAAAATTTGTGTAGATTTTTAAGTTAAATTTTGTTCTTTTTATAATTCAAACTGTTTTGAGTTATGTGGAATTTCCCCCACTCTGAGTAAAACACTTGATATGCTCATTTCTAGATCTTTTCCCCAAATCTTACCTTCAACCACAATGGCTTGGTGTGGTTTGTGTATTAGTGTAACTATGGTTAGTGTATCAGAAACTGTGGTTAGATTATCAGTGTATCTGTGGTTAGTGTAACTGTGGTTAGCGTATCAGTAACTGTGGTTATTGTAACTGTGGTTAGTGTATCAGTGTAACTGTGGTTAGTGTATCAGTAACTGCAGTTAGTGTATCAGTGTAACTGTGGTTAGTGTATCAGTAACTGCAGTTAGTGTATCAGTGTAACTGTGGTTAGCGTATCAGTGTAACTGTGGTTAGTGTATCAGTGTAACTGTGGTTAGTGTATCAGTGTAACTGTGGTTAGTGTATCAGTGTAACTGTGGTTAGTGTATCAGTAACTGCGGTTAGTGTATCAGTGTAACTGTGGTTAGTGTATCAGTAACTGCGGTTAGTGTATCAGTAACTGCGGTTAGTGTATCAGTGTAACTGTGGTTAGTGTATCAGTAACTGCGGTTAGTGTATCAGTAACTGTGGTTAGTGTATCAGTAACTGCGGTTAGTGTATCAGTGTCACTTACCTTGAATGTACATGGATACCACTGTGTCAAACATTCCATCTCTTGTTGTCACTCGGTTTAAAACTTGACATAGCACCTGACGAAGAAAGTGGGACTATATCATTATAGATCTGACATGATACACCATACTACAACAAAGTTTATACAGTACATATCAATGATCTCGTGGAACAGTTAGGTTATGACAAGAAACTTTGAAATTGTTTTTTTGAAGATTGCACAAAAGACACAAATAATTAGCACCTTTTGATACAGATTGACAATTAGATACAATAGAGCCAAATATTATATTAAAATGCACCGTAGTGATTTTTGTCCTTTGAGGAAAATAAAAAATAAGGGAATTATAAAGTTAGGATCTGAATAGAGAGGTGCATTTGCTTCATATTACAATGAAGTCTACAGACATACATATTACAATAAAGTCTATAGACGGACATATTACAATAAAGTCTATAGACGGACATATTACAATAAAGTCTATAGACAGACATATTACAATAAAGTCTATAGACGGACATATTACAATAAAGTCTATAGACGGACATATTACAATAAAGTCTATAGACGGACATATTACAATAAAGTCTATAGACGGACATATTACAATAAAGTCTATAGACGGACATATTACAATAAAGTCTATAGACAGACAAACACCATTTCGTGACTTTTCTGCATGATTATTAACATGTCCAATAGTGCCAATCAAACCCTGCTAGATATGTCTTTGCACCATTGAAGTTTATGTATGAGTGCCTTAATTTTTGGTCATTTTAGAGGTGTCTGAGCCAGACCAAGAGGTAGTTTTTTTTTATTAAATTATCAAACCAAGAAGAAACAGCTGCTGTATGTAAGGCAGAGTAGAACTCCCTCCAATGAAAATTAAACAAAATAAACTTGGGTACTCTCTCCCCACGGGGAAATGTAAGACCCTAGGGTCAAGAAATTCACAATTTTGGTAAAGCTTTTGAAGACACTTCTATCCATAAGAGAATTTGATGCTACCATATCTGGGTGTTGAGAAATAGATTTTTGAAATCTGAGTCAATTAGACCCCTTTTGGTCCTGCCATCAGCCCTGAGGATCAGCAAGGGTCAATATGGGCATACCATCAAGCCGTCATCTTTCGCTCATAATTCTAACCCAGTTTGAAATATTTCCATTTGAAATTAAACCAATTTTGCTCAAAAATTAAATTTTCTATATAAACCATAGCAAACTTTTGGAAATGTGGGACCCCAGGGCTATGGTGTCTGTGTTTGTACATTATACTGTGTTTGTACATTATGCTGTCAGTGTTTGTACATTATACTGTGTCTGTACATTATACTGTCTGTGTCTGTACATTATACTGTCAGTGTTTGTACATTATACTGTGTCTGTACATTATACTGTGTCTGTACATTATACTGTCTGTACATTATACTGTCTGTACATTATACTGTCTGTGTCTGTACATTATACTCTCTGTGTTTGTACATTATACTGTCTGTACATTATACTGTCTGTGTTTGTACATTATACTGTCTGTACATTATACTGTCTGTGTCTGTACATTATACTGTCTGTGTTTGTACATTATACTGTCTGTACATTATACTGTCTGTGTTTGTACATTATACTGTCTGTACATTATACTGTCTGTGTTTGTACATTATACTGTCTGTACATTATACTATCTGTGTCTGTACAATATACTGTCTGTGTTTGTACATTATACTGTGTCTGTACATTATACTGTCTGTGTTTGTACATTATAATGTCTGTGTTTGTACATTATACTGTGTCTGTACATTATACTGTCTGTGTTTGTACATTATACTGTCTGTGTTTGTACATTATACTGTGTCTGTACAATATACTGTCTGTGTTTGTACATTATACTGTGTCTGTACATTATACTGTGTCTGTACATTATACTGTGTCTGTACATTATACTGTCTGTGTTTGTACATTATACTGTGTCTGTACAATATACTGTCTGTGTTTGTACATTATACTGTGTCTGTACATTATACTGTGTCTGTACATTATACTGTCTGTGTTTGTACATTATACCGTCTGTACATTATACTGTCTGTGTCTGTACATTATACTGTCTGTACATTATACTGTGTCCGTACAATATACTGTCTGTGTTTGTACATTATACTGTGTCTGTACATTATACTGTCTGTGTCTGTACATTATACTGTCTGTACATTATACTGTGTCTGTACAATATACTGTCTGTGTCTGTACAATATACTGTCTGTGTTTGTACATTATACTGTGTCTGTACATTATACTGTCTGTGTCTGTACATTATACTGTGTCTGTACATTATACTGTCTGTGTCTGTACATTATACTGTCTGTATATTATACTGTGTCTGTACATTATACTGTCTGTGTCTGTTCATTATACTGTCTGTGTCTGTACATTATACTGTCTGTACATTATACTGTGTCTGTACATTATACTGTCTGTACATTATACTGTCTGTGATGTACATTATACTGTCTGTGTCTGTACATTATACTGTCTGTGTTTGTACATTATACTGTCTGTACATTATACTGTCTGTGATGTACATTATACTGTCTGTGTCTGTACATTATACTGTCTGTACATTATACTGTGTCTGTACATTATACTGTCTGTGTCTGTTCATTATACTGTCTGTGTCTGTACATTATACTGTCTGTACATTATACTGTGTCTGTATATTATACTGTCTGTACATTATACTGTCTGTACATTATACTGTCTGTGATGTACATTATACTGTCTGTGTCTGTACATTATACTGTCTGTGTTTGTACATTATACTGTCTGTACATTATACTGTCTGTGTCTGTACATTATACTGTGCTTGTACATTATACTGTCTGTGTCTGTACATTATACTGTCTGTGTCTGTACAGTATACTGTCTGTGTTTGTACATTATACTGTCTGTACATTATACTGTGTCTGTACAATATACTGTCTGTGTCTGTACATTATACTGTCTGTACATTATACTGTGTCTGTACAATATACTGTCTGTGTCTGTACATTATACTGTCTGTACATTATACTGTGTCTGTACAATATACTGTCTGTGTCTGTACATTATACTGTCTGTACATTATACTGTGTCTGTACATTATACTGTCTGTACATTATACTGTCTGTGTCTGTACAATATACTGCCTGTGTTTGTACATTATACTGTGTCTGTACATTATACTGTCTGTGTTTGTACATTATACTGTCTGTGTTTGTACATTATACTGTGTCTGTACATTATACTGTCTGTACATTATACTGTCTGTGATGTACATTATACTGTCTGTGTTTGTACATTATACTGTCTGTACATTATACTGTGTCTGTACAATATACTGTCTGTGTCTGTACAATATACTGTCTGTGTTTGTACATTATACTGTCTGTACATTATACTGTGTCTATACAATATACTGTCTGTGTCTGTACATTATACTGTCTGTACATTATACTGTGTCTGTACAATATACTGTCTGTGTCTGTACAATATACTGTCTGTACATTATACTGTCGGTGTTTGTACATTATACTGTGTCTGTACATTATACTGTCTGTGTTTGTACATTATACTGTGTCTGTACATTATACTGTCTGTGTCTGTACATTATACTGTGTCTGTACATTATACTGTCTGTGTCTGTACATTATACTGTCTGTATATTATACTGTGTCTGTACATTATACTGTCTGTGTCTGTTCATTATACTGTCTGTGTCTGTACATTATACTGTCTGTACATTATACTGTCTGTACATTATACTGTGTCTGTACATTATACTGTCTGTACATTATACTGTCTGTACATTATACTGTCTGTGATGTACATTATACTGTCTGTGTCTGTACATTATACTGTCTGTGTTTGTACATTATACTGTCTGTACATTATACTGTCTGTGTCTGTACATTATACTGTGTCTGTACAATATACTGTCTGTACATTATACTGTGTTTGTACATTATACTGTGTTTGTACATTATACTGTGTCTGTACATTATACTGTCTGTGTCTGTACATTATACTGTGTTTGTACATTATACTGTCTGTACATTATACTGTCTGTACATTATACTGTCTGTGTCTGTACATTATACTGTCTGTGTTTGTACATTATACTGTCTGTACATTATACTGTCTGTGTCTGTACATTATACTGTGCTTGTACATTATACTGTCTGTGTCTGTACATTATACTGTCTGTGTCTGTACATTATACTGTCTGTACATTATACTGTGTCTGTACATTATACTGTCTGTACATTATACTGTCTGTGTCTGTACATTATACTGTCTGTACATTATACTGACATCATTGTTAGAGATGAGTTACAGGACCAATTAAGATGTTATGTCGACCTGTTTTTTAAGTTTTCTTGTCGTTCCAATGGTAATAGAACAATATAATTCATTTAACAATTCACAAACCTGAAACACACGTCCCAGAAGAAGGTCTGAAGAGGTTTCTGAAGAGTCCAGGAAAATCTCTGGGGTCACATTTACAACCATCTCAAGCACCCTAAGCAGATAGACTGCTATCTCAAAACAAGTAGCACAAATCTTCAGCTGTCGACTTTCTAGGATACGAAAGTCTGTTCGTGCTACTCGCTGTTGTATCTGTGAAATGAAAGACATAAGTGTTGGATCTTCACTTACTATTCTGATAGTTACACATCAGCCCAATAAACTCACCACCCCAATCAGTCCAATAAACTCACCTCTCCCATCACTCCAATAAACTCATCACCCCCATCAGCCCAATAAACTCACCTCCCCCATCAATCCAATAAACTCACCACCCACATCAGTCCAATAAACTCACCACCCACATCAGCCCAATAAACTCACCACCCACATCAGCCCAATATACTCACCTCCCCCATCAATCCAATAAACTCACCACCCACATCAGTCCAATAAACTCACCACCCACATCAGCCCAATAAACTCACCTCCCCCATCAATCCAATAAACTCACCACCCACATCAGTCCAATAAACTCACCACCCACATCAGCCCAATAAACTCACCTCCCCCATCAATCCAATAAACTCACCACCCACATCAGTCCAATAAACTCACCACCCACATCGGCCCAATAAACTCACCTCCCCCATCAATCCAATAAACTCACCTCCCCCATCAATCCAATAAACTCACCACCCACATCAATCCAATAAACTCACCTCCCCCATCAATCCAATAAACTCACCTCCCCCATCAATCCAATAAACTCACCACCCACATCAATCCAATAAACTCACCTCCCCCATCAATCCAATAAACTCACCTCCCCCATCAATCCAATAAACTCACCACCCACATCAGCCCAATAAACTCACCTCCCCCATCAATCCAATAAACTCACCACCCACATCAGTCCAATAAACTCACCACCCACATCAGCCCAATAAACTCACCTCCCCCATCAATCCAATAAACTCACCACCCACATCAGTCCAATAAACTCACCACCCACATCGGCCCAATAAACTCACCTCCCCCATCAATCCAATAAACTCACCTCCCCCATCAATCCAATAAACTCACCTCCCCCATCAGTCCAATAAACTCACCACTCACATCAGTCCAATAAACTCACCACCCCCATCAGCCCAATAAACTCACCTCCCCTATCAGCCCAATAAACTCATCTCCCCCATCAGTCCAATAAACTCACCACCCCCATCAGCCCAATAAACTCACCTCCCCTATCAGCCCAATAAACTCATCTCCCCCATCAGTCCAATAAACTCACCACCCACATCAATCCAATAAACTCACCTCTCCCATCAGTACAATAAACTCACCTCCCCCATCAATCCAATAAACTCACCACCCACATCAGTCCAATGAACTCACCACCCCAATCAGTTCAATAAACTCACCTCCCCTATCAGGCTAATTAACTTACCTCCCCCTTCACTCCAATAAACTTACCTCCCCTATCAGCCCAATAAACTCACCACCCCCATCAGCCCAATAAACTCATCTCCCCCATCAGCCCAATAAACTCATCTCCCCCATCAGTCCAATTAACTCACCTCTCCCATCAGTCCAATAAACTAACCTCCCCTATCAGTCCAATAAACTCACCACCCCCATCAGTCCAATAAACTCATCTCCCCTATCAGTCCAATAAACTAACCTCCCCTATCAGTCCAATAAACTCACCACCCACATCAGTCCAATAAACTAACCTCCCCTATCAGCCCAATAAACTCATCTCCCCCATCAGTCCAATAAACTCACCTCCCCCATCAGCCCAATAAACTCATCTCCCCCATCAGTCCAATAAACTCACCTCCCCCATCAGTCCAATAAACTTACCTCCCCATCAGTCAAATAAACTCACCTCCCCCATCAGTCCAACACACACACCTCCCACATCACTCCAATAAACTCACCTCCCCCATCAGTCCTGTAAACTCACCTCCTGCATCAGCCCTATGAACTCTGAGAATGACCAGTTCAGCTGGTTAAGCAGTGTGTCCACAAAGCGAATGGCAGCCTCCTTGTCTCTAAGTAAAATGGTGCGGAACAGATCTTGGAAAACCTTGGATGGGCATGGCTCTATGTAAATGAACAGCAACACAGTACCATTTACATGACTTGGAATTGAACTTAATATGTAAAAATATTATGTTTCAAAAGACTTAAACTAGTGAGCAAGCTGTATATACACAGAATAAATATTGTGTATTAATTTACGAAACTTTGGCGAAGAACAAGGAAATCTCACAAATGTGGAGAAACTCAAATCTCATTAAAGAAGAATTTTTATCCGTTGTTATCATTATCAAATAAGTGAAGTGGTATCATTATCTATAAAACTCAACTAAACTCTCAGGTCTATCATAATGCCCTCACAAAATAGTGAACAGCAGATGTTAAAATTCTAATGTTCACTGTTTCTCTAGTACATGTCATATTCATGTCCAGTATAAGTATCACTATTAGCGTTGTTTCGATTTCTCCAGGATTGGAAGTACTTTAAAACATGTACTATAGTGACTTACTCTGTAAACTGGCAAATCCAAACTCTGTTGGCTGGACTCTGGATGGAACAAGGTGTGGTAGGTGTGTGTAACGGAATCCAAACCCACAGCCCTGTAACACAACATACACAACTTCCAAAATATATCACAAAAAACCACAGCCCTGTAACACAACAATACACAGCCCTGTAACACAACAATACACAACTTCCATAGTACATCACAAAAACCCACAGCCCTGTAACACAACAATACACAGCCCTGTAACACAACAATACACAACTTTCATAATACATCACAAAAACCCACAGCCCTGTAACACAACAATACACAGCCCTGTAACACAACAATACACAACTTCCAAAATACATCACAAAAACCCACAGCCCTGTAACACAACAATACACAACTGTAACACAACAATACACAACTTTCATAATACCCACAGCATAACACAAAAACCCACAGCCAACTACACAACTTTCATAATAACACAACAATACACAGCCCTGTAACACAACAATACACAACTTCTGATATACATCACAAAAACCCACAGCCCTGTAACACAACAATACACAACTTCTGATATACATCACAAAAACCCACAGCCCTGTAACACAACAATACACAGCCCTGTAACACAACAATACACAACTTCCAAAATACATCACAAAAACCCACAGCCCTGTAACACAACAATACACAACTTCTGATATACATCACAAAAACCCACAGCCCTGTAACACAACAATACACAACTTCCAAAATACATCACAAAAACCCACAGCCCTGTAACACAACAATACACAACTTCCAAAATACATCACAAAAACCCACAGCCCTGTAACACAACAATACACAGCCCTGTAACACAACAATACACAACTTCTGAAATACATCACAAAAAACCACAGCCCTGTAACACAACAATACACAGCCATGTAACACAACAATACACAACTTCCAAAATACATCACAAAACCCCACAGCCCTGTAACACATCACAAAAACCCACAGCCCTGTAACACAACAATACACAACTTCCATAATACATCACAAAAACCCACAGCCCTGTAACACAACAATACACAACTTCCATAGTACATCACAAAAACCCACAGTCCTGTAACACATCACAAAAACCCACAGTCCTGTAACACATCACAAAAACCCACAGCCCTGTAACACAACAATACACAACTTCCAAAATACATCACAAAAACCCACAGCCCTGTAACACAACAATACACAGCCCTGTAACACAACAATACACAGCCCTGTAACACAACAATACACAACTTCTAATATACATCACATCTGCTCAAAACCCACAAAGCACTTCTTGAAAAGGAGTTAAAGTTGGAGTAGCTTAAAAGTGATAGTGATGACAAATAATGTCCCATCAACTTAGCCTTCAATAGCATCAAAATATGCATTTGATTATCTTAAAATGTCTTCAAATGAATTCACTGTATTTCTTCTCCATGACATTGAAATAACAAATTATTTATACTTAAAAGTATTATTTAATATCTACCTTCCAGATTCTAACCAGGATCCAGTTTGTTTGAGCCCACGATCTGTTCTCATATGGCATGATCAAGGACTTAATCATGTTGTCTTTGCTGCAGAAATAAAAACAACTTATGTTAACGTGTTTTAATTTACAGGTATCAAAGACATCATCTGGTCACACTTAAACACCATTTAGATCGTGTTTATAAGCCTTAGAAATGACATAACCTAACCTTTCTTCAGGAAGTTCCTCGGGAGGATTTGAGTGTAGACTGTAACAGACATAATATACAAACCTTTCTTCTGGTAGTTCTTCCAGGACTTTGAGGGACTGAGGGTAGCAGATGAAACAGGCCAATGCCTGTACAACGTTGTCACGTACATCTATAACAGATTATAGTCAGAAAAGTGTCACTGTGTTCACTTCAATAATCATAAACAATGTTTTACCATCAGAGAACCAAACTGGACATTCTTTTTTTGAGTTAGAAAACCATATCACAAGTTTTAACCTTTGTTGAGCTGTGATTTACTTATGAACTCAGTCAGTTTTGTTTCTAAACACTCTGTCAACTCAACACTTGTCTTTAAAATGTGACAGTGAAACAAGGAAAATACACATTCCTATCAAGAGCCCCGATGAGGACTCCAGCCCGGGTCTTCGTGGTGATAATCGACAGAGTCCACATGTAACAATATATCCACACCAACCCACTCCTTTTACAATACTCACCTGTGTTGACAATTCTGGAATCTGCAAAGTGTCTGGTGAGAAATAAAGCATATTTTCTTGTGAGATCCAAGTGATCTGTAAAAGACAAAAGCAATCCATGTCATAAATAATACAAAATTGTGTTTTTTACTCAATAATTTTAGTATAGGAAGAACAAACACACTTAATTGTAAAACACAAAATGTACTTTAATGACATCTTGTAGACAGATGGAAATCTCTCACTACAACCCTGATACAAGTACCACTAAATCATCTATATATTAAGTAAAACCTGTCAGATGTTTTATTATGAAATCTTATTCAATTTCTGTATAACAACTTAAGATTTGGGTATTGGATGAAGTCACAGCCTCCATCGACAAAAATTGTCAACAATTTGTTTAAATCAAATCTTCATTTTTGCATGTTTCACTTTGCGGATAATTTCTTAATGTAACATATTGACTTAATATTATCTAATACCTAAAGGGAATATAAAACATCTATACCCGAAATTAATTCAGAATCAGAATACCTGGGAACTGAAGATACTTACTGGGTAGTAAGTCAAAAGGACTAGTGGGATGGAATACCTGGGAACTGAACATACTTACTGGGTAGTAAGTCAAAAGGACTAGTGGGATGGAAGAAGTTTTTCAGACAATTGTAGATGTTGATGGCAGTCTCTATGTAGAACTCGGGTGTGTACTGAAATAGAAGGTGGAACTCGGACGCCCGAGATATAGTACGTAACACCACACCAAACAGCCATGCTACGTCAGCTTGTTTATTCTAGAGAGAAAAAGATACATAATACTGTAAAATCACACATTTTTGTGGAGATTGATTTTCATGGTTTTTCAAAAATATCTTTTTTGTGCACACTTGATAAATCTTATTACGATATCTTAGGCAGTTTGTGGACATATAAATTCATGAAAAAAGAATAATCCTGAAATCAAAAATAGAACCCCGACCCCCTCTTAGAAAATTAATGTACAAGTATAAAACCTAATTTACAATCTCGTTAAACACCTCAAAGAAAACCTAGATTATACAGCCAAACTCTAGTCCACATACTGATGTGATTGAGGAGCATGAATCCTAACACAGATTCCATCACTTTATCAATGTGATAATGATTCAATACCTGACATACCTTTGAGTATATAACAGCAATAACCCATCCAATTTGTCTCCCTTGTTCAAGAACTCTCTCCAAGAATACACCTCTAGCCCGCTCAAGCTCGGCCTTCACCTCCAAAAGCTTTAAACAAGTTTTCACTTTTACATAATCACTGCATTATCATTAAAATTACTTGTTTTTTTGCTTATAAACTCACATTAATTGTAACAGTAAATTGGCAGAGACTTGTGAGACAAGTGTTGTTTTCTCTTATCGGTCTGACTGGTTGGACTAAGATTATTCGCTAACAAAAGGCAAACATGCTGATCTTGATTTGCTTCCTTACGAGCTTTCACAAAGCCTCTCAGGGCCTGTATTAATATTTGCAGTTTTTTGCCTGAAATGTAAATTTAAAATACAAACAAACCAGTTGTCTGTATAAATGAACAGGCTTCTTGAAGCATACTATGTTAATTCCAGCATAGAGAGACATCAAAACAAAACGTTATTGATTTCTCTGCTTCTCCTGAGCAAAGGTGGCAAAAAAAATGAAATAGCATGGGATTTGAAAGACTGAAGTATCAAAAATAAACAAAGGGCAATTCACAACATGTGTCTTCTTGATTTTGTCATACAATCTCTATCACAGTGTCATGAAAGTGTTGTGTGTACCTGATTTAGAGCTTCACCAACTGCCTCTCTGTATCAATACCTGTCCCATTATAACTATGTAAATTTACCTGTTCTGGACATTTCTTCAGCGTCATCTCTGTATTAACACCTGTCCCATTATTACTATATAAAGTTACCTGTTCTGGATATTTCTTCAGCGTCATCTCTGTATTAACACCTGTCCTAGTATAACTATGTAAAGTTACCTGTTCTGGACACGCCATCTCTGTATTAACACCTGTCCCATTATCACTATGTAAATTTACCTGTTCTGGACATTTCTTCAGCGTCATCTCTGTATTAACACCTGTCCCATTATTACTATATAAAGTTACCTGTTCTGGATATTTCTTCAGCGTCATCTCTGTATTAACACCTGTCCTAGTATAACTATGTAAAGTTACCTGTTCTGGACACTTCTTCAGCTTCGTCTCTGTATTAACACTTGTCCCATTATAACTATGTAAATTTACCTGTTCTGGACACGCCATCTCTGTATTAACACCTGTCCCATTATTACTATGTAAAGTTACCTGTTCTGGACACTTCTTCAGCTTCGTCTCTGTATTAACACTTGTCCCATTATAACTATGTAAATTTACCTGTCCTGGACACGCCATCTCTGTATTAACACCTGTCCCATTATTACTATGTAAAGTTACCTGTTCTGGACACTTCTTCAGCTTCGTCTCTGTATCGTCCAGTGAAGTGACGTATTCCTTCATGTTGTCTCGTAATGTACCCATCTAGAATTGTATGATGAATATATGTCAAGCTATTTATAGCAAATTAAACATTTTTATAGCATTAAAGTACAGATAACTTTATCTGGGTGTAAGTGTTGTTACAGAGTCAGTTAATTTACTGTGTGGATAATTGTTAATTAACTGTTTGTGATGTAGGCAAAATCAGCAGTGTAAGTTGTTTGTTGGCGAGTTTACCTTTGTGAGTTGTTTGTGGACAGCTATGTGAGTTGTTTGTGGGCGAGTTTACCTTTGTGAGTTGTTTGTTGGCGAGTTTACCTTTGTGAGTTGTTTGTGGGCGAGTTTACCTTTGTGAGTTGTTTGTGGACAGCTATGTGAGTTGTTTGTGGGCGAGTTTACCTTTGTGAGTTGTTTGTTGGCGAGTTTACCTTTGTGAGTTGTTTGTGGACAGCTATGTGAGTTGTTTGTGGGCGAGTTTACCTTTGTGAGTTGTTTGTGGGCGAGTTTACCTTTGTGAGTTGTTTGTGGGCGAGTTTACCTTTGTGAGTTTTTTGTGGGCGAGTGTTTACCTTTGTGAGTTGTTTGTTGGCGAGTTTACCTTTGTGAGTTGTTTGTGGGAAGCTATGTGATATAACAAAACTATTCCATCAACCAGTTCCATGAGAGAGTTACCGCTTGGCATCTGTAGTTCTGGGTATGTTACACCTGGAACACAAACACACCCACTGTAAGTGTTATTTATCTAACATAAAAGGACAGGTGGGCATTCAAATAGATGAAAATAGCAAACAACATCAATAGTTATCATAAAATTATAAAAGAAATTAGAGATAGAAACAAAATATTATCCTATCCTTTGTGTCAAGGAAAATGTGCTTGTAATAGCAATTAATTTTACACAGTACATGTTTTCTTTGTTTGGCCTTACGCTATTGTTTAGTGTGTCTGACCTTTCAATACCTGTTTTTTATGACTGGCCTTACAATATCTGTTTTTTATGACGGGCCTTACAATATCTGTTTTTTATGACAGGCCTTACAAAACCTGTTTTGTTTGTCTGGCCTTACAATACCTATTTTGTTTGTCTGGCCTTACACTACCTATTTTGTTTGTTTGGCCTTACAACACATGTTTAGTGTGACTGACCTTTCAATACCTGTTTTTTATGACGGGCCTTACAATATCTGTTTTGATTGTCTGGCCTTACAACCCATGTTTTGTTTGTCTGGCCTTACCACACATGTTCTGTTTGTCTGGTCTTACAATACCTATTTTGTTTGTCTGGCCTTACAACCCATGTTTTGTTTGTCTGGCCTTACAACACATGTTTTGTTTGTCTGGCCTTACAATACCTGTTTTGATTGTCTGGCCTTACAATAACTATTTTGTTTGTCTGGCCTTACAACCCATGTTTTGTTTGTCTGGCCTTACAACACATGTTTTGTTTGTCTGGTTTTACAATACCTGTTTTGTTTGTCTGGTCTTACCACACATGTTCTGTTTGTCTGGCCTTACAACACATGTTTTGTTTGTCTGGCCTTACAATACCTGTCTTGCTAACTTTTGCCTCTTTTTTGTCCAATGCCACCACTTTGCCATCTGACTGTACAGATAATCCCTGGGCTTTGTTTACACTGTCTGTAAACATAACATACACAGGATTAACTCCTTTGCTTACACTTTTGCTTGCACTTACACAGGAAAAACAGTTTATGAAGCGATGTATGATGGCTTAACTTTTTCTATCGATAGTTTTATAGGATGCAGGGAAATTACACATTAAGCCCTAGTTATTTTGACATCAAATGATTACGACCTTTCTAGCTTGCTTGAGAAATAATTCTGAAACACATCCAAATTAACAAATGACACTAAAATATTGATAGATCACTCACCTCCCAGTATCCTATTGAGGTGTGACACCAGACCACCACATCTCTGAAACTCCATGTAATTTCTTGTCTCTGACCAAAACTCATGGATTGGTACATAGGCCTCTGAAAAAAGTAATACGGAAGTATTGTTTAAGCAGATTCAGTCCACTTGGAGAGAAATATCGACAATAATGTGAAAGTTTAAAGTATTTAACTTAATGTAGGTCATGTTAGCCCGATCCTCTGGATCCTACCAGATAAAAACAAATGTCACATCAACAATCATGCTTCATGCTAATTCCTGCTTTTGTTGATGTTGCAATCATACTAAATCAAATGAAAATGTAAATGCTTTTTTCCCAAAACCAAACATATGTGTAACCAAAGGTCACTTCTTTACTTCAATGCCTTGACTAACATTCCAACCCAGGACCTCAGATTTTACTCATCTTAAGCTTTGTATCATTTCAATGTACAGAATCATTTATACACTGTACACAATATCAGGTATATTCATATACAAACACGGTTTGTACAGTTTCACTAAGGCATTTTTCCATATCACCATGAAAAAATATTTCTACTAAGGTACCAACCATCACTAAATACAAATCGCTTCGGATCCTCGTCCTGAAATACATCCCAGTAATGTCGGACTACCCTCACCATACGGTGGAAAAAACACAACATCACTGGTAACGGACAGAAGGACACCTGATGGGTCTGAAACAAGGAAGGAATCATTTATTTATAATCTGACGTCACTACTCTACCATTGTACGATGAACTTATTTTATTTAAAGTCTGAATTTCCACCAGCCATTTTCACTCTCTTCCTGTTCATTATCATCCATTTTGACATCTGACATGAAAAGATTGTCAGAATGAAGTTCTTTCTGGGGATGAAATAAACTCTTCTTACTACATCTAAAATATCCTTAGATTCCTTGTTAAGCTAACAAGTTAACATTTATGAAATCCTTTTTTCAGCTTTGATTTCTATATCTATTTAACAAACATAACTGATAAAACATTCTAGCTTAATTCTTAAATCTTTTACCTTATCAAATAAGTTCATTTGCAATTTTTAACATAGAACGGAGATTTTCACTAAAGTCATCTTTGTATAAACTTCTTTTAGTTGATTCTAGAACTGTGAATGTGACAAAATCTGAATATTTACTTACACGACCCATACCACTATTCTCTCGCAAGAACAGACGGAACTTCTCCATGAAGATCTGACGAGATGTCTGCCCCTAGATAAATGAGAAGAGGAATACTAAACACACAAAAAGTGGTGGTGTGATAAACAAGTAGCATGACATTGAGGTATCAACCCCTACACACCATGGTTACTGTTAATCATATCTACACACCATGGCTACTGTTAATCATATCTACACACCATGGTTACTGTTAATCATATCTACACACCATGGTTACTGTTAATCATATCTACACACCATGGCTACTGTTAATCATATCTACACACCATGGCTACTGTTAATCATATCTACACACCATGGTTACTGTTAATCATATCTACACACCATGGTTACTGTTAATCATATCTACACACCATGGTTACTGTTAATCATATCTACACACCATGGCTACTGTTAATCATATCTACACACCATGGTTACTGTTAATCATATCTACACACCATGGTTACTGTTAATCATATCTACACACCATGGTTACTGTTAATCATATCTACACACCATGGTTACTGTTAATCATATCTACACACCATGGTTACTGTTAATCATATCTACACACCATGGCTACTGTTAATCATATCTACACACCATGGTTACTGTTAATCAAATCTACACACCATGGTTACTGTTAATCATATCTACACACCATGGTTACTAAAGTCTACACACCATGGCTACCTGTCATATCTCCACACACCTGGCACTGTTAATCTCCATCTACACACCATGGTTACTGTTAATCATATCTACACACCATGGCTACAATCATATCTACACACCATACTGTTAATCATATGTACATATCTCACACCATGGTCTTTAAGTCAAATCTCACACCATGGTCTTACCTGTCATATCTCACATCTAACGTTTTACCACACCATGTCACTGTTAATCTCTATCTACACACCATTTTACCTGTCAAATCTCCATCTACAAGTCTTACCTGTCATATCTCCATCTACACACCATTTACCTGTCATATCTCCACCTAAAGTCTTACCTGTTAATCAAATCTCCACCTAAAGTCTTACCTGTCATATCTCCATCTAAAGTCTTACCTGTCATATCTCCATCTAACGTTTTACCTGTCAAATCTCTATCTAACGTTTTACCTGTCAAATCTCCATCTAAAGTCTTACCTGTCATATCTCCATCTAACGTTTTACCTGTCATATCTCCACCTAAAGTCTTACCTGTCAAATCTCCACCTAAAGTCTTACCTGTCATATCTCCACCTAAAGTCTTACCTGTCATATCTCCACCTAAAGTCTTACCTGTCTAATCTCCACCTAAAGTCTTACCTGTCATATCTCCACCTAAAGTTTTACCTGTCAAATCTTAACCTAAATACTTACATGTCAAATCTTAACCTAAATACTTACATGTCAAATCTTAACCTAAATACTTACCTGTCAAATTTCCACCTGAAACCTCACCTGTCTACTCTCCACCTGAAACCTCACCTGTCTACTCTCCACCTGTATCCCTACCTGTCTACTCTCCACCTGTATCCCTACCTGTCTAATCTCCACCTGTATCCCTACCTGTCTAATCTCCACCTGTATCACTACCTGTCAGATGCCTACCTCTTTGATATCCTTGTGGATGAGCAACACCTTGAGGATCTCCACCTGTATGTCTTCTATAGCTGTAAACATCACATAAAACATTTTACAATTATATAACACACCATACAGCCACGTAATACACTCTACAACCATATGATACACTCTACAATAACATAATACACTCAACAGTGAAAATCAACACAGACCAGGTGTATAAGTCTACAGACAGGAAGGGATTTATACGCTTTTAATGACCAGCTGAATTAAAATCAAAGTTTCAAATTGCATGAAAATCATTCCTAACTACAACAGCATAGACAAGCTCTACATACCTTCTATCTTCTGTTTCAGGCGTTCACAAGACTGCATGTAGTTGGCATGTCTAAGCTTTTCCTCCTCAGTACTAGGTGGGCGTGGCTTGTCCTCATCCTGTCCAACCAAAACCCATGTAGTCTTATCTTATGAATTAATAATTAAGACAGTTTTTCAGTACATTCAGTCCTAATAACAAAATGATATTCATTCAATATTGGATTACTCCTACACACAAAGTTGTGTCATATTTTACAATGGCTGGTGTACACATTCTTGTAGTTGAAGATAATCTACAAGATGGTTAAATCCACTGAATCATAACAAAAATACACAGAATGACAGTACCTTGTTGTAGCTGTCCCACCAGACTGTGGGGATGAGTTCCTGTAGGCCGACATCATCAGGAGGTTTAATGTGCATAAATATAGGGAACTTGACTTTATCAAATCTGTGTAAGTAGTCAAGGATGTCATTGGTTCATTTCTAACCTTACGTAATGTTACCTAATGAAGCAAGATTTATAACCATTTATTTGTGAGTAAATATCAACAGTGATATGGAACTATGAGATAAACTCTTCATTATGACATCATGCCGAAGTATTCATGTTATGTACTGTATGACTTAGGAAATAGTCTAAATACAGATTATTGTACTGAATAGGACAACTGACCTGTGAAACTGCCAATTATAAATGGTAATTAATTAAAGTTTAGTGGTTAAACACAGGATTAGACAGATTATAAGTAGAGGTCAGACAACTTTCACTGTCTCAGTGTAAAGGATACATGACATGTATGAGTAAGTAACGACGTGTAGTGGCATGTTGTAGGATACTCAGCGTCAACATCAGGTATTTGTTCTGTAAATAAAAGACATGCTTTGTTGTATCAATTATCAATTATGGACCTTTATCCCTCTGTCAATATTTCAGTAACAGGTCTATATAATGCCATACTGACAGAAACCAAAGGTCCTTAATTTTCATATTAATTTTAATACCAGGTCTATATAGCATCAGATTGACAGAAATCAATGTTTTCTTGACAGAGTACAAAGAATAAAATCTCCCGACTAATAAAATACCTCAATCAGAATATCATACATTCTCCTCTTAGACATGTACACATGGTTCTAATTTTGTTCTAAATCTATAAACATTGAATCAATATATCACAGTAACTGTAGTTCAAGGGTATAAAGAGCTGCTTGAGAACAGCATCAAGTAGCTTGTACATTGGTGATTTATGTCACTCATCTGAATACCAGTTTATATTCTGAGATGCACACCTGTCTGAAACACAGCAGTGTGAAGTCAAAATTCATAAACAACATGATCAAAAACAAAAAAAAGTCCTTTAATATTGATGGCAACCTTGACACCTTCAATTAAGAACTCTCCTGAAATATTGCTATAAGTGACTAAAGAGATAAAGTTGCTAGAGTGCTGATTTGATTAAGGATGGTTTGAACATGGGTTACACTATATACAAGCTCAACCCCATACATCCATAAATTGTGAAAGCATGACCATACTTACAGCGGAACAAAAGTTTTCTGTCACTGACGAAAATCGGTAACACTGCAGCAAGGAAATCAACAAGTTCTCAAAGCATAACTTCAGTTCATGGTCCTAAATAAAGAAAAATATGGAATTGAGAAAAAATACACAGAAAAGCTGTTTCTAGTTCCAGTTTTTCGTTGCTTATGTAGTTAATTTTTATCTACCTTAATATCAATTTTAATGGAAACTTATGTTAAATCTTATATAACTACATTAGAAAAATATTATTATATTTATTTTTTTCTTAAATGAAAAAAGACTTTCTTTGTATCTGGCCACCAACCCATTTAAAAGATACCATAATCCTTGGTACTAAACAAGAATGACAGACTACCTGCATCAGAGACCACATCTGGTCCAGTAGCCTCTGAACTGCAACTTGTTCCCGCTTGTGGGATGTCTGGTCACAGAGCTTCAACAGGAACGGCAATAGGCAGTCTTCAACCACATAGGCACTTCTCTGTAACAAAATGTATAAAACAGCTCAAACAAGCACTGTAAAATTGTATATTTTTGAGGAGCTAATTTTTCACAATCTTTTCTAAAAATAACTATGTCATGGACACTTGACTTGACAGTATAAAATAGCCAAACATCATCAACTCTTTCCTCTGACTTACAACATGGACACTTCCCATCAGATCACAACAATAGTGATTAAAGGTAGCTTTCTTCTTCAGATCTATACAACATACCAGTAATGGTGCCAATTTTTCAAATATATGGGCAGCGATGAGCATAACTGAGCATTTGCTGCTTGGGAACTCTCCTAGCTTTGGAGGTGGGTTATTCTTCTTGTCAGACACCAAAAACTCCATTTCAATCTGGTAAAATAAATACATTCAAATCACTTTCCTGTGACGTTTTGTATATAACCTAGCCATAAAAAATATTCAAGGCTTTTTTCCAAGTGCTCCAACAGAGAAACCCAATTTATTACTGACAGATATATATAGACTTTTCCAGTCATTTTCTTTTGTTATGTATTTTTCTATGAATTGTCAAGGATTTATTTGTATACATACATTCTGTATTACAATAAAAACAAAGTTCTTATCCTATATCAATGTTGGCTTTAACTTTCACAGCCCTCCAGATGAATCCCACTAACAAATGTACAGTTCTTTGATCAGTTGTGATAAGGATAGAACTTGTTGTAAGACCATAAACAATGTTATAAAGAAAGAGTAGTATAACTACAGTCTTTGTTATACCTAACCAAAGCTTTGTACGAGAAACATACTCAAAATAAGAGCTTTAAGAGTTACTCTGCATCCCATCATACTGTACTTACACTACAACTCTCAGTCATCTCTGTGTGGATATTTTCTAGGTAACTGAATAGGAGTTGTGCCTTAGCCACACTTGCATATGGTACATCTTGGAGTGGTCTGTAGCCCGCAATAGGGTACCTGACAATGTTCAATAGGTGGTTAGTGACAGGGTCTGTGGCCTGCAATAGGTTACCTGACAATAGTCAATAGGTGGTTAGTGACTGGGTCTGTAGCCCGCAATAGGGTACCTGACAATGTTCAATAGGTGGTTTGTGACAGGGTCTGTAGCCCACAATAGGGTACCTAACAATGTTCAATAGGTGGTTAGTGACAGGGTCTGTAGCCCACAATAGGGTACCTGACAATAGTCAATAGGTGGTTAGTGACAGGGTCTGTAGCCTGCAATAGGGTACCTAACAATGTTCAATAGGTGGTTAGTGACAGGGTCTGTAGCCCGCAATAGGGTACCTAACAATACTTAATAGGGTGTTAGTGATTGTATTGTTGTTACAGACACTTCATTTCAAATTATACATTCAAATTTCTCTACAGTCCAAAATAAGACTGCAATTTTAGTAAAATTAAGTTAATACTACTATAAAAATTTGACAGCTGAATATCAGTTTCAACACAATTACTGATTATTAATGTAGTGTTATATGCAATTCTGAAAAGAAATATAGATTGACTGACAAATTGTGGTAGAGATATTTAATCCAAATTTTCAATTCCTGCAGTTACCTAAGAGGTGTGGCTCCAAAGTTGGCATGCAGATTCTCTCCCTGAGACAGGCTGACAGCAGGGAAATACGCCAGACCACTCCCTACCTGTATATCTGTAAAGGCCATTCCCATAGACTTTCCATTCCTAATAAATAAAGTCAATCACAGAATTCTTTGATCGACATCTGTAAAGTCAAGTGTTTCTTTCTACGTCTGAAAGTTAATTCTTAAAATCTAATTACAACAAGGACTATTTTTAATTAATTAACTACTGAAGGTACAAGACTACCTAACCAACTAAAACAACTAAAACACACGTAATTACAGAAAATATGGAACACTTCATTGCAAGTCATATCCAGGCACCCACCATTGTCTGATCTTTATTTGTTCTTTATAAAGTTGGGATCTTTTCCTCTTTTTTCTCTTTTCTACTCTGTTTTGCTATGAATGATATTCATTTGTCAGACATTTTGTTTTTCTGATTTTCTTCTCAGTCCTAAAATCACAGAGGCACAACTAGGGACCAAGGGTAAAGCTACGGATCAAGGGGAAATTACATATGAAATAAGAGAGAGATCCATTCAGTACCTCTCAAGAAATCATGACAAATTTTACTTGGCGAAATCCAAGATGTCCATCTGTCAGCCATTTTGCTTTCCTGATCAGTCCTAAAATCACAGGGACACAACTAGGGATCAAGGGAACCCTACATATGAAATTTGAGAAAAATCCATCCCATGCTTCTCAAGAAGTAGCAATAACAAACTTTCCTTGTTGAAATTCAAGATGGCCCCCTAACAGCCAATTTGTTGTTCTAATCACTCCCAAAATCAAATGGTGGACAAATCTAAGGACCAGGGGAAACCTACATATGAACTTTGAGAGAGATCCATTCAATACTTCTCAGGAAATGGCGATAACAAATTTCATTGTAAAATTCATTGATGGCTGCCTGTTGGCCATTTTGTGTATGATCAGACCTAAAATCATTTGAGCACAACTAGACCAAGGAAAAAATACTTATAAAATTTGAGAAAGATCCTTCCTGTACTTCTCAAGAAATAGTGATAACAAAATTTATTAACAGACCGACAATGGACCTTGGACATAGGGTGATTAGAGGTTTTTCTATAATTTATCAAATTATATATCCTGTGAAGAGCCTCTGAGGAAATTAAGACATTTTTAAAAAGATAAAGAGTAAAAGCTTCAACTGTTTTTCATCCTTATCATGTGTCTTCCCTATCTGACATACAGTCCAATACCAACATATGTGATATAAACCATTCTATCTAACCTAATGCAATCTATTCAGAATTTAAATACAACGGTTCAACACATACCTGTAAAATGTAGCAGATCCAGCATCACAGTCCAGAGCACAAGTAATCACATCCCCTGTCAGCCATTGCTATCACAGAAATCATAAACAATAAATCTATATGTATATGTTACTCATGATTCTTCTATGTCTTATGACACAATATCTATATTAACATTGTGTTTTTGTAACTGTATAAAACTATGTTTAGCAATTCATGATAAAATTGATGTACAAACAAATTGTAAGAGGAACAATTAATTAAGACAGGAGCATTTAAATACTTCTCCATATAAGGCTGCAGCATTTCAATTACCTTTCCATATAAGGCTGCAGCATTTGAATTACCTTTCCATATAAGGCTGCAGCATTTTATTTACCTCTCCATATAAGGCAGAAGCATTTGAATTACCTCTCCATATAAGGCAGAAGCATTTGAATTACCTCTCCATATAAGGCTGCAGCATTTTATTTACCTCTCCATATAAGGCAGAAGCATTTGAATTACCTCTCCATATAAGGCTGCAGCATTTTATTTACCTCTCCATATAAGGCAGAAGCATTTGAATTACCTCTCCATATCGATGAGTTTTAACATTCCACTTCCTCAATCTGCTTCCATCGTAGGCGTATGACCTTATGGTGTCTCCTACTCCTTCCTGGTTTTACACAATATTAGAATAACAGTGATTTACAAACTACATTCTATCACTATAAAGCATTCAAAAGTGACTCAAGGCTCCCATCATCCTTTCCCATGCTTGGCCACCACTACAATTTTATAAAACATTTTGCTTTTCAAGAACATTAAGAAAATGGCTAGATAATGAACTACCGTTCCTTGGTATTATCGACAGGTAAGTATAATCATGATAATATTTACAGAATTGATATCTAAACATCACACGAACGTATCATAATATATGTATGCCATGATTCAAAAAGACTATTATATTATTAAAAACTTCTTTTAAAGACAAGAAATAGTTAATTGGGAAATTTTCATATCTTTTGCAATTTTCTACACTGCCACATGTAACCTTGGTAAATACTAGCCACAAAAATAGGGAGATTTCTCTTCTGCATAATCTATTGAGGGTAAGACTAGTAAGCAAAAGATCACAGGTTGTAATCCTGGCAAAGTTGATGGAGATAACAGACAAGGAGAATGACTGACCAACATTCTCATTAAAATCAACAGAAATATCACATATTACAATATCAGTTAGTGAAGACATGATGATAACTGTAGACTGTGTAAAGCATAAAAAATCTTACTTCATAGGAAAATTTACAGGAAAGAGTACACCAACCCAGCTGCATCACTCCTTTACTTCCCAGCATCAGTTCATACACCCATTTACCTGGTAAACAAAGATGTAAGTAAACAAATACAAATATACATGGACGAAATGCCTCTAAATTCAATACACAAGACAAAAGGAAGAGAACTGTAATTCATTCCAAAAATTAACATGGCATTTGATTGATCAATGAATATATTGTGTGACCATATATCCATGATGTACTGCCTGCAAATTTTTCATGATGATTGTTAATGTGTTGATGACCCCGATTCACAACAAAACTTCACGACCAAAAGGTCACCTGATTTTGAATATTCTTGGCATTATGAACCATGGACAAGGTAAACCCTATCTATAAAATAATGCATAAAATCATGTTTTGTGTTTTGAAATTTATGACAAATACCCATTGTACTATCTCCGCTAATGCAACATGTCGCTGGTAAAATTGCCAACAGCATAATCACAAACTACTACTGCAATTTCAAAACACCATAGAGTTATCCTTTAAATGACAAAATATGTAGGTGTTAAATGCTAAGAACAAAACTAATCATTACTGCCATGATTCTGTGATTTACTTACCTTTGTATACACAACAGTTGGCTCTCATAGTGCTAAAATTACTGTAACTTGTTAACTGAAAAAAATGATAGAAGATATGGTATTCTGTTTCACACTGCTGTTTGTACTGTTGTAATAACATGAGGACAGTAAAACAATGATAAATTTTCTCATTTTCAATATCTACTGCACTGTATAACATATAAACTCATTTTCTCTTTGAACTTTATACAACGTTTATTACCTGTACTTGTATTAAATGTCTTGTTTGGTAAAATTTAAGTTAATTAACTGCAATGTCTTTTTACAGCATACAAGACAAGAGTTCAGTACAATTGCTATATTTGTCAATTGGGGATGGATGATAGGAAGTTCTGACCATTTATTTAGAATATCACAAAAAACATGAATGTGAAAATGTGAACTAAACTAGAGAATATGTCCCTAATCATGTTTTTATCAAATACATTAAAATGAATGTGTCGCATTTCAGTTATAATTTCATATCAATGTCTGACCCAAATGAACATCTTTGCAAAACATTAATATTCTAACACTCTCACTAGCTGAGAAAGAGAACTTGTTCAGCCTAGTAAACCGACAAGTGATAGACTACTGACTGACAGAGAGGTGGGGAGAGTACCATTTACCCTCCTAATCTACTTGAACCCACCACCCCGACCCCCCTCACCATTTATCCTCCTCACCTACCTATCCCCCTCCCCAACCCAACCTCATTGTCTATCCTCCTGACCTACCCCCACCTCACCATTTTACCTCCTGACCTACCCCCACCTCACCATTTATCTTCCTGACCTACCCCCACCTCACCATTTATCTTCCTGACCTACCCCACCTCACCATTTATCTTCCTGACCTACCCCCACCTCACCATTTAACCTCCTGACCTACCCCCACCTCACTATTTATCTTCCTGACCTACCCCCACCTCACCATTTATCTTCCTGGCCTACCCTCACCTCATCAATTAACCTCCTGACCTACCCCCACCTCACCATTTAACATCCTTACCTACCCTCACCTCACCATTTAACATCCTGACCTACCCCCACCTCACCATTTATCTTCCTGACCTACCCCAAGTCTATCAGAATCCACCAGCATGGTTCCAACATTAGATCCAATGTCAAATTCCACTTCCCCATAACTGATCCGTCCTCCATCCGATACTGGATCTGAAATGCAAAAATGAGTAAATCATGATTTTGTCTTATACTTCAAAATAAATTTGATAAACATATCTATTACTTCGTTAGATAGGCAATGTCTTGATAAAATTGGCAGTGACTCAACACCTCAACAGTGGCCTCTAATTTGTTTATGGAATTCATCACATCTTATATTCATATTGAAAATTCAATAAAAGTTGTTAAAAGTTGACAATAAAATCTAAATCAACAGTTTGTTCACCCTTACTAAGAATTGTGTAGAAACATTTTTTATGAAGAATTATTATATTACAAGTTGGATCATCCAGATACATTCATTTATTTTTTTTATGGTTGAAATACGGACTTAAACAAGATAACGCAAAACGTGACATTCTCCCCTACACCCCACTGTTTTAAAGAAAGACACACAATCATATATATAGGTTAATATCACAACAAGTTTAATTTCTATTTGTTATCTTTAATTGTTATATACAAAGTATAGAATTGAGAGCTGCTACTAGAGTTCTAGCTTGATGCCTGTACAAAGTATTGAAATGGAGAACTTCTACTAGAGTACTAGCTTGATGCCTGTACAAAGTATTGAAATGGAGAACTTCTACTAGAGTACCAGCTTGATGCCTGTACAAAGTATTGAAATGGAGAACTTCTACTAGAGTACTAGCTTGATGCCTGTACAAAGTATTGAAATGGAGAACTTCTACTAGAGTACTAGCTTGATGCCTGTACAAAGCATTGAAATGGAGAACTTCTACTAGAGTACTAGCTTGATGCCTGTACAAAGCATTGAAATGGAGAACTTCTACTAGAGTACTAGCTTGATGCCTGTACAAAGTATTGAAATGGAGAACTTCTACTAGAGTACTAGCTTGATGCCTGTACAAAGCATTGAAATGGAGAACTTCTACTAGAGTACTAGCTTGATGCCTGTACAAAGCATTGAAATGGAGAACTTCTACTAGAGTACTAGCTTGATGCCTGTACAAAGTATTGAAATGGAGAACTTCTACTAGAGTACCAGCTTGATGACTGTACAAAGTATTGAAATGGAGAACTTCTACTAGAGTACCAGCTTGATGCCTGTACAAAGTATTGAAATGGAGAACTTCTACTAGAGTACCAGCTTGATGCCTGTACAAAGCATTGAAATGGAGAACTTCTACTAGAGTACTAGCTTGATGCCTGTACAAAGTTTTGAGTACCCGGTAATTACTAGTACCTTGAATGATCAAATAGAACTGGTCTGAAAAAACTGAACTTCGTGATATGGGTTATCTGTTTCCATGGTAACAGAAAAAGTATCTAAATGGAGAACTTCGCCACAGCAAAAGATACTAACTAGCTTAATAAGTGTAAAACATTTTGAGCAATTTATAATGGTTTCAGAGCACTGGTCCAGAACTGAAAATTGTGATGAGGGTTATCGGTTTCCATGGTAACATAAAAAAATTTAACAAGGGCACTAAACTCATCTATACAGAAAGTTTTGTGGAGCAAAGAGGAATGGTTTGGAAGTTGTTGCCCAGAAATGAAAATTAACACTTATTTTCAGTTTTCTGACTTTCCAGGCTACAACTTAAAAACCATTCCACTCATCTCAACAATACTGTATATATTAGGTTAGTGTCCCAGTTGTGCCTTATACCTCTTCCTTGTGTGTATATATGTTCTTACCTTACACCAATATAAATGATCTTACTTGTGTATGTATCTGTTCCCTTGCCTGCCACACCCTCCTCCACTCCCATATCAGTCTCCCCCTGCTGGGACACCACATCCTTCAGACTTTTATCTAGATATGTCTGAAGAGTTTCCAGGCCAGATAGTTCCCTTTTTTCAGCAAAACAACAATTATTACAACAGTTTTACAAAACAGAATGAAGATGTCGCAAGTCTACATGGTACTGGTAAATCTTTTCAAACAATGCTTTCAAAGTTTTTTAAAATGACTTGGTTAATTACAGAGGAACATAAATTTATCAAAAAGCTTTAACTGTACAAACATATAGGTAGTACATATGTAATTGCAACACACTCAGATATTTCAAAATTATCTAGAAGTTCATCAAAGCATGCAGTGACTTTATTTAAGAGACACTTCAGACTTGACAATCCTTTATAATGAATCTAATTTCATTATCTAATATAAAAAAAAAAACACCAAGAGTCATTACAACAAAAAAAGTTACACATTTTTATCAAAATCAATGAGAGTAATCAACAAACAAGTGACAGAAGCTTACCTTGTTCCATAAGAAGCACATGCCTGTGATGAAAGATCTGTAGATGTCGGAAACACTTTGTCCAATAAACGACTAGTGTAGGGATCTGGAAAAAAAAATCACTTTCAGCAAAACTTACATGACAGTTGTACAGTTTAAAAAAATTAGCCGTAAAGCAAATAGATATGAATACAATATTCCTTTTTAATCCTTTTAATAAAGTGGGAGAGCTTGGCAATGAACAATATCTATCTCATTAGAATTACATTTTAAAATATGTAGCATTGGACATCCAAGCAAACACTTATGGCATTAGTTTGATTTTCACAACAAAGACCTGATTTTTAATGCAGGGATCCAAAATCACTGACATGTCTGATGAACGGTCAAAGAGCTGTACAATGTATTAGTACACTGTACACATAAAACATATTAAATACAGAATGGTGTCATGTTGTTTCGGTAACAATGTTTTTCTATATTTCGTTTTCATCATTTGGTGACATGTCACTCTGGTGCCAATCTGTAAAGCTCTCTGAAACAAGTGGTGATGTTATTTTATTTTATTTATGATTTTTGTTACCATTAAAGAAATGATCATTGGCCATTGTTCAGAAACTTGATAAAGTGCTGAGGCACACGAGGTTTGTTATCTGATACTTACTGTGCTTGTTTCAAAATGAAGTTGAGGTTTAAAATGTTAAATGATGTGTGTTTAGGTGTAAATGCTTTAACGGTTTCATATAGGGGATGGGTGACTAGCATTCCTGCTACTGTTTTCAGGACATTTCATTATATTATGGTACGTAAAATATAGCAACGAAGCGTCTAAATGGGCATTCGCTTGTTCCGAGTTCAACAGAATCAAGAATAGGAAAATGCTCTATGACTATGTGATAGATGTAATTTTTCATAATTTCCTGTTATGTGTGTGACTTAAGCGCCAAGTCATCTTGTTTGTAGTGTTTGCCATTGAAGTTTAAGAAAATTTGTAAAATGACATTACAGAATGAATGTCAAGGATCTTTATCAAGGCATTTCTATGAATAACTGCAGAAAATGAATCCTACATAAATATACTGAATTAACTTGTGAATAACTGCAGAAAATGATGCCAATATAATTTAGAATCACTTGCTGTACCGAATGTTTTCAGTTATTGAACCTTTACAATAAAAAAAAACAATGCTATTGAAAAGCAAAAGACACCTTTACACTCTGGGTGTAATATAAGTACAAGCTGAAAAATCTCTATATGTTTTATATCTATCTATATATATAGGTGCTCAGTATAAAATACACAAATATATCTCCCAAAATCAGGATGTCGTCTTTCTGATGGAGTACTTCAGCTGTCTGGTCTTTTTGATAGAGTTTTTCTTCTGCAGTCAGTAACACTGTTTTATAAAATATATATGTTGCATAGGTGTCATGTGGGAGTTTAAAAACGCTTTTGCACAATTAAAAGCTGGGCTCGTTTTTGAGAAATTGTTGTGGTCTTGACAGCATGCTTCTGGGGTGAAAGAGTCCCATAAGTTCTGGGGTATGTATTCCAAACAATTTTGACAATTCATTGTTCTTTCTTTTAATCATCCTGGAGCAGGTGGTATGTTAACTTGTAACGTTTGTAGTTTGATGTCGTATTACATAATTTAACTTTCCATTGATCATTCCAGCTACGAACTACCAATGTTGTTAAGGAGTATAATGACTTGAAATATCGCTCTGGCTCATTTTGTGAATACACATGTGACTCAATGGCAGATGCTACATTAATGGTTATTGTCAACATTTACTAATGACGGACTACACGAGTAATGTTACAACTGTACAATCAAAGCTAGTCATACTGAGCATGTAATCGCGATTTCCTTCATATGACATCAATATGATTCACAGGTCATGTGCCTATATTGTTGAATGAGGGAGATATGGATCATGCCTATGTGCATTCACTAACTAAAGTTAAAATTCAATATCAGCTGCTTGAATGCAAGTTCATCTGTTCATTTGGTGCCGATTCAGGCACACACAGAGGACATATGCAATTCATCAAGCAAACAACACGCAGGTGTAATTAAATTGGATCAGTTGATTCCTATGTACCTTTCTTTGCTGTTGTTTGTTGGCGACCCTCCATCATCAACGATGTATTTGGTAAGTTAATATATCATCGAGTCGCCCGTCAAAAGAGAAGACACCAATTAAAAACAGGAAGTGACGAACAACACACCTAACTTTGACGGAAGTGGATGGGCGAATGAAAAATTAAATTAAGCCTTCATTTTCCCCGTTGTAATGGCAAACATGATTGATCTAGAGACTCGAAACAATTTCTAAATAAGCTATGTTTATTAAAGGATACTTGTATCTATTAATCAAGTTACAAGGACATTTACAAAGAAGGTTATTGATAATTCCATGAAAATTATTACGCGGAGAATGTCTACTAATCATTAAGGGTGCGCAGCCATGAAAACTGACAAATAAAACTGATGTCATGTAGTCAACATCAAACAATGATTAGCATTTTACAAATTGGTTTCAGAACTATCAACAATGTCTTCAAAGTAACCTTCAGAGCTAACCTTTTCACAATTTGCCATTTCCTAAGGATCTCGCCATCTTGAAATGTCCCTCCGGAGTATAGAGACAACATTGGACTTTCTTTTTTTCTTCAAAGTGATTTTGTATTGAGATAACCGATGCTGTCTGAAGACTATTCCCAATATCACTTGGAGTGGGGAGGTGTTGCAGTGAAATCCATGTAATAATATATAAGAAATGTTGATAACTGTTTTAACAGCCATTCCAGAATAATTGACCCACTATTGTATGAAAAGTGATGAAAAATAAAAAAAGTTTTTCTATTCAGTAAATGTATTTAAAATCGAAGTAGAGTATTACGGGAGTGATTTGACAAGTTTTCACACACACGACTCTTATCAATCAAAAAATATCTGAACCACAAAATAGTTAACAAAATTTGTCGTTACGGAGGTTAGAAAAGATTTTATTATCCACTGGTGAGAAAAGTAATGGATTTATCGTACCTTTCTTTTCTGATTTCTTTAAAGTACTTGATGTGAATAAAGACTAGAAAACATTTTATACATATCGTTCATTATACACACTGTGACAATGAGAAACCGCATGAAACATTACAACATTTTTCATGTAATTTTATTATTCGTCAAAACAACAACATCATGCACGTTCATTATGCCATTATTGGCATCAATCAATCCATTATTTCACTCTTTGATATCATTGGGTATTTTAAAAAGTGTCACAATTGTGCAAAACGATTATTTGATTGCGCAACAAGTTTTATATACAGAAGGATTTTAGTTACGGAGGTCAGAAGGTAACAACACAACCAACCGGTAAAGAAACTAACGGAATAACATAAAGTTCTTTAGAACAACTGGAACGGAAAAAATGCATTTAACAATAACTAGACATATTTACAAATTTTCAGACAAGATTATATACGTTTCAGAAGGATATCTTAAAACGTTACGGAAGTCACATTGACATTCGATAAAGACATTATATGTTCAAATTATATGCTTCAGAAACATACCAAAGTCTTACTTTTAGTTCATATTTGTATATTTATGAGATTTACTTTCTGTATTCACACTGCAAAATTGTGGAAATGATTTTAGGCCAACAATATGCTTTCGTTACGGAAGTTAGAATTTGCTAATTCCTATACGAGGCAGATCGAAACCATGAAAGCGCCACAAAATCTCACGTGCACTGATTGGTTATATTTCAAATTTTTGATTAATTAGTTCCAAGTCAAGATCATTAATTTTTAGCGATCTCCCGCGACTGCCAACCAGGACTGGCGGCGTGCACAGAATATGCAAAATATTCTGCTTTTTAATCCATATTTGATCCGGTTTGGAAGGCTTTTTGAACGTGGTTGATACTCTGCCAGATTTCTCCAGAAAGCCAACAAGAACATCGCCGTCGTTTTCATCTACTTCGATGACCTGACCAATGTACCATGTTGTGTTGTAAATGGCAGCAACCCAATCGTCTATTGAAATTTCAACTGCCAAGTCGCCATCATGTTCACCATTCTTTGTAGACCCCCCTGGTAAGTCTTGCTCGTCCATGACTACATCGGCTTCTTTAGGTTCGTTAGTTCCAATTTCTGTATGTTCTGTTTCCTTTGTTGGTTTGTCGTTTGTTTCTTTGGTAGTCGTTTCTTGATTTGTCACTACATGGACTGTCGATGTTTGATTTCTGTTTTTTACTGGAGCAAGATTGTGTTTTGTGTAACCGTCACATGAGGTTGAGACAACGTCCGCTAGACATTGGTCACAATAGCAAGATATGTTCCTGGTATACACTTCCATTGGTACATATGACAACACATAGTGAACTTTAAAAGTTCCTGGGACTGCACGTGCAGTTGGACGTTGGGAGAGTAGTGCCTGGGCTTCGTCGTAGTCTGACTGCGTGTAGAGAACGTACAACACTTTACTGCCGCATTCCACAGCAGATTTTGACCATTTGAAAAAGTCATCCGCATTTTGGATAGAATATCTGCCTTGTTTTATGGCGTCACCAGCAACTCTTTTTACACTAGCTCCTAAGCCGTCACACGGCCCTTTCCCGTGACCACTTTCCAGGTAGTTCCATCGTGCATTGACGCCAAATTCCTCTTTATGCTGTGAAATGAATTGAAATATTGTTTTGTTTCTGTACTGACTGGTTGGAGAATCTGTCAGGTAATGTATGGTTTCAAGGTCTGGAACAAGTTCCTTTATCTTAGGAATAACCTTCAACAGTATAGCATAAACGGCAGTTGCGTTGTGGCACAGAACATCGGAAATTGCGACGTAAATTTGCATGGATTTGGCGTTGTCTTGCTGATTATCCGGAAAGTCTACCCCCATTGTGTATAGGCTAACCATCGCAATGGTCCAATAGGCAGATTGAACTTCTTCAACTGAAGAGCACTGGAAGTTTTCTGCGAAGTCCATCCATACCACTGCATGCTTTTGGGGGAGGTTTTCTCTAAGTTTTCTAAGTTCGCTGTATTGATGTTTTACTCTTTCTATGTGATCTTTAAATTCGCTGAGATCGGTCTTCATTTTGTCTAAGAAATCGTCCTTCTTTTCCGTTTCTTCTACTTCCTTGTGTCTATATCTATCACCGTCCTGTACCCTCTTTCATGTTTTGTATGTTATTTCAGTTACATCCGATTCCCTTATTTTGGATAGCAAATCATCATTCGTTTTGATGCATTCGTCCGGGTTTTTCGAACATTGTATTCCCGCTGCGTTGAGTGCTCTTAATTTTAAAGCCATATTTTGGTGTTTAGAACACAGACAAGTTTTCCTTGATGCAAAATTTGCAAGCATAATGTGAGATGGGCGAAACGGCTACATAACCGATTTCGATATCTTTATCCTCGGATTCTCCATTCTGAACTTTTCGTAGAGATTTTTCATATAGTCGCATAAAATGTGTTTCTGTTTTTTCACTTTTCCTGACGTTTTTGTGTCCCTTTTGCCAGGCATAACACAGCAGTTATCTTCTCTCTCAAGAAAGGCAACAACTTTCTCACGTAATTACTTTGTCCCGGTGCTTGTTTTTCTTGCTGTACCAAGTACCCTCACCTTCCTCCGGCTAACCCCTAAAGCCTTTCCCATGATTGCTGTGCATCTGTACTTTCCTGTTATTCCTTTCCATGATTTTTTAGCAGAATTTATTTTCTTCTTTTTCCCCGTTACACTTTCCTTTATTTCTGAAGCCATAGTGTTCGCAAGCAAAAACTTCTTGCGGATAAATGACAGTTTTCTCCTAACTGTAGTTTGGCGCTTTCCGTTAGTTATTTTTTCTAGGTTCAACAACTTCATTTCATGTTTCGTTTTAGAATTTGGAGTCATTGTTATATCCACTGAATTGTTCTCGTTGATGCTGTCAACGTAATCGCTATCATCATGAGAATCGCTACTGTCCACAAACTTCTTTTTAATTCTCTCAAGACGCTTCTGTAATCTCTTATTTGCTCTGTGTAATCCTTGATTCTTTACTTTCAATTCATTGTTTGAGCGGTATGCCTGTCGGAGCGATCTTTTGTATCTTTTACGTAGTCCTTTGTTTTTAGAAGTCGATGGTAGTTTGACTATTAGCTTTTCTCCAGCACCTACTTCGTCATCCTCTCTTGCAAGTGTGTCTTTACATTTTCTTGTGTCTTTAGTTTGTCATAACTCCTTTTCGACCTCTTACGTCCATCTTCTCGACGTTTTTTAAGAGCGTTAGCCCCTAGACATTCAACGGGAATATATTTCTCTTTTTTTCTTTTTGCTTCTTTTTTAAAGAAGTCCTCCTCATTTTTTGCTTTCTGTTTTTCGCGCCAACGCCTTTGTCGCTCGGCATTCGTTAATGGTAATCTGTAAAGATATAGATATAAGCACACAAATACACAAAAATCTAATGGATATTATACATTTGAGTATTTAATAAACCACATAATTATTGCTAGAGTCAGAAATGGCCCCGTTGTGTGCTTGTTGTTGTTGTTAAGTGTTGCTATGGCGGCCATCTTGAAAATCGGAGCAAATAAAAAATACTTTAATGCACATCTAGACATCATATTCTATCATTATGTAAAGTGTAATATCTCTGGGCCAATTAGTTTTTGAGAAAATTGACGGAAACCAAGTTTGGACGGCGGAACCCCGATACGGCTTCAACAAATTTCTGTTACGGATGTCAGACGTTACGGAAGTCAGATTTCAGCATTGTTATTTCCATTTCACAGATCATAACAAATAATATCAGGCCAGTTTCGTGTTTTTTTTTAACTTTACTTAACTTTAACTCAAATATATGCAAAACTTTTGCTCTCTGTAGTTTTATATTCAATTTGAAGCCGTTACGGATGTCAGGCCCTTAAATGCGACATTGCAATGTGTTGTATATATTAATCAGCAGAACGTGTTTGACAAACCTTGTTTTAAAATAAACGCAATGGCGATCGTAAGTGATGTATAACGAGTGATTTTAGTGAAGTTATTTAGCAACAAACCCAGAAAATATAGAAACACCGGTTATAGTTTTAGGCGTTACGGATGTCAGACCGTCTAAGGCGACAATGTTGCATTAGGTTTTAAAAACAGTAGCGTAGAGAGGGCTTGTAAAAAAGTATTTTGTTGTCATGTAACGTATTTTTAGCAACCGAAACAGTACTTGATTTATGCATACCTCGCCACAACATTGTGAGCTTCAACTGTCAATATCAAAGACAACTAAAGCGACATTGCAAAATCGTTTATTATTGTCTATTTACCATAATATAAAGGCATCCGCTTCTGAAAAATATAAGTGTTAGTTGTGAACGAGGTAATTAATTTTGTCAGACAATACCTAGAACAAATTGTAGGAACAGGAAAGTTGTTGTAAAATATTTATTTTGTCGAAACAGACACTGCGACACAAGGTAGTTTCAACCTCTTCTAAGTGGGTCAATTATTCTGGAATGGCTGTTAAATATGGATATGTTTATAATTCCCAGTTTTAAAAAAAATCGCTGATGTCATGTAAAGCATTATCATGTTGATATAAGAATATAGTTCTATCCTTTTTAGATAAGTAAATGATATTTATGCTGATCTTTTATTTCACAGAAAATTATTGACACCACTGTGATGTATATCATGATTTCTGTGTAAGATATTGACAACAAATTAACTTCAGGTTTACATGGAGATATATCTGTTGGAGTTTTTTTTTCAGAATTATGATGGTTTCTGCCATTCCGATCCCAGATATCTGGAGAGTGTGATATTATGATCATGACATTACTACAATGTTAATAGATTTATGAACAGGTGTTTTTACAACATTTGATATCACAGTACACTATGGTATTTTTTTTTCAAAGATTGCTGTTTTAGGATAAACAACTCTTAAATGGTTACCACCTTTTAGCTTCCTTCACATGTGTGGAAACAAGGTAAACAGGATTACCCTCTCAGTGTTACAAGGAGATGCCCTCAAATGACTACAAGGTGGTGTAGTGACAGTGATCCCACTATTACAGAGACATGACCTCAAATGAGTACAAGGTGTGTAGTTACAGTGATCACACTATTACAGAGACATGCCCACAAATGACTACAAGGTGGTGTAGTTACAGTGATCCCACTACTACAGAGACATGCCCTCAAATGTGTTTGACAGGTTAATTACATCTCAACCAAGGACACCAAGAGGTGTCTTCAAATGTGTGCAAGATGGGAGTGCATACAGCTCTCTTACTGTTACAAAGAGATGCCTTCAAATGTATGTATAACATACAAAATGTTGCATACACCAAAATAAAATGAACCATCCTGAATACATAGAGGTTTTTTGTGACAGAAAATTTTTTTTCTGTGTTTCTTATACTGTTGTTCAAATTGGATTCAAGTGTTTGCCCGTCGAAAATGGGTGGATACTGGGTGATGCTTTCTGTCTCTGTAAATATGTCTATGACCAATGGAAACATCAATCATTTTATCATGGAAATGTGATACTCATTACTTGATAGTAATGGTCTACAACACCATAAATGATATCAGTGGTCTACAACACCATCAATGATATCTGGTCTACAACACCATCAATGATATCTGTGGTCTACAACACCATCAATGATATCTGGTCTACAACACCATCAACGATATCTGTGGTCTACAACACCATCAATGATATCTGGTCTACAACACCATCAATGATATCTGGTCTACAACACCATCAATGATATCTGTGGTCTACAACACCATCAAAGATATCTGTGGTCTGCAACACCATCAATGATATCAGTGGTCTACAACACCATCAATGATATCAATGGTCTACAACACCATCAATGATATCAGTGGTCTACAGCACCTTCAATGATATCAGTGGTCTACAACACCATCAATGATATCAGTGGTCTACAGCACCTTCAATGATATCAGTGGTCTACAACACCATCAATGATATCAGTGGTCTACAACACCATCAATGATATCAGTGGTCTACAACACCATCAATGATATCAGTGGTCTACAACACCATCAATGATATCTGTGGTCTACAACACCATCAATGATATCAGTGGTCTACAACACCATCAATGATATCAATGGTCTACAACACCATCAATGATATCAGTGGTCTACAACACCATCAATGATATCTGTGGTCTACAACACCATCGATGATATCTGTGGTCTACAACACCATCAATGATATCTGTGGTCTACAACACCATCTACGATAGCTGTGGTCTACAACACCATCAATGGTCTACAACACCATCAATGATATCTGTGGTCTACAACACCATCAATGATATCTGTGGTCTACAACACCATCAATGATATCTGTGGTCTACAACACCATCAATGATATCAGTGGTCTACAACATCATCAATGATATCAGTGGTCTACATCACCATCAGTGGTCTACAACACCATCAATGATATCTGTGGTGTACAACACCATCAATGATATCAGTGGTCTACAACACCATCAATGATATCTGTGGTCTACAACACCATCGATGATATCTGTGGTCTACAACACCATCAATGATATCTGTGGTCTACAACACCATCTACGATAGCTGTGGTCTACAACACCATCAATGGTCTACAACACCATCAATGATATCTGTGGTCTACAACACCATCAATGATATCTGTGGTCTACAACACCATCAATGATATCTGTGGTCTACAACACCATCAATGATATCAGTGGTCTACAACACCATCAATGATATCAGTGGTCTACATCACCATCAGTGGTCTACAACACCATCAATGATATCTGGTGTACAACACCATCAATGATATCAGTGGTCTACAACACCATCAATGATATCTGTGGTGTACAACACCATCAATATCTGTGGTCTACAACACCATCAATGATATCTGTGGTCTACAACACCATCAATGGTCTACAACACCATCTATGATATGTGGTCTACAACACCATCAATGGTCTACAACACCATCTATGATATCTGTGGTCTACAATGCCATCAATGATATCAATGGTCTACAACACCATCAATGATATGTGGTCTACAATACCATCAATGATATCAATGGTCTACAACACCATCAATGATATCAGTGGTCTACAGCACCTTCAATGATATCAGTGGTCTACAACACCATCAATGATATCAGTGGTCTACAACACCATCAATGATATCAGTGGTCTACAACACCATCAATGATATCAGTGGTCTACAACACCATCAATGATATCTGTGGTCTACAACACCATCAATGATATCAGTGGTCTACAACACCATCAATGATATCTGTGGTCTACAACACCATCAATGATATCAATGGTCTACAACACCATCAATGATATCAGTGGTCTACAACACCATCAATGATATCTGTGGTCTACAACACCATCTATGATAGCTGTGGTCTACAACACCATCAATGGTCTACAACACCATCAATGGTCTACAACACCATCAATGGTCTACAACACCATCAATGATATCTGTGGTCTACAACACCATCAATGATATCTGTGGTCTACAACACCATCAATGATATCTGTGGTCTACAACACCATCAATGATATCAGTGGTCTACAACATCATCAATGATATCAGTGGTCTACATCACCATCAGTGGTCTACAACACCATCAATGATATCTGTGGTGTACAACACCATCAATGATATCAGTGGTCTACAACACCATCAATGATATCTGTGGTGTACAACACCATCAATATCTGTGGTCTACAACACCATCAATGATATCTGTGGTCTACAACACCATCAATGGTCTACAACACCATCTATGATATCTGTGGTCTACAACACCATCAATGGTCTACAACACCATCTATGATATCTGTGGTCTACAATGCCATCAATGATATCTGTGGTCTACAATGCCATCAATGATATCTGTGGTCTACAATGCCATCAACAGAAGCACATTCCAGAAAACTGATACACGAGATCATTTCAAACTTCATGTTAAGGAAACACGGCTATGGTCTTAATATCTTTTATCCTTATATATTACTATCCATCTATATCACATAAGTGATGGTCTGCATTTCACCATACTGGTTATCTCTTGTTAATGGGGAAATGGAATATTATATATATGTATAGATCTAGACCTGGTAATTATTTCAATCTCATGTAGAACACATTTAACTCTTGTTCCTTTACATAGATACTGTTCTCCAGCCTAGCTACACAGGTGTACTGAAATGTCAATACTGCAATATACACTCTGTAGCGTCGCCTGACGTTTTATAAATAGCATACAAATTTACATGTCAACTGCAGTGTAGTCATATTAAAAGTTCAGTCTTTGAACAGGAAATTTTGTTTGGAACCCTGGCATAATAACGGACACTTCTTAACCACCGGAGTGTGAAAGAGATCTGGAGATTTATACCAGTGGAGACAAGGGAAATAACTACCTCTATTTTAGGACCATCATTCATAAGGAAATCAAATGCTTGAATAAATTTTTTTTATTTTTTTCTTTCCCTAAAATCATGAAACAAACAGAAAAAGTAATGCAAAATGGATTTATTTTTCCTCTCTAATTGGTTCAAATTTATTTGGCTCCATCAAATGCTTTAGCAGAAAGGAAGTCTTTCCACAGAAGTTATGAAACAAACGAATTATTTCTCTATAAATTGTACAATTTGTACACTTATTCTACCTGTTTTTCCACTTTTATTCTAATGTAAAAAAAATTTATTGAGCCCCTTAAAATAACAGCACAATAGTAATTTTGAGGTACAATAGTAACATTGAGGTACTTAATACAGTAACAATGGATAGGAAAACAAGTTAATAATCAACAACAAATGTATACGAGTCTTTTTTAATTTGGTGACATTCTGCTTATAACAAATTATCAATTATATTTGTTCCGTAGTGAAGTTACAGAAACTTGCCACGTGAGGAAATCAATACAAGCACTACCAATATTCACCTGTGGCAGTGATGTAACAAAACTTTAAGTTTCAGAAATTTACTTTCAAAACAAATTTGGCAAAATGTCGGTTACAAAGAAAGGAATATCAAAATAATGGACCTCTACATTGCTTGCAACTTCAAGTACTTGAGGAACACTTTTAAAAAAGTTCAACATGTACTTAAATAGAAATAGTTATAAAATTGATATTCAAAAGCAATGGATATAAAAATACTGTTATATGTGGAGTTTAGAATAAATTCAACAGTCAAACAAATTGGTCAATACTGCAACAAAAAAGGTAAAAACAATTTGGTAAATATTCAAATAATTTCAACATTTCACTTTTCATCATACCTAGATTTAAAATTTATCCTCAACCCAAAATATACATCAGATATATTTTTATATCAGAGTACGTTATTTGAGAGTACCAAAATATCATGAAGGAATATACACATACTTGTACAACACAATGTACTTGAAAGTAGATAGATTTTATTATGACTTGTAGCATACATAGTCCAGAAATATAAACACTTCCTGTAATTTGTTACCAAGTGTCATTATATCAATCCTGGGCTCTGCATGGAGTGTAATTTTTTATTATGTCTAACATTCAATTAAAAGGAAAATATAACTCAATTCAGATCTTTTCAACAACGTTATACCTCGATACTTTTTGTCTACAATGTAAACATCTACATTGTAAACATCTCAATGTGAACATCTCCACGTAAACATCTCACAATGTAAACATCTACCATGTAAACACCTTCAATGTAAACATCTCCATGTAAACATCTCACAATGTAAACATCTACAATGTAAACATTCACAATGTAAATATCTTCATGTAAACTTCTACAAGGTAAACATCTCACAATGTAAACATCTACCATGTAAACATCTCACAATGTAAACATCTACAATGTAAACATCTCACAATGTAAACATCTACCATGTAAACATCTACAATGTAAACATCTCCATGTAAACATCTCCATGTAAACATCTACAATGTAAACATCTCACAATGTAAACATCTACCACGTAAACATCTCACAATGTAAACAACTACCATGTAAACATCTTCAATGTAAACATCTCCATGTAAACATCTCCATGTAAACATCTCAATGTAAACATCGACAATGTAAACATCTCCATGTAAACATCTCACAATGTAAACTTCTACAATGTAAACATCTACAATGTAAACATCTACCATGTAAACATCTCACAATGTAAACATCTACAATTTAAACATTCACAATGTAAACATCTCCATGTAAACATCTACAATGTAAATATCCACAATGTAAGCATCCACAATGTAAACATCTCCATGTAAATAAATACCATGTAAATATTAACAATGTAAACATCTGACAATATAAACATCTCAATGTAAACATCTACAATGTAAACATCTACATTGTAAACATCCACAATGTAAACATCCAAAATGTAAACATCCATATATGTAAACATCCACAATGTAAACATCCAAAATGTAAACATCCATATATGTAGATATCAACGATGTGAACCTTCAGAAGGCAGAAATCAAGTATATAAGACCATCCCTAAAATCCTAAGCAGATGTAAGTCAGCTACTCTCATCCTTCACCAGTTCCTGTATAAGTTCCTGGAAATCTCTCACAAACCATTGTGCCCCCTGCTGGACTTTCTCCCTCACCACATTACCGCCATAGCCTATAAAGGCATCCTGTAAAAGTGAACATATCATGCTTACACCAGTCATTAAACTGACAACATCCGACGACAGCCCTGATCTATTTCAACCACCTGTAACCTTAACCTTCTTCAACATCTGACAACAGCCTTGATCTATTTCCACCACCTGTAACCTTTACCTTCTTGTACAACAAATGAACAATTTTTCTTAAAGTCAACTTCTGAGCAAAATCTAGAATAAGTGAGTTAAATTTTAACTCGGTTACTGAATTCTCATCTTAAATGCACATGCCTACAAAACAATAATTTAATCTGTACGATGTAAATGCCATATTGAAAATAAGGTATCTGTCTAAATATGCTACCTTGTAGAAATAATTGTATTTGATCTGTATCAACCTTTGTTTTCACCCCACATATCGTATATTGATTCTCATCCAGGTACATTCTCAACACTTACAGCAGGTGGGCAAGCTTCCATATCTGTAGCACCGTCCCCAATCATCACAAGGTTTTTATATCCAAACTTGTCCTTCAACCTTTGAACTACTACCTTTTTTCCACCAGATTCTGAGGTTGGTTGGTCCTCATCAAAACCTGCATAGTCACCTACAAAAGTTAAACAGGTAAGGTAATTATACTAAAGTACAGTAATCCTTGGTTTATGTTATTCAAAATATATAACATATTTTATCACAAAATAAGCCCCTTCACCAGTGAAAAATATTGACTGAAAGGGAGAGGGCTCATTTCGTGTATATCTAATGTCCACCATCTTGGACAATTGTCATACCTTACTATTGTCACCTGTAATAGTGCAGCTTGCTGACGACTTTGATCCTGTTGATATATTTTGTGACAATAACCAGAAAACGGAGGTAATATTTAATCTTCAGGACCATTAGATTGCCTCTCCTTAAGAATAACAATAGGATAAGAAAGGTCCCTACATATGATGTGAAAAAACTTATTTTATATGTTTCATATATTTTGTTTTTCAATAAGTTGTCAGAAAACGAAAAATCCACTCATTTCTATACCTAAGTCACACAACAAAAGAATTCTTCCAATTAGACAGTTTTTTTTATATTCTTCAAAATTTACCCTAGTCAACGCTTCAAAGATGCAATGGACGTCGTATGTCAGCGGAGACTTTGTGAAGGTGACAAAATAGCTTTTATAATGGTGAATGGGGGAAGCTTTAGAGTAAGTAATCCTCCTAAGCCTAGAAGATACACAAAAGTAGGGAAGGTGGTTTATTTGTGGTAAAATACTAAATCTACTTCTGCTTTCAATATATTTGGTAAAATACAAGAAGCTAAGTAGATAATATTTTGGCACACCAAGCTTTACAACATAATCTTGATGTCTCAATGAGGAATCACCTGGCCACTTTTAAAGAATGCATTACATGTTATGATACATTTATATAACATGAAGTCCGCTTACCGTGATAATAGAACTTGAGTTTATTGGCATATATGTTTTCAAAAGGAACCGATAGAATCTCAGCAGCAGGCTCTATGATGGAGGTCATTCCACCAGACACAAGGTAAACCGCAACCCCTCTCTCCTTTAGTATGGCAACAAGCTCTCTAGAAACACCAACACAATATCATAAATTGGGCCACATGGTCCCAAGAATGTGTGTCACCATAGCAACATTTTAACAGTCCTCAGCTGTCTGGATTCACCAATATCATGAATAGGGACAAACTGTCAAAGGAATGTATTTCACCAAAACAACATTACGACCAGCCCGATCCCAGCCCACAACAGGCCAGGAATGTACTTTAAGGTGTAAACATTAGGAATGTTTAGTAAGTGATGACTTACTTGATACCAGGAGAAAAGTCAGGAGTATGCTGAGACACAAAATCTGACAGGTTTTTGTGTGAAGGTTTGACAATGTTTAGTCTCTCTGTTAGAGCCTCTCGGAATGATACTCCACCTCCCATGGCTTTGTTTGTCCTACAACAATAAAAGTTCTAGGTTAGCTGTCAAATCTGTCAATTTTACCTTAAATGGCTGTTCACAAGATATAATGCATGTTTTTCTTTTTAGATTGTTTCTTTGATAAAACTAATTATCTAAATTCCAATAAACAACAAATGTGTGGATTTGTCAACAGATAAGCTCAGTTATTAGATGGTTAATAAGTTGCATTCAGTTTTTGAAAATATACATAATATGGTTTGGTTAATAGCCTGTTGATAACGCAGAAAAATATGTTAACAAGAAAAAGCAAACTGAAAATTAGTAAAAGGGATGAATAATTTAGTGTTGCTTTGAGATCAAACAAGGTCAGAAAATTTGCTGAACTACTAAATAATATCACATCATCTAAAACAAGTAACAATCACTCCCTTACCAGTGATGACTTTTCCCTTGCTGTTATAACCTGATGGAGTAGTATGAAGGAATACAATATTTATTGTTTGTTTGGTGTTGATATATTTTCGTATTTCCAGTCAAGTCTAACAAATAATTACTGATGATGGAGTATAAAAAACAGTTTGATATTATTGAAAATCCTTTATACCATTCTTGAACCTCCTGTCCTACTCCACAGAATTTCGCCAGCTCATCCAAAGCTTCATCTTTTAACACAGTAGAGTCCACATCAAAACACACCGCATCAGCAGCTCGCCACACATTCTTCACACTGGCCATGTCTAAAGCCATTCTAACAGCACGTCCACTCCAATCTGAAAGAACAGAAAAATGGTTGATAGGTCTAAATTCTAACAGAACCTCCACACCAGTCTGTATGGACAGAGAATGGATAAGTATAAATTCTAACAGAACCTCCACACCAGTCTGTATGGACAGAGAATGGATAAGTATAAATTCTAACAGAACGTCCACTCCAGTCTGTATGGACAGAGAATGGATAAGTATAAATTCTAACAGAACCTCCACACCAGTCTGTATGGACAGAGAATGGATAAGTATAAATTCTAACAGAACGTCCACTCCAGTCTGTATGGACAGAGAATGGATAAGTATAAATTCTAACAGAACGTCCACACCAGTCTGTATGGACAGAGAATGGATAAGTATAAATTCTAACAGAACCTCCACACCAGTCTGTATGGACAGAGAATGGATAAGTATAAATTCTAACAGAACGTCCACACCAGTCTGTATGGACAGAGAATGGATAAGTATAAATTCTAACAGAACCTCCACACCAGTCTGTATGGACAGAGAATGGATAAGTATAAATTCTAACAGAACGTCCACACCAGTCTGTATGGACAGAGAATGGATAAGTATAAATTCTAACAGAACGTCCACTCCAGTCTGTATGGACAGAGTATGGATAAGTATAAATTCTAACAGAATGTCCACACCAGTCTGTATGGACAGAGAATGGATAAGTATAAATTCTAACAGAACCTCCACACCAGTCTGTATGGACAGAGAATGGATAAGTATAAATTCTAACAGAACGTCCACTCCAGTCTGTATGGACAGAGAATGGATAAGTATAAATTCTAACAGAACCTCCACACCAGTCTGTATGGACAGAGAATGGATAAGTATAAATTCTAACAGAACGTCCACACCAGTCTGTATGGACAGAGAATGGATAAGTATAAATTCTAACAGAAGCTCCACACCAGTCTGTATGGACAGAGAATGGATGGACAGAGAATGGATAAGTATAAATTCTAACAGAACCTCCACACCAGTCTGTATGGACAGAGAATGGATAAGTATAAATTCTAACAGAACGTCCACACCAGTCTGTATGGACAGAGAATGGATAAGTATAAATTCTAACAGAATGTCCACTCCAGTCTGTATGGACAGAGAATGGATAAGTATAAATTCTAACAGAACCTCCACACCAGTCTGTATGGACAGAGAATGGATAAGTATAAATTCTAACAGAACCTCCACACCAGTCTGTATGGACAGAGAATGGATAAGTATAAATTCTAACAGAACGTCCACTCCAATATGAAAGAACAGAAAAACAGTTGATAGGTCTACAGTCCAACAGCACGTCCACACGAGTCTAACAGCAGGTATGTTTCAAGTCATCTTATGAAAACTGCTGAATCAACATAAAGTGATGATTACCAGTTTTGTAACATATTACCTGATTACCATACTGGATGTTTAAGCTATATCTTGTTAATACTTAAGACTTTTCAGGGACATGTCTATATCTCTCATGTTTTCACCAATCAGATTTGTGACTTCTAAAATTGTCAGGAGTCAGCTGATCAAGAATACCTTACAATTGCACTATTAATCAGGTGGATATACAAGTCCATGTATTCTACTCAAAGCACTGATGATATCTTTAAACTCAAATCTCATAAACTTAAAATATAGAAATATGAAATTCCTATAAACAAAATGATCACATCTGAGCATTATTGTCAATGAATATTTTATTTTATAAGTACAAACAATTTGTACATCAGTCCAAAGTAAGATACACAAAACACAGATATAACTCTCATCAAAATGATCTATGTGCTTCCTACTTACTGACCAAGTTGGCTACAGAGAATCTTTACTGGTTGATGGCAATGAGGGTAGAAGACTAATACACCAGTGGAAGAAAAGAAAACAATAAAAATGTGTTTTACTATCTTTTGGACAAGACTATCACCACAAAACTTGAATTTGCATTCTCCACATAAGTCACTGCTAACCTGTATAGGATGGGAAACTTAAATGAGAGGGTAACAACCCTCTTGTAGCCATCTCCTCAGAAACTGTGCAATTCTTTGTTCTATCCTCTTGGACAGCTTCATCAAAAACCTTGCATAAATTGACGGTCTTCATCAATGGTTTCCAGCTGGTGCAATGACAATTACTGGGAGTTACCTTTCACCAATCTCAATCGACAAGAAAAAATTCACTTTAAGACGAGACCAGGAACTCTGTTAGATCTGCTGACAACAATGTCTTGGTATTTTCTACTCCACATCTGTTAGATCTGCTGACAACAATGTCTTGGTATTTTCTACTCCATGTCTGTTAGATCTGCTGACAACAATGTCTTGGTATTTTCTACTCCATGTCTGTTAGATCTGCTGACAACAATGTCTTGGTATTTTCTACTCCATGTCTGTTAGATCTGCTGACAACAATGTCTTGGTATTTTCTACTCCATGTCTGTTAGATCTGCTTACAACAATGTCTTGGTATTTTCTACTCCATGTCTGTTAGATCTGCTGTGCTGACAACAATGTCTTGGTATTTTCTACTCCACATCTGTTAGATCTGCTGACAACAATGTCTTGGTATTTTCTACTCCATGTCTGTTAGATCTGCTGACAACAATGTCTTGGTATTTTTTACTCCATGTCTGTTAGATCTGCTGACAACAATGTCTTGGTATTTTCTACTCCATGTCTGTTAGATCTGCTGACAACAATGTCTTGGTATTTTCTACTCCACATCTGTTAGATCTGCTGACAACAATGTCTTGGTATTTTCTACTCCATGTCTGTTAGATCTGCTGACAACAATGTCTTGGTATTTTCTACTCCACATCTGTTAGATCTGCTGACAACAATGTCTTGGTATTTTCTACTCCATGTCTGTTAGATCTGCTGACAACAATGTCTTGGTATTTTCTACTCCATGTCTGTTAGATCTGCTGACAACAATGTCTTGGTATTTTCTACTCCATGTCTGTTAGATCTGCTGACAACAATGTCTTGGTATTTTCTACTCCATGTCTGTTAGATCTGCTGACAACAATGTCTTGGTATTTTCTACTCCATGTCTGTTAGATCTGCTGACAACAATGTCTTGGTATTTTCTACTCCACATCTGTTAGATCTGCTGACAACAATAGATCTGCTGACAAATGTCTTGGTAATGTCTTGGTATTTTCTACTCCATGTCTGTTAGATCTGCTGACAACAATGTCTTGGTATTTTCTACTCCACATCTGTTAGATCTGCTGACAACAATGTCTTGGTATTTTCTACTCCACATCTGTTAGATCTGCTGACAACAATGTCTTGGTATTTTCTACTCCACAACTGTTAGATCTGCTGACAACAATGTCTTGGTATTTTCTACTCCATGTCTGTTAGATCTGCTGACAACAATGTCTTGGTATTTTCTACTCCATGTCTGTTAGATCTGCTGACAACAATGTCTTGGTATTTTCTACTCCACATCTGTTAGATCTGCTGACAACAATGTCTTGGTATTTTCTACTCCATGTCTGTTAGATCTGCTGACAACAATGTCTTGGTATTTTCTACTCCACATCTGTTAGATCTGCTGACAACAATGTCTTGGTATTTTCTACTCCACATCTGTTAGATCTGCTGACAACAATGTCTTGGTATTTTCTACTCCACATCTGTTAGATCTGCTGACAACAATGTCTTGGTATTTTCTACTCCATGTCTGTTAGATCTGCTGACAACAATGTCTTGGTATTTTCTACTCCATGTCTGTTAGATCTGCTGACAACAATGTCTTGGTATTTTCTACTCCACATCTGTTAGATCTGCTGACAACAATGTCTTGGTATTTTCTAGATCTGCTGACAACTCTTGGTATTTTCTACATGTCTGTTAGATCTGCTGACAACAATGTCTTGGTATTTTCTACTCCACATCTGTTAGATCTGCTGACAACAATGTCTTGGTATTTTCTACTCCACATCTGTTAGATCTGCTGACAATGTCTTGGTATTTTCTACTCCATGTCTGTTAGATCTGCTGACAACAATGTCTTGGTATTTTCTACTCCATGTCTGTTAGATCTGCTGACAACAATGTCTTGGTATTTTCTACTCCATGTCTGTTAGATCTGCTGACAACAATGTCTTGGTATTTTCTACTCCATGTCTGTTAGATCTGCTGACAACAATGTCTTGGTATTTTCTACTCCACATCTGTTAGATCTGCTGACAATGTCTTGGTATTTTCTACTCCATGTCTGTTAGATCTGCTGACAACAATGTCTTGGTATTTTCTACTCCATGTCTGTTAGATCTGCTGACAACAATGTCTTGGTATTTTCTACTCCATGTCTGTTAGATCTGCTGACAACAATGTCTTGGTATTTTCTACTCTACATCTGTTAGATCTGCTGACAACAATTTCTTGGTATTTTCTACTCCACATCTGTTAGATCTGCTGACAACAATGTCTTGGTATTTTCTACTCTACATGTTAGATCTGCTGACAACAATGTCTTGGTATTTTCTTGGTTTCTTGGTATACTCCATGTCTGTTAGATCTGCTGACAACAATGTCTTGGTATTTTCTACTCCACATCTGTTAGATCTGCTGACAACAATGTCTTGGTATTTTCTACTCCATGTCTGTTAGATCTGCTGACAACAATGTCTTGGTATTTTCTACTCCATGTCTGTTAGATCTGCTGTGCTGACAACAATGTCTTGGTATTTTCTACTCCACATCTGTTAGATCTGCTGACAACAATGTCTTGGTATTTTCTACTCCATGTCTGTTAGATCTGCTGACAACAATGTCTTGGTATTTTCTACTCCATGTCTGTTAGATCTGCTGACAACAATGTCTTGGTATTTTCTACTCCATGTCTGTTAGATCTGCTGACAACAATGTCTTGGTATTTTCTACTCCACATCTGTTAGATCTGCTGACAACAATGTCTTGGTATTTTCTACTCCATGTCTGTTAGATCTGCTGCTGACAACAATGTCTTGGTATTGTTAGATCTGCTGACAACAATGTCATTTTCTGTCTGTTAGATCTGCTGACAACAATGTCTTGGTATTTTCTACTCCATGTGTTAGATCTGCTGTCTGTTAGATCTGCTGACAACAATGTCTTGGTATTTTCTACTCCATGTCTGTTAGATCTGCTGACAACAATGTCTTGGTATTTTCTTACTCCATGTCTGTTAGATCTGCTGACAACAATGTCTTGGTATTTTCTACTCCACATCTGTTAGATCTGCTGACAACAATGTCTTGGTATTTTCTACTCCATGTCTGTTAGATCTGCTGACAACAATGTCTTGGTATTTTCTACTCCACATCTGTTAGATCTGCTGACAACAATGTCTTGGTATTTTCTACTCTACATCTGTTAGATCTGACAACAATGTCTTGGTATTTTCTACTCCACATCTGCTGACAACAATGTCTTGTTAGATCTGTTGACAACAATGTCTTGGTATTTTCTACTCCACATCTGTTAGATCTGCTGACAACAATGTCTTGGTATTTTCTACTCCATGTCTGTTAGATCTGCTTGTCTTGATTTTCTACTCTGCTGTTAGATCTGCTGACAACAATGTCTTGGTATTTTCTACTCCATGTCTGTTAGATCTGCTGACAACAATGTCTTGGTATTTTCTACTCCACAACTGTTAGATCTGCTGACAACAATGTCTTGGTATTCCATTCTGTTAGATCTCAACAATGTCTTGGTATTTTCTACTCCAGTTAGATCTGCTTCCATGTCTGTTAGATCTGCTGACAACAATGTCTTGGTATTTTCTACTCTACATCTGTTAGATCTGCTGACAACAATTTCTTGGTATTTTCTACTCCATGTCTGTTAGATCTGCTGACAACAATGTCTTGGTATTTTCTACTCTACATCTGTTAGATCTGACAACAATGTCTTGGTATTTTCTACTCCACATCTGTTAGATCTGCTGACAACAATGTCTTGGTATTTTCTACTCCACATCTGTTAGATCTGCTGACAACAATGTCTTGGTATTTTCTACTCTACCTGTTAGATCTGCTGACAAAGGTGTGTTGGTATTTTTAGCTCCAACCATATTAGTGATTGAAAACAGCAAGAAACATTTGAATAGGTTCCTTCGCATATTTATCAATTCAATCAAGTAGGCAAGGCCTCTTATATGTACAAGATAGGTATTTTCTTAATATCTAAACAAAATTTGAAATCAATATAAAACCTGTTCATGATTTCAAGGAATGCTATGGTAATGAGCATACTTATAAACAAATGAATACAGTTTATGCATATGCATTTCAAGGCTTACAAAACCATAAATATGAAATGACAATGAATTCGCAATTCATAATTGTTCTCAGATAATTGATTTCTCTTAATTGACTTGTGTGGCAATCTTGGAATCCATTCTCTTACACAATGAAGATCTGTATAGGTCTCTCTCTCATCTTACGCTCATCACTTTTTTCTTCCCTTTTGATCATTCCCTCTCTCTCATACTTTCTACATGAAATCTATAAAAGAGTGCATATCATACTGCATTAAAACATACATATTATCTGACTTTCACAAAACTTCTCTTCTCACACCAAATTGTTATCAGACCAACCAACCCAAAGATACAATTACTAAATATATGTGATAAGTAACTTATTAAAATTTGCTCCACAAGTCTTAATATCAATCGATGACAGCAATAATTACACATTGTGATTGAACTCCAGTAAAACAACAGAAATTCTGACAAGGGCCTAATACTGATCACACCTTCAGCTTGCTGTGCGATCACGCTATCCGGAAACATTCGTTTGCAGAGCTTGGATAAATGATCTGCAGCTTCTACTGACAGCTTATGTTCACATATAAAATTAGCAAAGAGCCATTCAGCATTAGTAACAGCTTGATCTTCAACCTGTACCGTTGTCACAAAGGTGGTCAGAGATCCAGATTTCTCGTGTAATATGTGCATAGATGATGTTGCATGTTTTTTCACATCATGCTTTCCTCCATGGCTAACACTAAAGTTTCTGCAGCACAGCTGAAAAAAAAATAATTATCATATTTAAACCCAAGGTTTGCAATACAATTTATCAAAATACATACAAAAATAAAAATCATTCGTTATGTATTGAATCATAAGAATTGTATTTCAATTCCATGATTTACTGATATATCTAATTCATTGTTGGAACGATTTCCGTGACAACCAATCAAAAACGTGTCATATCATTGTCATATTAGAAATATTAATTACATATGATTTTTGGTTGTTTGTAAACAAAATGCTAATTTGTACCAGTAGAGTGTCATTTTTCATCTTTTCATTTGTCAATGAAAAGAATAAAATCTACTTGAATTTGATAATGACTTGAAGGGGTTGGAGGCGATGGCAACATGCATGTTGCTCTGTGGTGTAGGGACTCCTGTTTTTTACTTAATGGAATTCCTGTGAACTAATTAACTACCATGCGCTGACACATGTGTTACTGCTGTTTTCATACTGCTGACAGAGAATGTAAACAAACCACTTGTCACTCCAGTCATCACTGGCTACTCACTTAAGACTAAATTATCAGAACATATCCATTGGACCAAAGTCTCATTCATCAATTTGTTACTACTCATTTTCATTTAGAAAGTGACAGGCCCACTTGTGAATAAATTTCAAATGACAAAGTAGTATAAATTAATGTCACCTCACACGAGCTGTTGTGTGTAGTGATTTCTTAAAAAACAATCCTCCCTTTAAATGTTTCTCATTTTTGAAATCAAGGATACATTACAGATATTCCTATCAAAATGTGTAATAGAAAAACCAATTTGCAAACTTATCATTCAGATTGTGATTAGGTCTTGAGTTTTATAAATTTACCAACAACATATCATTTATTTTGCAGCAGTTATGAAAATGATAAACTACATGAACTTAACAAATGAGACAAGAGTGTTTTTTTTTCTTTTTTTTTTATTTGAAATAAAACTGCATGGGAAACCAATGTTGTCCAGCGGGCATGTGACCATATACTGCAAAGGAATGTTGATAAAAGCAGGAAAGGTTTAGTATCAAGTTTTTTTTGCAATTCTGCATTTTCACTTTTTTTAATGAAATTCAGACAATCAAAGGCATGGTAAAGACTGTTACGATTAAAAAGTGGACACTTCACGTTGATGTCTTGACATCATGATGTTTATTAACATTCCTCTGCAACAATATTTGTTTCAGGTTTTCAAGTATAAATGAGATAATAAAACACGTGAAAAGATATAAACAAGCTTACCTTACAAAAAGCAGTTGTTTTGCTCGTCGAATGTTTTCCGATCCATGGAAATTCTTTTTCCCAGTGAACCTGGTATTTCGTTGGATATCTCTGACGTTTCGGATTGGATTTCGGAGGTGTCAGTGCCATGGAAACACGTGCTGAATCTTTGACTTATAGACTAGACTAAATACAACTTTAAGGCCTTCAGCTTAAAGATATGGCAGATGGTCAACCTACTTGGAGAAACGGTCAACTGTTGTTTTGATTGGGCCAAAATCGTCTATTCCGATTGGTTGAAATCGGGAGTAAGAAGCGGGAGAGGTTGCCAAAAGCGGGAGGTAACTGTTCGATGTTCTGGAGAAGTCCCGCATATCGCGTGGGGATCGAACTGCTTTCTGTGGATTTCTCAAATTCACGCCAGACATTAAAATCACGAAGGACACAAATATTACTATTCTTTTATCAATGAGAATGTTGAGGGGACAACTCCCCCGTCCGAGTGTTGATTTTAAGTATTAACGCCGTCTTCATGTCGTGTGCTCAGTACGGCTTGACACTGATACTCGTAAAAACTTGTCCATATGGTGACCAATTGTCAGAGGAGATTGGTCAAACAAGGGACCCCGGTGTTACTTAAATTATGCATATACTGTTGACTTACCTGTACAACGGAAAGCACTGCACGTGGCGGCTACCTGTCAAATTATTTAGCTCTCTTTTGTCCCTCCAGAATGAAGAGTTCCATCAATGTCTTAAAGAGGCGAATACGTTAAAATCGAAATTACATAATGGCTCTATATGATGTGTATAATTTGTATTTGTCATTGTTGATTTCAGTCCTGTCGAGATGACTATTTGATGTCTATAACCTGTTTTTTTTATAATACAAAAGAAATAGGAAGCATGACAAAATGTCGGGTTTTACAGATATATATCGAAATTCAAATAATGTAGAAAAAAAGTTCAGCGGCGTTTGATAAAAATGATGTAATTTTTGTGAAAGTTTGGGCAAAAGGTGAGGGTAATCTGAAGGAAATGGACGATCTTGTACGGTGTAAGGAAAAATATCAGTGTTTCTGGTTTCTGCTGAAAAATATTAGGGTCAGTGGATCGACACTGATTTCGAAAGTACAGTATATCGTTTATAGAATGGGTTATACCCATATTAGACCCAACATGTTTGTCTCTTAATTGACATTTAATTATCATTTTAAAGTCTTGTAAAATAAGAACCGAAAATGAAATGAGTGTTCAGCAGCGTGATCCCACCGAGCACTGGTCAGGTCAAGTCTAACTCTTTTAGACCCAATATCTAATGAAACTGTTACAGACGATGTGGTAAAGGCAAACATGTTAAACGACTTGTTCCATATCTAACATTGATGATGATGAAACTGTTACAGACGATGTGGTAAAGGCAAACATGTTAAACGACTTGTTCCATATCTAACATTGATGATGCTTCTGTCTGTTGAGTTACTTGTAGTTCAGAACAGGACTGAACAAAATATGAACTCCTTATGAATTAATGCCCAAGAAATTACCGACATCTTTCAAGTTTTGAAGTTAGGTAAATCATCTGGTGTTGATGGTATTATCAATTAAATGTTAAAATCTACTACCAGTACTGTATGCTATCTTTAATTATTTTTTTTTATATGTCTCTCTCTCTCTCTCTCTCTCTCTCTCTCTCTCTCTCTCTCTCTCTCTCTCTCTCTCTCTCTCTCTCTCTCTCTCTCTCTCCCCCCCCCCTCTCTCTCCTCTCTCCTCTCTCTCCCCCCTCTCTCTCTCTCTCCCCCCCTCTCTCTCTCCCCCCTCTCTCTCCCCTCTCTCTCTCTCCTCTCTCTCTCTCCCTCTCTCTCTCCTTATCTCCCCCCTCTCTCTCTCTTCCCCCTCTCTCTCTCATTCTCTCTTTCTTTCTCCCTCTCTCTTAGTATATATCCTCAAGCTTGAAAACTAGCAAAAGTAATGCCTCTATTAAAAAGGGTGATACACATCAACCGTCTAATAATCGACTAATCCCTTTGTTATCCTCAGTTGGTAAAGTTTTTGAAATAATTGTTTTCAAATACATGTATATTTATAACTTTTTTGGGGGAAAAACTCATTTTTTTATTAACAGTAGTCAGGTTTTATGCCAAATCATTCCACACTTAATTAGTCAGTAGAAATGTAGCCTGATGTATAGCTCTAGAAGAAAGGAAACATTCTTGTTTAGTGTTCTATGACATTTCTAAGATTTTTGACCGTGTTTGACACGAAGAGTTCATCATTAAATTAAAGTCTTACGGAATATCTGGTGAGTTGGTAAGTTGGTTCACTAACTATTTATCAGATCGGTAGCAGAAAGTATTTATTTTAAATTCTGTTTCTCGTACTGGCCCTATAAAAGCATGGGTGTCTCAGAGTTCTATTTCTAATAAAATGGACCGTTTTTATTCCTTGTTTATATTGATAATATATCTGCTTGTCAACTCGAGGCTTTTCGCAGACATTTCTTCGCGTGTCATCTTCCTGTCATGGATTAGAAAATACTCTCAACACAGATCTTGATTCAATAAGTAATCGGCAAACATTTTGTTAACAAAACTAGTGTTTTATTTATTACCAACGCTGTAAATCTTGACTGAAATTTTGAATTATCTTTCAATGAAGAACTTCTAATTTAAGTGACAGCCATAGACATTTGGGAGAAGTTCTCAGCGCAGAAAGTAAATTGGGAGATCACATAGCATCTATTCATACGTCTGTCATGAAGAAAATAAATGTTCTTGTGAGTCTTAAGTACATGTTGTAAAGAGAAACCCTGTTGAAAATGTATACGTCTTTCATCTTGCTGATTTTTTATTAGTGCAGTGAATCATGGGACGGTTGTACAGTTAATGAAAGTGAAATTTGAGGGAAAACACGCGCGTGAGGTAGCTCGCATCATCACCGGTCTCCCATTCTATGCTCTTAACGATTCTCTTTATTTCGAAACAGGATTAGAAAGACTTTGTGAGAGAAGGGAAAGAAAGTAACTTCAATTACTGTATAAAATAAAAAAAAAAAAAAAACGGTATTACTCCAATTTTTTTAATATAATTCATCCTAACACAATTAACCAAGATGCGAGATATCCCTTAAGAAATGTTAACGATTTTATCTTACCCAATTTCAGACTTTCCTCTACTAATTCATCCTCTCTTTCTTCTCCTCTTCGTTATTGGAATAATCTCGATGTTGCTGTCAGATCGTCAACAACTGACAGCAAAAACTCCATCTCACGAAATCAAAATACATCTTCTCCCAGTTCTGTTGAATATGGTTAACTAAAGCAAAACATTATTCATACAAAATTAAGGTATAACTGTAGTTCGGTTAATTATGGTTTATTTAGAGTTAACATTTTTGATAACCCTGCCTATATCCGCGGATTTCATTATGAAAATGCCCTATCATATCTTCGAATATTCTAATTATAAAAACCAGATATAAGAGTTGTTCCACGGTTTGAATATAGACCATGAAATTAACCCAGATAATCTATTATCAGATATTCCTAAATTGACAAAACAATGCAATCTTGATGTTTTTCGAAGTGTGCAGAGATTTATAAAGATCAACGGAAGGATTGATTCACAAAAAAATCATATTACTTGTACATTTGTGAAATCCTTATATATATATATCTCACCCTTACCTTCTTGTTTTTTGGTTGTACGAAATTCGAGATTTATCTTACCCAGCAAGGCCATTACTTTGTAGTTTAAATATGTATCACAGGAGAGGGCGTCAATAATGTTGTATTAACTTGTGCCCAATGCTATTGTCATTTTCTTGACAATAAAACAGAGACAAAAACAGCCTAATAGGCAAATACACAAACTTGGTTTTAGTCTTCCAATTTTTTTTAATCATAGTTTCTACCCAGTAAGGATTTACGGAGATATTGAATCAGTCTCAAGAAACATTGCACATAAGTTAATAATTCACAAATTACTTTATTTTTTTACACCAAAAATAATAAGGAATAAACTGATTTAATGTCACATGTACTTTGTGATATCGGTATATATGTAAAAAATGCAAAACGTTTGAATGAATTTGCCTTAGGGCACTGGTATTTTCGGGGACCACCAGCAACTAAACATCAACAAAATATACACGGAGATTTTAGAGTATTTTTTAAAAATTATTTTTGCCAAAATGTCGAGGAGAAAAAAAGAAAACAGAAACATACATTTTGCGTAAATGCCATGTAAACTGTTCACATATTCACACACAAGATTTATAAATATATATTGGGTAACATAGATACATAAGGAATCTTGATGTATAAATCTCACCATACAAAATTATTATGAACTTGTTACAAAATGCTTCTAAGTAACTATAGATATTTTGAAATATACGTGGAGTCTATATCTATATTAAACACCACGTGTCATTCTGATGATTGTTGCATGCCACTGATTTGGTTTTATACAATATACAAGACCTAATATATCACAAACCAAACTGACATTAAGTCCGTCATGGTTGCTTTGGCTCGCAAAAATACGCTCTCGCTCATGATGCATTGCATTCCACGTGACAAGTATATGACGTCAAACATTGTACATGACGTCATAATATTCTAGGTGTGCCAATTTCTGCATTGCAACGCATACTGCACCGTAGTTTATGTGGCACCCCTCCTCCTTATTCTTACAATTATGCAGTTCCCTGCCGTTGGACAGCCACGGGGTCGCGCCGGACGACAGTCGCCAGATGTGTCCCCAAAGTCTTGTGTGATTACAGGGAAACGCGAAAAATTACCGAAAGCTGATGGAAGTAAACCCGTACGTCGCCAAACTTTGGCACCAATTTGCACTCCCGTCAACAGACCTGCGGCAGGTTGCACACCCAAACTATCTGGAGTTGACATGCATCATCAGAGACATTCGAATATTTGTGGAAGGACGTCTTTAAGTCGACCACCAGTTCATGATAATAGTGATTTTCCTACCGAAACACAATTGTCTAAACGATCGAAAGTTGCGAGTAAGTCTTTGTTAGGACGAACACAATATGACAGAAGACAGACACCTGAAAAATGTTCTGGTGTATTTGGATCCATTGCACACAACCTGGCAAAGGACGCAATGCCCAGTAGCGACGAAGACGAATTTTACCGACAGTATTTAACAGATCAAACTCGTTCAAACGGGCATCGACAAAGCAATCTGCCTGGATTGAACACTGAAGATGACGAGTACAGGCATTCCGTATCATCAAAGATGAGTCACAAAGAATTAGAATTGATGCATTACCAGCAGACATTGCTTGAGCAAATGATGAGCCCGACTGAGTCAGAAATCTGCAGAGATCTGAAATCAAGGACAGGGAAGAGATCAGAGAAAGGAATTTGTAAAAAAGGAAAGGACAAAAAGAATAATATAGAATTGTCAGGACACAAGTTTGAGGATCTTCCTTTGCTCCGGCAAACCAGATTGAGAGTTTCCATGGACCCTGATTCAGCAGTCCCAGAGGAAGCGCAATACGTCCCGACCCCACCGGGATTTGAGAAAATTCCATGTCGAGCCATGTCCAGTATGAGCGGGGCTACCTCTCCTGGTAATAAGACAAATTATAATGTAACCCTGATAAAATGCGAAGCTAGATCTAGCTTCTTACAAACCCGTCTACGGAGAAGTTCTTAAAATAGGGAGAATGAAAATTGAAAATTAACAGGTAGAAGTTTAAGAGTAATCTGAAAGCAGTGTAAATCAAATATCCATTCCTGATGTTGTTAAATACATGTAACCAACAGGCCAGAATGAACTTTTTGTATCGGTACATAAGATATGATATAAAGTCGATTATATAAGAAAGTCATGATGTTCAGAAATTACTTGACATGCCTGAAATAAGAGATCAAGGAGTAACATGAAATAAACTTTCAAAGATACAGATAAGTTAGGTATACTAGATAATGACATGTTGTTTACCACCTCCATACCAAATCCTGATCAACCTTCACAACAGGAAATACTTGAACAGTAGAAGTTGGACCACTGAAACGTCATTCCAGTTAGGTAGTGGAGGCGTCAACCCTAAACTGTCTCAAATCTCGTTAAAACAATTTTTGCGCGAAATGTTAATAGTATTTTGAATCAGCTAACAACGATGTCGAGACAATGGACACAAAGATAACAAAAGTAAATATATATATATATATATATATACATATATATAATAAAATAAGGACGGTTCAACAAACTAAAGATTATAAAATCATCCGGTACACTCGTGACAAAATGAAGAATGTATCGCTCATATACATTGTATACATTAAAAAAAATCTGTAAATTTACAAAAGCTCACGAATACAAAGGAAAACAAGGAGATATTGTTTATCATGTTTATATATAGACTACTGTCTCGCGCAATTATAGAAAAACAACACACCCGTTGATGGTTTCTCACTCAACAATGTATGTAAAACATTAGTGCTATCCACATACGTCTTTTGACAATCCTTGTTCATGCAATATTTCTTACCTTTCAGCATCGAGGAAAGTGCGATTTAATACGGAGGAGAGAGGAGTACAGAGACGAGATTAAAAGTCGGTTGAGACGACGAGAAAGTGGCGAAGAGGCGTCTGGTAGACCTTGTATTTAAACTAGGAGACACAATGACCATTGTACATGTAATAGTTTCAGTTATTATTTAGCGTACGGAGGCTTTGTCTTTCTTTCGAACATGATTGATCATAGGGTCTGTTCTTTGATGTAGAAACGTTTACTGGCCGATGACTTGTCTAAGACGACAAACTGCTAAACAAGTTCCATTGGACTCGTTAAATAACAGCTGACGATTTGTTGACGTCATCATTGTGACAGAATTCAATGCCCGACTTCCGCCTCCGATATTCTGTGATTGCCATCTATTGTTCGCGTTATCAGGTAAAACGGTTTCTGGTTACACTGTTAGGGAAATATACATGACATTCATCATCTACTTCACAAGCTTCCGAATAAAAAAAAATCGTAGGTACAGTGAAATGACCTACCGATTGTGTTTTGGTGTGATAAGACTGCCCTGATTGTGTATTTGGTGTGATCAGACTGCCCTGATTGTGTATTTGGTGTGATCAAACTGCCTTGATTGTGTATTTGGTGTGATGAAACTGCCCTGATTGTGTATTTGGTGTGATTAATCTGCCCTGATTGTGTATTTGGTGTGATTAAACTGACCTGATTGTGTATTTAGTGTGATTAGACCGACATGAGCTATTTCGGGTACCTGCGTTTTCCTTTCATTTCAGAAAGGTGTCTCACATATTTCTAACTGTCTGTAAAAAGTAAGACGTGGATCAGTCTGTTTATTTAATAGACACACGACATACTGGAGTGTTCCTTAAAGGTAAACAACACTCAAGGTCACAGTTGGATAAAAGTATTAACAAAGGTCAACGATTACTCATGAGATATGAAATTAGTAACGAATACTACACTGAAATATTTTAAGTACATTTGATATATATCTCACGTAGCAAAACACGTGTTAAATGTTCGCCTGCGGTTTTGAACAACGTCTGCAGCGTTTCTTTCTTACAATAAAAGGATTGGTATGTTAGATAGAATAACAGATTGAAGTTTAGTACACTATCCATTTGTATTGCATTGACGTAAAGATAAAATTATTTCCTGTTGTCCGGTTTTTTGTCATCTGGTTTCATAGCTAAATGTTTCCGATTTGTCAATGCGTTAACTAGGATTATTGTGTAATGTATACCAAATGTGAGCCTTCAGTAGCCGCTGTAGTCAATGTGATGACCACACACATCCCAAGATGGCGCCAGGCCCTAAAGTTTCGGGTTTACAAACGTGATATGACGTTTTGTCTTAGTGCACCTGTCCCCATAACATCTGTCTTAGTGCACCTGTCTCTATATCATCAGTCTTAGTGCATCTGTCTCTATATCACATGTCTTAGTGCACCTGTCCCTATATCACCAGTCGTAGTGCACCTGTCTCTGTATCATCTAAGTGCACCTGTCTCTATATCATCTATCTTAGTGCACCTGTCTCTATATCATCTGTCTTAGTGCACTTGTCTCTATATCATCTGTCTTAGTGCACATGTCTCTATATCATCTGTCTTAGTCCACTTGTCTTTGTATCATCTGTCTTAGTCCACATGTCTTTGTATCACCTGTCTTAGTTCACCTGTCTCTATAACATCTGTGAAGGCACGCCAATAGACAAAGTAAATCGTTATTAATACCGTAAACTCATCAGGGTCTGAAATTATTTAAGATTTGGTTTATCCAGTGTCTGTCTAGGTTCTGGTTTATCCAGTGTCTATTGTCTAGGGTCTTGTTTATTTAGTGTCTACTTGTCTAAAGTCTGGTTTATCTAGTGTCTGTTTGTCTAGGTTCTGGTTTATCCAGTGTCTGTTTGTCTAGGTTCTGGTTTATCTAGTGTCTGCTTGTCTAGAGTCTGGTTTATCCAGTGTCTGTTTGTCTAAGGTCTGGTTTATCTAGTGTTTGTTTGTCTAGAGTCTAGTGTCTGCTTGTCTAGAGTCTGGTTTATCCAGTGTCTGTTTGTCTAGGGTCTAGTGTCTGTTTGTCTAGGTTCTGGTTTATCCAGTGTCTGTTTGTCTAGGTTCTGGTTTATCTAGTGTCTGCTTGTCTAGAGTCTGGTTTATCCAGTGTCTGTTTGTCTAAGGTCTGGTTTATCTAGTGTTTGTTTGTCTAGAGTCTAGTGTCTGCTTGTCTAGAGTCTGGTTTATCCAGTGTCTGTTTGTCTAGGGTCTAGTGTTTGTTTGTCTAGAGTCTGGTTTATCCAGTGTCTGTTTGTCTAGAGCCTGGTTTATCCAGTGTCCGTTTGTCTAAGGTCTGGTTTATCCAGTGTCTATTTGTCTAGGGTCTGGTTTATCTAGTGTTTGTTTGTCTAGAGTCTGGTTTATCTAGTGTCTGTTTATCTAGAGTCTGGTTTATCCAGTGTCCGTTTGTCTAAGGTCTGGTTTATCCAGTGTCTGTTTGTCTAGGGTCTGGTTTATCTAGTGTCTGTTTGTCTTGGGTCTGGTTTCTCCGGTGTCTGTTTGTCTAGGGTCTGGTTTATCCACTCTCAATTTGTCTGGGATCTGGTTTATCCAGTGTCAATTTGTCTGGGATCTGGTTTATCTAGCGTCTGTTTGTCTAGGGTCTGGTTTATCTAGTGTTTGTTTGTCTAGACTCTAGTGTTTGTTTGTCTAGAGTCTGGTTTATCCAGTGTCTGTTTGTCTAGAGTCTGGTTTATCCAGTGTCTGTTTGTCTAGAGTCTGGTTTATCCGGTGTCCGTTTGTCTACGGTCTGGTTTATCTAGTGTCTGGTTTATCTAGTGTCTGTTTGTCCTTTCATATCTTTACCCCGACTATCATCTATTTTATACGGAGTACATACAGGTAAGAAGATAAAAAGAAATTACCTGTGTAATTTTTGAAAACAAGTGAAGTTGAAGATGAGTACCTATTCATCCTGAAATAATCATTTATAATTAATATGGGTATAGATGAACGAATAAAGCTTTACAACCTGAAGAACAATAGAGTTTTCAAATCAATAAAATTATGTAAAAGCGTGAAAGATCTTAATAATGACTTAGATATCGACTATGTCTAAGTCCTTGATCTGATCATGTTTCTGTTTTAATCGTTATCAGCTTAATGAATTATTTTATTGCGTTTTTTTCTGTGTGTAAATTGTGTATTAATACTGATGATGTTCTGCTCTACCTGTGTATGTATGTAGAATCAAGGCAGTCACCTGAACGAAATAAAGTATCTTGGACTTGATAATCAGGAATTCAAGCCCCTGGGACCACGCCCCTGGGACCACGCCCCGACAGAGCGGATGATCATGGCTCCAAATTATCAATATTCCATTATGATTGGAATGTGGACAAGAGTGATTACCTATCAAAGAGAAACTTGTATCTAATCTACAGGTAAATACAGGTGTATCGGTGTGTATTAGATTGTGTATTAACGGTAGTTGGGCACACCTGTGATTACCTGTGTGAATATTCCCCTACCTTATCTATATCGGAGAAGACACTTACATATAACCGACACATAAAAACACATTTATTTACACGTACCTGTACCACTTTGGAACAAAAAAGGCCCGTGGCTTTGTGAAATGCTACAGATACCTGCCAATTTATTTCAATTTAGTTAATAGAGATCTTCCTTCAATGAAGCATAAATTGTACGAAAACCGAGTTTTTGTGTTATGCTGGGGCCCCGTTTCGCTCGAGTGAATTGTGACAACACTACAGGTACGTCTGTTTTGTACTGTGGAATGTAGCGCAGGTAGAGTCCACCAAGGGTTTTTATCGATTCACCCCTGACTTTGTAAAATCAATAAAAATCGTATCACTGTGCAGTAGCCTTCTTTGCTTTGTGATAAGATTAAGAGTCCTACCCCACGTGTGCTGGTCAGACAGGTATGGACACAAAACTACAACTCAGACAAGGTCATGACGCATCCCTCCCACATGACCCTCATTGGGTCAAACCGGAACCAGTAAGGTAGAAGCGTTTCAGGATACATCGTCTGCCATGTTTGTATTTAAACGAAATTCAACAATATTGAAACAGTGATCTAGGTATGTTTACATATTCGTCCAGTGGTCACTGCTTGGCCAGCGGTAGACGACCAGGGCAATCGTTGTCGATCTAAGGGAGTTATTACACTACATCTGTGTTTATTGGTGTGAAACATAAGATTTTAAACTTTTAAAGGACGGTTCTGAACGACGTGAGAGAAGGCGAGCGTGACAGTGTGGAGTAATCAGTGATGGGACCACGCTTGTGTTTATCACCGAGAGAGAAAAGACACGGATATCAACAACCCACACTTTGGAGGTAGTTGACACGAAACAACCATGTAGAACAACAGGTTGAAATCATACATCATGTGGGACAGTAAATATGGTATTTATGTATACACGTACCCGATGTAGATCCCGGGCGTAAATATCGACATAATAAGCGATTCCGACAAAATGACATCAGGATACATCAAATTACTTCTCTTGATTTCGCAACTGACCTTGTTGTGGTACATGGTCGGAGGTCATGAGCAGTGCAGGGCAAGTCCTTACGAGATCAACACCGGAGCTAACGCCATATTCGCTGTGATAATGAGTACCCGACAGAGTATGGGTACGGGCGAGTGTGGCAAAATCTCTAGTGGAGCCCTCCACACCATGTCAACAATACAGTGGGCTGTCAACAAAATTAACGCTGCCAAATATGTTCCTAACATCAACATTGGTAAGTTCTTGTTTCTCTTATTAACACGAATTAATGCCCTTTACGGTAAATTACACGTATCTTATCAGCGACTACACTAATCCTCTCATCAATAAGTGTCCGAACGTTATATCTCCCAGTGGTGACAAGAAAAGGTATCTGTCATTGGCACTAACAAGTTCCCTTTACCGGTACCTTTCATCAACATGGGAACGAGTTTCAGACAATTGTACGACCCCATTCCCCCTCTCTTCTTCTTGGATGACGGATATTTGTGTTTTAATTTTAAACACAAAGAAAATAGTCAAAAAAAACTAGTCCAACTTGTCCGTTTCATTCAATAATATTGATTTGGAAGGAGTCTTTCTCATTTCCACAGTTGAACCCTTAAGAAGTCTTTCTCATTTCCACAGTTGGACCCTTGGGAAGTCTTTCCTGGAAGTCTTTCTCATTTCCACAGTTGAACCCTTAAGAAGTCTTTCCCATTTCCACAATCGGACCCTTGGGAAGTCTTTCCCGTTTCCACAGTTGAACCCTTGGGAAGTCTTTCCTATTTCCACAGTTGGACCCTTGGGAAGTTTTTCCTGGAAGTCTTTCCTATTTCCACAGTTGGACCCTTGGGAAGTCTTTCCTTTTTCCATAGTTGGACCCTTGGGAAGTCTTTCCTGGAAGTCTTTCCTATTTCCACAGTTGGACCCTTGGGAAGTCTTTCCTGGAAGTCTTTCCTATTTCCACAGTTGGACCCTTGGGAGGTCTTTCCTATTTCCACAGTTGGACCCTTGGGAAGTCTTTCCTATTTCCACAGTCGGACCCTTGGGAAGTCTTTCCTATTTCCACAGTCGGACCCTTGGGAAGTCTTTCCTATTTCCACAGTCGGACTCTTGGGAAGTCTTTCCTATTTCCACAGTTGGACCCTTGGGAAGTCTTTCCTATTTCCACAGTCGGACCCTTGGGAAGTCTTTCCTATTTCCACAGTCGGACTCTTGGAAAGTCTTTCCTATTTCCACAGTCGGACCCTTGGGAAGTCTTTCCTATTTCCACAGTCGGACCCTTGGGAAGTCTTTCCTATTTCCACAGTCGGACCCTTGGGAAGTCTTTCCTGGATGAGCAAACATTGATTCATAAGTAATATTTATTGAGACTTTGGGGTGTCACACTCTGTTACACGAAATATTAAGAAAAAGAAAATACCGACATGTTCACAAATTCATACACTCAAAAATCAATGAAGTGATGACAAAAATGAATAAACGAAAATTTTAACAAAAACCTTTTATGATAGGAAAAAAAGAGAATGACGCCATGTCTACTGCTTCTCATCAACAAACAAGACTTAAGTTCTGTCTCTACATCAACAAACAAGACTTCAGTTCTGTCACTACATCGACATACAAGACTTCAGTTCTGTCACTACATCGACATACAAGACTTCAGTTCTGTCTCTACATCAACAAACAAGACTTCAGTTCTGTCACTACATCGACATACAAGACTTCAGTTCTGTCACATACAAGACTTCAGTTCTGTCTCTACATCAACAAACAAGACTTCAGTTCTGTCACTACATCAACAAACAAGACTTCAGTTCTGTCTCTACATCAACAAACAAGACTTCAGTTCTGTCACTACATCAACAAACAAGACTTCAGTTCTGTCTCTACATCAACAAACAAGACTTCAGTTCTGTCACTATGTCAACATACAAGACTTCAGTTCTGTCACTACATCAACAAACAAGACTTCAGTTCTGTCACTACAACAAGACTTCAGTTCTGTCTCTACAAGACTTCAGTTCTGTCTCTACATCAACAAACAAGACTTCAGTTCTGTCACTACGTCAACAAACAAGACTTCAGTTCTGTCACTACACCGACATACAAGACTTCAGTTCTGTTACTACAACGACATACAAGACTTCAGTTCTGTCACTACATCGACAAACAAGACTTCAGTTATGTCTCTAAGACTTCAGTTCTGTCACTACATCAACAAACAAGACTTCAGTTCTGTCACTACATCAACAAACAAGACTTCAGTTCTGTCACTTCATCAACAAACAAGACTTCAGTTCTGTCACTACATCGACATACAGGACTATAATTTGTCATACATCATCGGTTTCGGTTTGATAGGATGTTATATGATGGCGGTGAAATATATATCTAATTACATGAAATGAGGTTTAAACACGTGCATTTCATTAACGATTAAAATCAATTTTCCGGTAGGGTAACGTTAAATTAATCACCACACGTATCTCTACACTGCTATTTCTATTTATAGTTGTCTAAGTGTTTATCTTTTCCATTATTACCAGGACTGATAGATATACACACTACCGCAGTGACACTCACTAGTGGATTAAGAGGACAATTTGGACCTATACACGAGACGGATAATACTTCCATTGACTATTCAATCAGGTTCATAAGTTCTTCGGAAATGTTGTCACTTCTTTTCACGAGTCCCTTACAGCACAGGTCGACACAACAAAGAAAAAGGTCATTGTACTTTTTACGGGTACTGCGAAATTTAATGACCGACAAGTGAAAAACATCAATCAGCGCTTCAGATCAAAGAGTATTTAAAATATCTACATTACCGTAACTTTAAAATGTTTTACAACCATACAATAATGATAAACTGCCACTCACGAAATTTCTTCGTGATTGTTTACTCAAATTGTGCGTGTTTTATGTTCACACGACAATACCCCTAATTCAATTCCTTACTGTGACTTTCGTATTCTGAAGGTTAAAGTGGACGTCCGCACCTATACCGTGATGTAGTCGGTCGAATACATATCATTGTCACAGATGTTCTATGTCTAGACCGACATCCATGTCAATGATATAAACTTCATACTTACTAGAATTGAAAATAAATGTTCTATAGACTAAAATACATACAGAAAGGTATAACCTATCAACACTGCCTGTTGAGGCTCAGTATGGATTAAGGTACCTACAACTCTCCCGTGTGTTGGTATACCCTATCCCGTGTGTTTGTTTACCCTCTCCCGTGTGTTGGTATACCCTATCCCGTGTGTTTGTATACCCTCTCCCGTGTGTTGGTATACCCTATCCCGTGTGTTGGTATACCCTCTCCCGTGTGTTAGTATACCCTATCCCGTGTGTTTGTATACCCTCTCCCGTGTGTTGGTATACCCTATCCCGTGTGTTTGTATACCCTGTCCCGTGTGTTTGTATACCCTCTCTCGTGTGTTGGTATACCCTTTCCTTTGTGTGTTGGTATACCCTGTCCCGTGTGTTTGTATACCCTGTCCCGAGTTTTGGTTACCCTCTCCCGTGTGTTGTATACCCTTTCCTTTGTGTGTTGGTATACCCTGTCTCGTGTGTTGATATACCCTGTCCCGTGTGTTGGTATACCCTCTCCCGTGTGTTGGTATACCCTGTCCCGTGTGTTGGTATACCCTCTCTCGTGTGTTGGTATACCCTTTCCTTTGTGTGTTGGTATACCCTGTCCCGTGTGTTTGTATACCCTGTCCCGAGTTTTGGTTACCCTCTCCCGTGTGTTGTATACCCTTTCCTTTGTGTGTTGGTATACCCTGTCTCGTGTGTTGATATACCCTGTCCCGTGTGTTGGTATACCCTCTCCCGTGTGTTGGTATACCCTGTCCCGTGTGTTGGTATACCCTCTCCCGTGTGTTGGTATACCCTATCCCGTGTGTTGGTATACCCTCACCCGTGTGTTGGTATACCCTGTCCCGTGTGTTGGTATACCCTGTCCCGTGTTGGTATACCCTCTCCCGTGTGTTGGTATACCCTATCCCGTGTGTTTGTATACCCTCACCCGTGTGTTGGTATACCCTGTCCCGTGTGTTGGTATACCCTGTCCCGTGTGCTGGTTACCCTCTCCCGTGTGTTGGTATACCCTTTCCTTTGTGTGTTGGTATACCCTCTCCCGTGTGTTGGTATACCCTTTCCTTTGTGTGTTGGTATACCCTGTCTCGTGTGTTGATATACCCTGTCCCGTGTGTTGGTTACCCTCTCCCGTGTGTTGGTATACCCTGTCCCGTGTGTTGGTATACCCTGTCCCGTGTGTTGGTATACCCTCTCCCGTGTGTTGGTATACCCTATCCCGTGTGTTGGTATACCCTCACCCGTGTGTTGGTATACCCTGTCCCGTGTGTTGGTATACCCTGTCTCGTGTGTATGTATACCCTCTCCCGTGTGTTGGTATACCCTCTCCCGTGTGTTTGTATACCCTCACCCGTGTGTTGGTATACCCTGTCCCGTGTGTTGGTATACCCTGTCCCGTGTGCTGGTTACCCTCTCCCGTGTGTTGGTATACCCTTTCCTTTGTGTGTTGGTATACCCTGTCCCGTGTGTTGGTATACCCTCTCCCGTGTATTGGTATACCCTTCCTTTGTGTGTTGGTATACCCTCTCCCGTGTGTTGGTATACCCTCTCCCGTGTGTTTGTATACCCTCTCCCGTGTGTTGGTATACCCTCTCCCGTGTGTTGGTATACCCTTCCTTTGTGTGTTGGTATACCCTCTCCCGTGTGTTGGTATACCCTGTCCCGTGTGTTTGTATACCCTGTCCCGAGTTTTGGTTACCCTCTCCCGTGTGTTGGTATACCCTTCCTTTGTGTGTTGGTATACCCTTCCTTTGTGTGTTGGTATACCCTCTCCCGTGTGTTGGTATACCCTTCCTTTGTGTGTTGGTATACCCTCTCCCGTGTGTTGGTATACCCTGTCCCGTGTGTTTGTATACCCTGTCCCGAGTTTTGGTTACCCTCTCCCGTGTGTTGGTATACCCTTCCTTTGTGTGTTGGTATACCCTCTCCCGTGTGTTGGTATACCCTCTCCCGTGTGTTGGTATACCCTCTCCCGTGTGTTAGTATACCCTTCCTTTGTGTGTTGGTATACCCTGTCCCGTGTGTTGGTATAACCTCTCCCGTGTGTTGGTATACCTGAGTTGAATCAGTGGCACGTTTATCAATTAGCACATAAGATACATACTTACGTAACTAAGGCTATAATGTTACCACGCTCAGACACAGCGCATGATGTGATTGTGAGGATTATGACTCAGAGGAAAATAAAAAAGAAACTGCTATTTACGTACCATTACAGTGATGTCCGACGATTTGGTTTATCACACTGGTCGTCAAACACAAGATATCCCTCTGTCCGAGCACATTTAGGACCTTCTTTCTATAAAGGATAAATAGCTAGTATCCCTTACGTAATAGATAGAGCAGATCGCACTCATCACGTGTCCCCCCCCAACCCCCGAACGAAAACAACAGAACAACAGACACCGCTAGCCTGATTGTATGATCGTTAACGGTGTCTGGACCTGGCACCTTTTTATTTTCTCTTCTTAACGACCTCTTTCCCAAAGTCAGTTCAGCGTCCGTCACTATGCTGAAGATTTTTGGGTACGTCTCGTGACATACATTAACCATTGAGGTATTTTGTGCTCCTTGCTTATCGGCTGTGTCCAGGTTATGAAATCCATTGTAATGACACTTTAGAAGTGTTCGTGTGTAAACTTTTCATCTGGGTCTTCATATTACATTTCCTGTTGTGGGGACATAAACATCAAAACAAACAAAACGGCGTCGTTGGTAAAAGTGACCGCTAGAGCAATGTCATTGTCCAAATCATATACACGAATTGGAACCAGGCATCATTTTCCTATAAAACTTTCAAAAATATCTACGTAAGAAAAAAAATCAGGGCGAACCAACCTTTTTTTTTGTTAATGAACATAGCAGTTCGTCAGTTGTTACGAGTCTTTACATCATCGAAGTAAATAAACGTGGTCAGAGATGTGTGTTATCACTATCTGGTGTCTGGGTGTTCTAGTTGGTTAGGCAGTTGACGATTTTCTTGGTTAGGGGATTTAGTGCCGTAAATCATTAGATCAATCTGACAAACGTTTTTCTTTTTCAGGGTTTGATATGTATGATGATTGCGGTATAGAACGATACAGTGCATTTGGTGCCCTCGATGCTGTGAGTACAAAATTCCCTGAAGATATCCGTGAATGTTACGGTGACGGGGATTCCGAACTGTTCCTTGGTAAGTTGTTAAATTGACACCATCATTACGTTACCTCTGTGAAGTTCCTTGCTTGTGTCACGCCAACTGTCATTTTTGTTTCAATGAGAAGGTTGTTTAATGATATCAAACGTCTAGTTATATCAGTCTATCTTAGACTTTCTCTCCACCTACATTTTGATATTTCTTTCGATCACTTTGGATTTTCCGCCTTCTGGGTTAGAAACAGTTGTAAGATGCAGTCTTCTTTGTTATTTGGCTCTGCTATATCTAATCTTAATTTGTTGGGTCAACATTCGGAACACTAATTGTAAACATATTATTTAATGACATATATTTGTTGCAGGTGTTCTCGGAACATCTCGTAGTCATACCACATACAACGTGCTAAAAATGTTGGGAAGTAACATTCCAGTGATAAGCCCATTCGCAACACTTCCTGAACTTGCTGAGTTTCCGAACTTTCTCCGAACAACCCCAGCTGACAATGACCAGGTTCAGGTAATTAGAGACATCAATCAATTGCCTAAAATATCCATTTCACTTCAACAAGGATATGTTATAAACAATGTCAGTGGTTTTTTTTGTAATGGTACTTAAACAGAATTAAAAAATATTACATGCCAAGGCATGTAAAGAAACATCTGAGATTTTAACCTGCTGAAAATGTCTCGATAATAATGAAATATCCTTTGTCTCCTAACAGGTGGTGATACAGTTGTTAAAGGATTTGAAATGGACGTACATTGCTGCCCTTCACACCAATGACAACTACGGGTTAAGTGGCATGGAGAAGATACTACAACTGGCTAGAGAAAACGGCATATGTGTTGACGTGGTTCAGGCAATAAATGCAACTGAGAACTTCGCTGAAATCGTCAAACTCGAGAACTTTTTTCAAGCTCTCTTACATCAGAAGAGTTTGGCAAAGGATCGAAAACTCGGCATCGTGTACTTCGGTCAAAAGAACGTCATTGAAATTTTGTTGATAAGACTGAACCAGCTTTTCAATAACAATGAAATGTATAGAGACTTTCACTGGATAATGTCTGACTTTGTGGGTACTAGCGTTGAGGTGTTTAATGACGCTGATCACGTGTCTGACGGTACCATAACGGTGTCGACGTCATCGGTGTTAATACAAGAAGCACGACAATTTTTTGAGGAGAAGTGGGATGCATCGTCGACCGTTACTAACACATCATCTTCTGTGGATAGACTGATCGCTGAATACAGGACGCATAACCCGACTACAAAGATTGAGTGGAGAAACGACTTTATCATGCCAATCGTTGACGCTGTGTATGTCATCGCGACAGCTCTGAAACAAGCCATGTTCAAGAAATGTAGAAATTACACTGTTATTTGTGACAAATTTGAAGGTTATTTGGACAGTGAGTTCCTTAACATTATGAAGAATACTAGCGTGGATTACAGTAATTTAAGCTACACTGCCGGACCTAAGGAACTTATTGACTTAGGGCGACAGGTTCGATTCGATTCCCATGGTAACATACTCCCCGACAGGTCAAGTCCACTTTATGATATAAATATGTATAATGTTACCAGGAAGTCATTTGTAAAGGTAAGTTCTGGAAAATGGTGTTTAAATACTATCAGTAGGTACTTTTGAATCAGAAAATTTTGTGGGGATCATTTTTTAAATAATTTTATGGATACTTGACTTTACGACTCAGTTAATCTGCTGATATTAATTAACAGTTCGTGATCAATTCGTTGATAGTATACCCACGAAATGAACGGGAAAACCACGAACATTAAACACTTCAGTAGGTAACGATGTATTTATTTCTCAACTCAGACTAAAAACGTGAAAAAGTGCATATTTTGTCTGTGTTAGAAACCTGTTGCCTATTCTGGTCCAGATAATATCAGCAGAACAAAAGCTTTGCTGTCACAAATTCGTTAGCAGCACAAATACACTTGTGATCGCTTACCTACATTTAATGACAACTATTAGTACTAGTTCGGCGGTAATGATGGGCAAGTTGTTTGATGATGACTAGAAACAGCCTAGCTTGAGTGCTAGTTCGGCGGTCATGATGGGCAAGTTGTTTGATGACAACTAAATACTGCCTAGCTTGAGTGGTAGTTCGGCGGATATGATAGACAAGTTGTTTGATGACAACTAAATACTGCCTAGCTTGAGTGGTAGTTCGGCGGATATGATGGGCAAGTTGTTTAATGACAACTAAATACTGCCTAGCTTGAGTGGTAGTTCGACGGACGTGATAGGCAAGTTGTTTGATGATGACTAGAAACAGCCTAGCTTGAGTGCTAGTTCGGCGGTCATGATGGGCAAGTTGTTTGATGACAACTAAATACTGCCTAGCTTGAGTGCTAGTTCGGCGGTCATGATGGGCAAGTTGTTTGATGACAACTAAATACTGCCTAGCTTGAGTGCTAGTTCGGCGGATATGATGGGCAAGTTGTTTGATGACAACTAAATACTGCCTAGATTGAGTGCTAGTTCGGCGGATATGATGGGCAAGTTGTTTGATGATGACTAAATACTGCCTAGCTTGAGTGGTAGTTCGGCGGATATGATGGGCAAGTTGTTTGATGATGACTAAATACTGACTAGCTTGAGTGGTAGTTCGGCGGATATGATGGGCAAGTTGTTTGATGACAACTAAATACTGCCTAGCTTGAGTGCTATTTCGGCGGATATGATGGGCAAGTTGTTTGATGATGACTAAATACTGCCTAGCTTGAGTGCTAGTTCGGCGGACGTGATAGGCAAGTTGTTTGATGATGACTAAATACTGCCTAGTTTGAGTGCTAGTTCGGCGGATATGATAGACAAGTTGTTTGATGACAACTAAATACTGCCTAGCTTGAGTGCTAGTTCGGCGGACGTGATAGGCAAGCTGTTTGATGATGACTAAATACTGCCTAGCTTGAGTGGTAGTTCGGCGGATATGATGGGCAAGTTGTTTGATGATGACTAAATACTGACTAGCTTGAGTGGTAGTTCGGCGGATATGATGGGCAAGTTGTTTGATGACAACTAAATACTGCCTAGCTTGAGTGCTATTTCGGCGGATATGATGGGCAAGTTGTTTGATGATGACTAAATACTGCCTAGCTTGAGTGCTAGTTCGGCGGACGTGATAGGCAAGTTGTTTGATGATGACTAAATACTGCCTAGTTTGAGTGCTAGTTCGGCGGATATGATAGACAAGTTGTTTGATGACAACTAAATACTGCCTAGCTTGAGTGCTAGTTCGGCGGACGTGATAGGCAAGCTGTTTGATGATGACTAAATACTGCCTAGCTTGAGTGCTAGTTCGGCGGACATGATAGGCAAGCTGTTTGATGATGACTAAATACTGCCTAGCTTGAGTGCTAGTTCGGCGGACATGATAGGCAAGCTGTTTGATGACAACGAATATACTGTATTGATGGTAATTTACACGAGTCAGAATTTTCGCGATATTTTTAAAAACAATGATTGAATTATGTTTTAACGAATCAAACAAATCAAACTTTCGCGATCTAGTTGTAAAAGGATATCTGATACACAAGGGTTTCATAATTTCAAGGACTGCGATTTTCGCAATCACTTTAATGTACACCAAAATAGCGAAAATAGCATCCTCTCGAAAAAAAATCCGTTATACGGTATTTAAGTTCTAGCTTGTATACTGACCACCAATAACCAAAAAATTGTGATAGCAACGTAAATTACATTCAATAAGATAGTTTGTTATTCTATGTATACCAAAATATTTATTGTAAGCTGGCTGCTTTCTAATGTATGACTAACAGACTCTTTCTTCACTTCTCCAGGTGGGAACCTACAAGAACAACAGTCTGTCACTAAATTCGTCACTCATCGCCAGTCACCAGCAGCTTTCGTCCTGTGCTAGTAACTGCTCCAATTGTACTTCCCTACCACCCATACCTTACAGATACGTCGATGGTGATGTGCTGTTGTTGGGAATGTTTTCTATGCATGATCCATTGGACGACGAACATGCATTTTCATGTGGAAAATTTAGAAATTACTCCGTAGATGTGATAGTTCAGGAATCGTTTTTCCACGCCATACACCGACTTCGGAATATGACTGGCATCAAATTTGGCGGTCTGGCTTTCGATGACTGTTACAGTTCCACAGTGGGCAGTCTGATAGTCACTCAGTTTCTGTCTGGTAGCAGTAGACTAACGTTTGGCCCCGCTGGAGAAACTATCGACCCTACAAAGGTGTTGGGAGTGATTGGACCTTATCCGAGTGGTGTAACTGTCCCATTGACACTTCTTTTCACTCGTTTGAAACTGCCATCCGTATCTTACGCTTCTTCGTCTCCAGATCTTGATGACGTCATCAATTATCCTTACTTTTTAAGGACAGTTCCGAGCGACGTCACACAAGTAGGAGCCATGGTTAAAATTATAGAGCATATGGGTTGGAAACGAGTAGGTATGATATACGTTAACAATAACTATGGGAGCAAAGGTAAGTCTCTGTTCATAGAGAAGGCAAATTCCAGCGGAATATGTGTGACAGATCCTATAGAGCTCTCAGAGTCGGGAAATCAGGGCGAGCTCTATCAAATATCTTTAGATATAAAGAAAAACGGCGAAGAAGTTATCGTATACTTTGGAACAGAGGGCAGAATTGTCGATCTGTTGACGGAAATGAAAAGACGAGTGAAACAGAATTCGTTAAAGTATGATTTTGTGTTCCTAGCCAGCGAGGACTGGGGGGATAGTATCAACATTATGTCGAACCTCGGAAGTGTCGCTAAAGGGGCTATCAGCTTCAAGTTTGAAATAAAATCCGCTGACATCGGATTCGAAACCTATCTTAAAAATAGAACGCCGGATTTGGAGGATACAAATACATGGTATCGAGAATACTGGAGAGAGTATTTTAAGTGTGATCCCGAGGGAAACTTCGATAAAAGGATCGGGAAAACATGTGACAAGGACGTACAATTCTCTGAACAGGACATATCTAACTTCGTAGATGACCAACGAGTGATACACACGATGAATGCAGTGTACGCCCTGGGACTAGGACTTAACGGAGTGAAGGACCGATGTCCACAGGACAACCTACGGGGCTGTAATTACCTCAAGGAACACCCAAAGGGTATCGTGGAAAAAATCAACGGCGCTGTACTACGATCGGAGAGCGAAATATTCTCCGTCTTTGACGATGAACGCAATGGAAATATGGGATTCACAATCCTTAACCTTCAGGCAGTTGGTCCGGATGTATACGATTATATAGAGGTGAGAATTACTAGAATCTTATATGGTTTGTATCAATATGCTAAATTCAGCCTCGTATGAAGGTGTCGAATTATGTTCCTCACCTAAAGTTACTTCTGTTCGGTCATTTTCAGCTTGAATTTAAAAACCACAAAACAGCACAGGACTCTTCCACAATTTGTAGAGTGAGAAAATGTGGGCTCTATTTGTATATTTTACTTTCACAAAATAACACCAGTAAATGCACTTTAAACATAATGGAGTCCATTTTTCAGACAACACAGGTCCTTTATTGACGAATTCCTGATTTTTGTGATATTTATCCTTCGGATATTGTGTCAAGGTCCATTTTTTCAGTCTATTTGTTACGATACAGAACATTTACATAGAGTTTCTATTGGAAAATATATTTACAGATATCAAGTTATAAAGACAAGCGTTATAATTTTTGGTTTAGCTTCATTTTGTCGACAGAACAGAAGACGCTAACTCATCCGAAACGCTGGTCTTATTCTCCTTGTACTTTTTTCATGAGGTTCCGTATGACTTTTTAATATTTTGTATTATGATTCTGTTGTCACGTTGATGTTTTTATCTAGTCAGTAATGTTGTATACATTGTCTTCATGCCGTTACACTAAGTAACGTAATTATGGGTGATAATGTATTGACAGGTTGGGACTTACAAACCTGGACGACTAGAACTCAACAAGAACTTAATGAAGTTTTACAACAATGACGGTTCAGAGAAAGAAGTAACTGCTCCATGTGTCTCATCTTGTGCATGTTTTATGTCGAGCACGTCTCCCACAACGGAAGTGACGACACCAGCGCCAAAAGTTCAACCTGTAACCGAGTATCAGACATCAACCATCATCATCATCGCTGTCGTTTCATCGTCGTGTCTCCTCCTTATCATCCTCCTACTCATCGTCATTGTCTGTTTCTGCAAATTACGACGAGGTACGTTACATGGAATATTTACATGTGTAAATATGATGTTAGTTTATAGTGTTGCAAAACCAATTAAAACGAGACGAAAAGGTGTATAAGTCTAAGATTTTAATGTTTGCATAGAGACATGAAATACCAGCCCTTCTTTGTTAGCTTATCAGTTTAGATATTAACTTTGTATACATGTGTGCATGTTGTATAGATAACTTTATCTTGACATTTTATCAAAGTTTCAAAGCTAAATATAAAAATATTGAGAGTGTATACTTTTCAAATTTAGTAAAACATCGGTGAATTGTTCCACTTTAATTGGACGTCAATTTAAGGAACTCAACAAGTTGTGAATTATAATGTCATTTTACAATAAGTGAAGTTTTAATGTGACATACCAACTTGGGGTTACTATTTTCTTTGCATTTTCAGAATCGGATGGCCCAAGTCCATCAAAACCGTTCAAACGGTACTACAACACGCCCAGTGAACCCTCTGGAGGAGGCGTCAGTCACGTTACTAAGCCGCCTTCTGACATTCAATTCGTCAATCCGCAGGGGATGAATACTGACATCAAATATATGGGACCGGTGTCAAAACATAATGGTGAATCGAAGGGTGTTATTTCTAATGGACAAAAGGGTCAGGTGAACAGAGCTTTCTCTGACCCCTACTTACACCCGGCTACAGGGTCTAACAGTAGTGAACAGCTGTACAGACAGCAGACTCCAATGTCTGAGGGATACGATCAGAACCGAAATGACCAAAGAAGAAATGTGTCTCCTGTTAGGTACAGAAACAGAGAGACTGTAGCAAATACGCCGTCTCCGAGGCAGGAATCCAGTACCTCTGACTACCGTCCACAGTTACCACCAAGAGACGAGGGCATCCCTAATTTAAAACAATATCAATTGCCAAATGGCTACCCAAGAATGGGAACGAGTCACGTGACAAATGGTTCTCCGCCTGTTGGTAACTCTCCAACAGGTTCTGACCACGCTCTTCTTAATCTTTTAGCGTGCGAAAACAATGTGACTCTAAATGATGACTCCCCAGTGTTCAGTATGTCAGATCCGGGATCACCATTCGGGGAAATGCAAGAACGGGACCGGAAGTCGCAATTTGCGTCGCTTAAGAAAAAACAAAAACGTTTGTATAACCAAACAGCCATGGAGGCGACACAGTCAGTTGAGAAGATATCTCGTGTGTAACACAGAACAACATGAAAGTTTCATCCAAATATGTTTGTAGCATAGCATAATAGCTCTACGACCTTAACCGCTTGATCTTGTGTGAAAGTGCATGATTTTAACCAGGCCATCACTACCGTTAAAACAGGTAGCTCTGAATCCATATGATTATGCAAGTTAGGGTCCATACTTAAGCTTTATAACGGTGCCTATAACGTACCTAAAATAATCAGAGTCTGCTTCAGACGTCAGAACTTCAATGGCCATGCAGGAAAGCGTTTTAAAGAAGTGAATACATTATCAGATCTGATATATACAAACAGTTATATTTTGTAAACATTGTGTCTTCGTTATACTGTTACATGTGATCTACGATCAAGCAGATTGAGAACTTTGTTCCTCCTGTTTTCTTGGCATACTTCATTTTTAATAACAATTGAAACGTTCCATCATATCATCCCTATTGTATTTCATGTAAGATGTCTTCCAACCTTGAACAAATAGCAGTTTTATAAATCTACGTCAAAGGAGTTTTCTCCACTTTTCTAGATAATGTACCGCCGTATAAAATATGTTTAGTTTATTTATTTCGTATTCAAGGGGAATAACCCTGATAGTTTCCCTGAAAGTTTGATGTTCTGTAATGTAAGCTATATTTTTCTACCAGACAATAGGTTTTTTCGCTTCTTTTGCAAATTACACGATGATAATAAGATGTTTTTAATGTAAAATGGAGATATAAAAACAAATGCACACGGGAGTGTGGTATTAAAGTAGAAGACAGAAACATCAGTTCGGTAGGAATAGTGTTTACGAGTTCGCTTTTATACTTCTATTTCTGTCAAATATACAATACCATTTTCATTTCAATCCTTAATGTTTGTCATACAAGAAAGGGTGCCATTCTCTTTGATCTATGTCTGTCCGATACAAGATATTGATTTAGTGCTGAATAGAAACAATAATCATTGGGGGCTTTGTTAAACATTAAATTCTACCAAATTAGTAATTTCGCTTAAAGATGTGTTCAACCACTCTACAGCAATGAAACAATTACAGCAGATAGCAGTTCTACCGTTATTATTGTAATGTTAACGAGTACTTAGTATAGTATAGGAGTACAAGATTTCCCACAAGGCCAGTGTTTAAATCCTGTTTGGTCGTGTGTGAATAATGATGTGAGTTTTTAGTTAGGACGAATGAAGAGAGGAACGTTATTGCACGCACAATCGTGTTAAGTGGAAACTGATTTATTAAAAAAATGTTGTATATAGTTATATTTATGTAGAAAAGACAGATTGATTACTTTAAAAGATACTAAACATGTAAGGAGGGATATTATTTAGTCGAAGATGTATTTTGGAATTTTTTTTATCGAAAAAAAGGAGTTAGAGTTTAATATCTTTAAAGGGGGTGGGGTCATTTGAACTAGATCAATTTACGACATGTCGTATATATTTTTGAATTACCTTTACTTATATATTCACCAATATCTTTTTAATTACTTGGTATTGGTAAAGGTCATTTAGACCGAAAAGAGAGCATATGTGTAGGATATACCCTTTAATTGTTGTTCTTGAACTTCATAGACTGAATTGATACTGTATAACTATCACAGAGGATGTACACTGAATGAGAACAAAGTTTGTATATTAATTATTCTAGACACTTGGTATATATTTGCAGATTCTGAGAAATAGATAGTTCTGGGTTATTTTATATACATGATGTATGAAACTTCAATAGAGAAGAGGGCTTTAAACCATTTGTGCAGTATTCAATATGTATTTAAAAAACTTTTTGATAAATTTGAATACAGTTCATACATATATGTATCGTCACAAATTTGATGAGAGTGTTTGTATTTTTATATATGTTTAAGAAGTACACATATTACCATGACAACAATAAATAACCATGACCACTGTACATCTATACTGCGAGAGCTATTGTAATTATTAAGTCTAATTTAGGCGTAAATACAGATATTTTGTCTGTAGCGGTAACATCGAAGTCAGTAAAATATGGAAACGACTAAAGTAATGGAAATTCACCTTATAAGGATGTACCTAATTAGGTAGACTAGTAAAATAATCACTTATTGTTTTCAGATAAAATAGGTATGTAAGTAGGTAGAGATTCATTCAACTATAATGTGCTAATATGTAGATTACAACTTGTTATCTGGAGTGCTCATAAGTTGGTAGATGTTTATGTAACCATAATGTGTCAATCTGCAGAACAAAACTTAATTTTGAGTATATAAGGTTATGTTTGAGTATATAAGGTTATGTTTGAGTATGTTAGGTTGTGTCTGGGTATGTAAGGTTATATTTGAGTATATAAGGTTATGTTTGAGTATATAAGGTTATGTTTGAGTATATAAGGTTGTGTTTGAGTATGTTAGGTTGTGTTTGAGTATATAAGGTTGTGTTTGAGTATGGTAGGTTGTGTTTGAGTATATAAGGTTGTGTTTGAGTATATAAGGTTATGTTTGAGTATGTTAGGTTGTGTTTGAGTATGTTAGGTTGTGTTTGAGTATGTTAGGTTGTGTTTGAGTATATAAGGTTGTGTTTGAGTATGGTAGGTTGTGTTTGAGTATATAAGGTTGTGTTTGAGTATGGTAGGTTGTGTTTGAGTATGTAAGGTTGTATTTGAGTGTGTAAGGTTATGTCTGGGTATGTAAGGTTGTGTCTGAGTGTGTTAGGTTATGTTTGAGTATGTTAGGTTGTGTTTGAGTATGTTAGGTTGTGTTTGAGTATATAAGGTTGTGTTTGAGTATGTAAGGTTATATTTGAGTGTGTAAGGTTATATTTGAGTGTGTAAGGTTGTGTTTGAGTATGTAAGGTTATATTTGAGTGTGTAAGGTTGTGTTTGAGTATGTAAGGTTATATTTGAGTGTGTAAGGTTGTGTTTGAGTATGTTAGGTTGTGTTTGAGTATGTTAGGTTGTGTCTGAGTATGTAAGGTTATATTTGAGTGTGTAAGGTTGTGTTTGAGTATGTTAGGTTGTGTTTGAGTATGTAAGGTTATATTTGAGTGTGTAAGGTTATATTTGAGTGTGTAAGGTTGTGTTTGAGTATGTAAGGTTATTTTTGAGTGTGTAAGGTTATATTTGAGTGTGTAAGGTTATATTTGAGTGTGTAAGGTTGTGTTTGAGTATGTTAGGTTATATTTGAGTGTGTAAGGTTATATTTGAGTGTGTAAGGTTGTGTTTGAGTATGTTAGGTTGTGTCTGGGTATGTAAGGTTATATTTGAGTGTGTAAGGTTATATTTGAGTGTGTAAGGTTGTGTTTGAGTATGTTAGGTTGTGTCTGAGTATGTAAGGTTGTGTTTGAGTATGTAAGGTTATGTTTGAGTATGTTATGTTGTGTTCATTGAACCATGATGTGTTGATCTGTAGAGTGAAACGTTATAATTGAGTATGTTAGGTTGTGTTCACTGAACCATAATGTGTTAATCTGTAGAGTGAAACGTTATAATTGAGTATGTTAGGTTGTGTTCACTGAACCATAATGTGTTGATCTGTAGAGTGAAACGTCATAATTTGAGTATGTTAGGTTGTGTTCACTGAACCATAATGTGTTGATCTGCAGAGTGTAACGTTATAATTGTGTATGTTATGTTATATTTGAGTATGCTATGTTGTGTTCACTGAACCATAACGTGTTGAATTATACACTGGAATCTATACATAGTAGTTCACTAACCTTATACATGTGTGTATTGCTTTATCAAACATGGCCTATATATCCAATCCACCTTTTCCCTTTAACCACTAAAAATCAAACATGTGTTTATTTTGTCGGATTACTTAGAGCACAAGATTTAAAGATAGCAAATAGCTGGTAAACAGTTAACATTCAATACTCACACTTGTATTTTCTTGTGTAAATAATAGTCTCAACGAGAGTTGATATTAAATCTGTCTGTGATGTAGACACTGAACAGCACAAAGTGCCATGTGCAGTCAATCATGTATATTTTATTACCTATGACTTATATATATACCATACTATTGTGTATACATTTTATGCAAGTAAAAATATTATTGTTAGACAAGTGTTTTGTAATTTGTAGTAGTTTAATATAATGAACTTGTACCATTAAAATATAAAAAAAAGTATGTCAGGATTTCAATCCAGCGATGGTTCAAAAGACACACAAGTTAATATAATATTTGCAGGCTCCTCATGGGAATGCATACTTGTTTGGCCACTAATGCCGAGGGTCAGTTGATCAACATACTTGTTTGGTCACTAATGCCGAGGGTCAGTTGATCAAGTGCATTAACTTTGTCTCTCTATCTTGATTGTATATGTTTGGTAGCTTGCAATGATTTTTGCAACCGTACATCAAAGTTCTTTCTAAACATCACACGGTAGAGGGTGTGATATTGAGGATATAAACATTCACTAATTAGTGTTAGAGAAAACAGTTATCTGAAGCCAGATAAACAGGTTATATAACTAGTTAGATAACAGGGTTATTTTCTCACTAAGAGCCACTCTTTCTCGTAAACGTTATCAGAAATGAAGCCAAATAAACAGGTTATATAACTAGTTAGATAACAGGGTTATTTTCTCACTAAGAGCCACTCTTTCTCGTAAACGTTATCAGAAATGAAGCCAAATAAACAGGTTATATAACTAGTTAGATAACAGGGTTATTTTCTCACTAAGAGCCACTCTTTCTCGTAAACGTTATCAGAAATGAAGCCAAATAAACAGGTTATATAACTAGTTAGATAACAGGGTTATTTTCAGAGCCACTCTTTCTCGTAAACGTTATCAGAAATGAAGCCAAATAAACAGGTTATATAACTAGTTAGATAACAGGGTTATTTTCTCACTAAGAGACACTCTTTCTCGTAAACGTTATCAGAAATGAAGCCAAATAAACAGGTTATATAACTAGTTAGATAACAAGGTTATTTTCTCACTAAGAGCCACTCTTTCTCGTAAACGTTATCAGAAATGGTCTCATTTTCCAATACTCCGATAACCATTAGAAATCAGATAAACACTTCAAACACAATTTATTTCTGTAGTTGAATTTTTATTCAATTTCTTCACTTTGAATTTTAGGGTAAATATCAACAAATGAAAATTGATAAAATCATACAAATGACAGATGATGACTTTAAGATGAGAAATGTACTTAGAAAAAGGTGAACTCGATGTTTAATAAGTGGTTCAGACCATGCTACATGCCATGCCCTCAATTATAGTTAACCTCTACGTGTCCCATTTCCGGACATTTAATTGGAAATATGGTTTTATACTTATATCAATGTGAATTTTTCCAATCATTGAAATGCTAAGTCATTGATACAGAAAAAACCAATGATATCAACACAACTAAAAACACATTTGAAGATGTTTAAACACTTTCATAAACGTCTAAACAAGAGTATGATCAAATATAACAACTTGACGTTTACATCGATAGTTGGTTGATGACGAAGGTGTTGGCTTACATTGAAAGGGAGATAACTTGTGTGGTTTTATTACAATAGCTGTGTGGGCGTCCATGTTGATACAGGAGCTGTAGGGTTGGTAAGTCATGTTAATATAACTATCTGTAAAATCTCAATACATCTTTGATACTTTGCTCTGTAAGGAAATATCCGAATACAGTATGAAATAAACGGATCATATTAGGCGAAGAATCTGTTTTGTTCTACATCGACCACGTGTTCGTACAATCGCTCAGACTCGCACGCAGTAACCAGAACTTAACTACAATGTAGTGACGTTTTAAATCTCGAAAACTTTAATAGCACTTACAACAACTGTTTTCCGTCAAAAGTCCGGTTTAACAAAATATTCAATTCATTAAGAATGACTTGCTTATAACAAAAACCTTACACAAGATACATTTCAGTGACTTGACAAGTCCCTCCGTTCTTCTGCGAACGTGTGGCACACTAAGCAGTTTAGAAATGTCATTTTTTCAAACATACATCATGAAATTTGTCCTTGTAAAAAGATATAACAAACAATGTACATGTTCTTAGGTTTTCAACCCTGCTCCTTGAGGGTTTCTGTTTGGAAGTGGCGTTTTGGAGCGACTTCAAGAAATGATCAAAATTTTCACTGCCTACATGATATCGCTTCCTGCTGGATGTGATGAGCGTGAAACCAGAAACCCAGTCAGTACTCCTGAAGCATTACTTTCACAAGCACACGCTGAAACTCCTGGAAAACTTGGGAAAGAGGTCTTTTCTGGAGTGGGAGAATATAGATCGGGTAAATACTAGTCACAAATACATAAAACTTCTATTTAGTTCTAGTAGTTAAATGTAAGACCAGTAAATCAGAGGTCCTTGGTTCGAACCATAGCGGGGGTACATTATATAAGAGAACAATACATTATTCAACGTTCAACTTTCATTGCATGTATGTGATAAGGGTGTGGTTTACTCCTTGTTGCAAACACACCAACACCAGTTCGTTTCACAGTAAGATTTATCACCCATGCCCACTACGTGACTTCCTACTCGTAAAGGCTGACAAATCTCCAAACAACGAATGCAGTGATGAATAATCAAGGTCTGAAATTATCCTGAAGTCAAAACACTGACAAGGTATGTTTGATCTTACTAGTGTCCTATGACAGTTTTCCTTTTAAAGTGTGGTATTTGGTTTATCTTTACTTCATAGTTAAGTAGCCATCTCTCCCCGTAGATAAAATCTCCCGTTAACATATCGGTCCAGAAGCCCTCCGGAAGGTAGATATGGCGTTCCGTGACGTGATCACATACCACTGGGGCAACCAAGAGGGAATCGCCGATCATGAACTCGTTCTTGGCCCTGTGTGCTTCTTCATCAGATGGAGCAGTCCACCATATTGGTCGAATGATTGGGTCTCCATTTTTTATTTCCTTTTGAATTTCGTTAATGATTTTGACAGTGTATTCCTGGTGTAGTGCTGATGCGTTCCGCGCTAATTCTACACACTCGTCATCAAAAGACCATGGCGGCACTGCGAATTTCATTGCCGGAAAGAAGGACGCCATTTGCATCCATCGAATGTACAGCTGTCGATTGGGCAAGTCGAACTCTTCAAGACCTGCATTTGGCTCCTGTACAAACATTCCGTCAACGATCACAAATGGATATCCCATAATTCCCAGAGTCAAGGCCGTTTCTATGACACCAGTAATACACTCGCCCTCGGACTGAATGCTTACCTTGGTTGGGATATTTATAAAAGAAACTTGATTTTGTGATCCCGATGTTCCTTCGACAATATCTGCATCCACTTCATTAAATGACGTCACAAGTTCTGCAAAAAGGTTTCTGATCATACTTGGTGTTACTTCCGCTGCATGGAAAGATGGACTAAATGGCATCCATGATCGATTGCGGTAAAATATGTGGAATGCTGTGATCTTGTATGTAGAAGAAAGTCTTATCATTTTCATTTTCATCCATGATTCTGCTGATGGGTTGGTGATGTCCAGCATTGCATAAATACTGTTCTGCATGGGAAGGAACGCTGGAACTTTTCTTCCTGCATCAAGGATGAAGTTCCCGTCATCTATCCCTTCGTCAAAATTGATAGATTTATAGCCAAAATACGGACTGACCTCAACTGAGAGGGAATAACCTAATGATTTCACATATTTTACAACAGCTGTTATGTTAGGAAATCTTTTTGAATCAAAGTCTAAATCCCCGAAATGTTGTTCCCATTTTCCATCAATTTCAATAAAACTGCAATTCAAGTTTCTTTCGTTAATTTCTTTTGCTAAACCATAAATATCATTGTCAGTGATGTCGTAAGATTGTGCTACGCCGAACGTGGACCAAACCGGATATTTTAAGCTACGCCAGGATGGCAGGTTGTTTGGTCCTTTGGGTAACAACTTTCGTACGAATTTATGTGTAGTGACCGGATTTGTGCCGTGACAAACGGTATAGTTCAGATCTGTTCCCCTAGTTCTCTTCTGTCCGTAAAAGCTGCCATTGTTATTCCCAACCAAGCATATTTTGTTGTCATTCTTGAGATTCCATTTGACAGACACCGGATCTTCATTATGCACATAGATGGAACCTCCTCCCGAGGATATCCAGTACCGTTCCATTGCCGAACTAAACGTCCCGGCTGGATAAAAATCTGTCTCTGCAGCTGTAAATGTGAAGTTAACTTTGTCCAACGACCACAGAGCATTTGATGTGTTAGACGGTCCGAACCATACATTGGTACCTATAACAAAACAGTCCTCTGGAAAAAGATCCTCGCGAAGGACTTCCCAGGTTATATTATAACAATTTACATTTTTGGATCCGAAGTGGCGGATCCTTAATACCGCATTATTCTTCCATTTTAGACAGGTGAACGATCCTGTTTCTTTTTCATTTGCGCAGTGTGAAGGCAGAAGCCAGATGGGTATGCTGACACCGAGATTCGCCATTATTTTGTTATCATCAGGGTCTCTCAGAGTAAGAACTCGACTAGACGGCTGGAAGAAGACTCGCTGGTTGGCATTCCATATTTCATGGAACTGATCATGGAAGTGCCAGCCTATAGCGACGATGGTCACGACAAACATGAACATGGTGGCCACTGCGACATGTAACTGGTACTTCTTAAGGGACGCCGTCTTCCTCTTCCAAAACTGGAAAGTTATAGAATTCTTTATCATTCATTTGATAAGATTATCAGTTTTTAATAATTGTTTATTTGTATCAATGTAATCATTTAGAATATTGTTAGATCCAATACATGTACGTCGAAATTTTAAGTTTTCCCCGAATAATATTCTTTTGAATTTTCTAAACCAAGTTTTGAAGTATCAGTAATTAATTAACGGTAACAATACGGTTAATTGTCTCGTGAATGCAAGCATGTTGATATATATCAACGTTGTAGTGGAGTTGAAAAATACTTACACTGGGCATATTGTTCTTCTTCATCATCTTATAGTGTCTCTGTAAATCTCGAATCTGACCCATCTTCTCACTTGTCAAAGCTATAGAGTCTTTCCTTAAGTGACGCGCGAGGGAACTCCTTCCTGGGGAGGTAGAATCGTCGGAGTAATTACTATCAGCAAATGACGATTTTTTATGTTTCATTATTGAGAGCGGTGTACCAAAATCTATATTTTTGCTTTCTTTTTTCACCGGTGTCTCATATTTGGTGTTTTCTAGTGTGTCCTTTGGTGGGAGGTCAAATGTCAAACCCTGGTCGTCTTCATCGTCTTCATCTTCGTAGTTGTCGCCTTCGGGTCCGCCGTCCTTGCTATCGACGCCGCCATGATAATAACCATTCTTCATTTCGCTAGTCTGGGCATCTTGTATGATGCTCTCGACTTTGAGGGCGATGTTATCCAGGATTTCATCGCTTTCATACCCACAGTTTACCTGACCGAGATCTTCCTCGCAGTTCGCTCTCGTTGTCGAGGTGATGTCTGTATTCACACTGTCTGATATTGTTGATGATGACTGGTCGTCTTGTTCTTTCGGTTGGGTGGAAGGAAGGTTATCCAAGAATACAGCTGACGACACCCGACCTATATCCGGACTATTGACTACTCCTGATCGTCTTTGACGACTGGGCCGACGGGGTCTATCTGTTTCTTCCGAAGAAGAAGAAGACGGAGAGGATGCATTTTGTTCATCTGGAGCTAGGCTTGTGTTGATAGTAAGGTTGGCTTTAGGACTTCTCTGTGATGGTTTGCTTTCTTTTGTAGAATTTTTATTTGTACGTTCGTTTGGGATGGGGTTTCCCTCGCCAGGTCCAAGAGAAAAACTTACTCTTGGAGATTTACTGTCGTTTGTTTTCTTTCCTGTGCGACTGTTTGGTATTGGGTTTCCTTCGCCGGATCCCAGTGAAAAACTGACTTTCGGACTTCTCTGGGGTGACCGACTCTCTTTCGCTTTTCTTTCATTCGGAATATGGTTACCATCACCTTCTCTTCCTGAGAAACTCACCCTTGGACTACGGGTTGGACAGGTGTCATCATACAGGTCAGCGTGTGATGGAATGTTGTTTATATCCAGTTGGAAGCTGACTTTACGTTCTGGCTGAGAAATTCTTCTCTGATATCTTGGACCGTGATGTTCATAACCGATTCCTTCTTGTGAACTTGCTGTCTCTCGTTTTCGCGGTTTAACGTTTGAAATTGATTCGTTTTCATAAGAAATTTCGTCTTTTACAGACACCGCGTTTCCGGCTGTGTCGTTCTCCATACCGCATGCAGACTCAGATGAGTTTCATGTCAACGATGTATCTAAAAATAGCAAAAAGCATACAATTATATCAGAGTGATTGAGTCTGTATGAGATAAAATGATTTGGAATAACGAGTTAGAATTTCCATTAAGAATTTTGACATAAGATCTTCATTGCAGGGTATATCAATTGCGCTATGTTTAAGAAGAAAGTGCATGTTATTGGCAAGCACATTTCCTTTCCTTAATATTTGTATGTCGAAAGTTTATGTTATATTTCAAGGTTGTTACACGTGATTTGTGACGTAGCTATCATATAAAACTCAAATTTCTGTATGCTACAGATGTGCATTTCTTTTTCAATTTAATAATCTTGTCTTATTATATTGTGTATGTACAAATAACTGTATGGGTGAATTGATTTCGATAATTTACTCTATAAAGCAATTTAAACACTTCGATAATACTGTTACATACGTGTATGTATCTATGATAACAGATAATGTGAGAAAACCGTCATGTGTAGGGAAAGTGATCTCCCCTTGTGTCAATCTGCGTCAGTAATTTGGTGATATGATTTAGAGGTTCCGGTCCTGCTGTTGGTGTGTGTTAATGTGTACACAGTCGATTCGTTGTTCTTTTTAATAAAGGATCGACTAGGTCATAATTGTTGCTGTGAATACAAGGATTTACACTAAATATATATAGTTACCTAGCCAAGGGTGTTTATCACTAGATACTTCTCATCAAGGGTAGCACATTTTTGTGATATGATTGTCTCAGTAGTGTAAAAATGAAATTCGTCTTAGTTACAAGGAAAAATGATCGAAGAATTTTCGCTACTTTTCACATAAAAAATTGTTATCAATTTCACTCGTGTCAGTCTAGAAATTAACCATAATAATGCATGTGGTGTAAAGTCATAAAGATGTCTTATGTCTTTCTTAATCCGTATTCGGAGTAAGTATATATCTGCTTGTTTTGTGTGAGGCTCGATTTTTTAATAACTGGATTCAAACGACAAGAACAAACTGTGATAAGTTGTACGTCATTACTGGTTAGCATTGTCATTATAGGTAATTCAAGTTATGATTGCGACACCAGGTGCGACTAACAATTTCACTGAAATTGGAGCATATGATTGGTTTGTGCTTGCAGCACTCCGCTACCCGTTTCGGTCGAGTGGTAGTGTTTGCGCGATCAATTTAAGGAAAATTTGAGTGAAAGGAGATCGTCATTAAGGAGAATTTTCCGAGACTTCACTGAATCTGTACACGCCCGTGGGATATTTTTATTTTACACAATACTTATGTTGGTCTCTTACATTTTGTTTAATCATATGACATCATCGCCAGTCTAATTGGAGTAACGACTGTCATCTCACAATGAAAACAATACATTGGGTGTTTATTACACTATTACGTATCTAGCCTCGGGCAGCTTTATCGTCGAGTGAATTTAAAAGGAACTTGTAAACCTTACAAATCACCGACTAAGCTTGTTTGTGCGTTGTCAAGGTGCAAAGCTATATACATAGCCGAGAGGTTCCGGAAGACTATTGAATTTTACCTGTGTGTAGATACAGGTAGATAGAGCCCGAGAGTTGATTTTAAAGTGTGTTGTGTTATAGAATTAGATCAATACACACGGGCCTGTCACGATGTCGGATTCAGTTACGGGATAGGAAATTTCTGTGAAGTTGACGAAATAGGTCATAAAACGAAAGCAGGACACATTGGATTTGGAAATACCCGTGTGTTTTAGGGCTTTAAAGTAGCCATTGTGACGGGTCTCCGCCTGATGAGGAGGACCAGACAGGACAGGACCCGCTGGAAATGGTACACGCCGGCTACAACTTATCGATATACGATGATTCAACGGAGGTACAGAAGCGAGGAGGATCCCCTCAACATCACTTCGATGACGACGACGACGACGATGGTATGACAATTACTTTAATTATATTGTAGACGATCTTGGTGGGGTCTACACTGCGTTTTTGTTTTTGAGTGAGGGAGCGGTTTTTATCTTAGACTAGTAAATCGACTTTTATGTCACGATGTAGAACCAGGATAAAAGTGTCAAAGGGCGACCCGTATTATCATGCGTTACTTATGGCGAAGACTTATTCTGAATGAGTTTATTTATAGCTGTGTAACAAAGGGACTATAACCTCCATAAAGACATGATGGATCGCATGTACACTACACTTAATTAACATTCTCTGTAGAAAACCATGTATGTTGAGAGAGAGAGAGAGAGAGAGAGAGAGAGGGAGAGAGAGAGAGAGAGAGAGAGAGAGAGAGAGAGAGAGAGAGAGAGAGAGAGAGAGAGAGAGAGAGAGAGGGGGGGGGGGGGGGGGGGGAGGGAGGGGGACCGGGAGGTGTGCACGGAACAGAAAATGTTTTCTATAAAAACGAAATGGTTTGAATGGAAGTGTGTACCGTATAAAGACGGAGCGATCCTTTTGCCCTGTCGAATCATTTCTGTTCTCCTAACTCGTTCTTCATTACAATACCTCCACCCCCCCCCCGCAACTCACTCCGTTTGCTTGCTCTACCGACTCTCTTAACCTCAAAACTCGGTCCTCTTGTTCTGCCGACTCATTCATATCATCCTCCTGACTCATTCGTGTTCTCTTGACCCATTCCTCTTACCCTCCAGACCTATTTCTCTTACCCTCCCAACTCATTCTTCTTGCTTTCCCCCTTCATTCGTGTTCTCACGACTCGCTCCTTGTACCCTCCCGACTCATTCCTCTTTTTCCCGATTCATTTCCCTTACCTTCTCGACTCATTTCTCTCACCTTTCCTACTAATTTCTCTTAACCTTCCATCTCATTTCTCTTGACCTTCCGACTCTTCTCACTTTACCTCCCGACTCATCTCTCTTTACCTCCCGACTCATCTCTCTTTACCTCCCGACTCATTTCTCTTGTTTTGCCGATTCATTTCTCTTGTCTTCTTGACTCATTTCTCTCCCCCTTCCTACTCCGTTCTCTTGTTCTGCCAACGCATTCGTATCTTCTGGACTCATTTGTATCTTCTCGACTCGTTCGTACCTTCTCGACTCATTCGTATATTCTCGACTCATTCGTACCTTCTCACCTTCTCGACTCATTCGTACCTTCTCGACTCATTCGTACCTTCTCACCTTCTCGACTCGTTCGTTCTTTCTCGACTCATTCATACCTTCTCACCTTCTCGACTCGTTCGTACCTTCTCGACTCATTCGTATATTCTCGACTCATTCGTACCTTCTCACCTTCTCGACTCATTCGTACCTTCTCGACTCTTTCGTACCTTCTCACCTTCTCGACTCGTTCGTACTTTCTCGACTCATTCGTACCTTCTCACCTTCTCGACTCGTTCGTACTTTCTCGACTCGTTCGTACCTTCTCGACTCATTCGTACCTTCTCACCTTCTCGACTCGTTCGTACCTTCTCGACTCATTCGTACCTTCTCGACTCAGTCGTACCTTCTCGACTCATTCGTACTTTCTCGACTCATTCGTACCTTCTCGGCTCATTCGTACCTTCTCGATTCATTCGTGTTCTCTCGACTTATTTCTCGTGCTCTCCCGACTCATTCCTCTCATTCTCCTCACTTATTTCTCTGCTCTCATCCTCCTCACTTATTTCTCTGCTCTCATCCTCCTCACTTATTTCTCTGCTCTCGTCCTCCTCACTTAATTTTCTGCTCTCATCCTCCCCGCTTATTTCTCTGCTCTCATCCTCCTCACTTATTTCTCTGCTCTCATCCTCCTCACTTATTTCTCTGCTCTCATCCTCCTCACTTATTTCTCTGCTCTCATCCTCCTCACTTATTTCTCTGCTCTCATCCTCCTCACTTATTTCTCTGCTCTCATCCTCCCCGCTTATTTCTCTGCTCTCATCCTCCTCACTTATTTCTCTGCTCTCATCCTCCTCACTTATTTCTCTGCTCTCATCCTCCCCGCTTATTTCTCTGCTCTCATCCTCCTCACTTATTTCTCTGCTGTTACCCTCCCTACTTATTCTTCTTTTTCTCCCGAAATGAAATTTTATTCAAAGTTTACAAAATGAACACCACTGTGACTGCGTCGTCATACTGACCTTTGGCTGAGTGTTCGGACATTATCTGATAAACGACAACAATTGACCTACAGCAAACAATGCTGAATTCTTCAATTCAAAGACACCGGGCAATAAATTGTAATAGAAAACGATTTCAGCACGACTTGAAGATTAGGGTTTCATCATAAATTCGTGTTAAGGACCAGTCGGAGAGTACTTTCCCCGGTATATACACATAACATATACCTGGCATACACCGGAGTCAATCACAACCTCACAGACAGTTATATGCACACCGTTGGATAAGTAACCATTAATATTTCAGACAAGTATCGATCCGAATTCAGCGATTTAGTCTGTTAACAAACATCCGTCGAGCTCACTTGATCGAGATTAAGATGATGTGGAAATATATGTCAATACTGGCATATAATAATAACGATGATATAATGCGTTCACTAACTTATATTATACCCACACCACTAATTTATATTATACCCACACCAGTAACTTATATTATACCCACACCATTAACTTATATTATACCCACACCAGTAACTTGTATTATACCCACATCACTAACCTATATTATACCCACATCACTAACTTATATTAACCCACATCACTAACTTATATTATATCCACACCACTAACTTATATTATACCCACATCACTAACTTATATTATACCCACACCATTAACTTATATTATACCCACACCACTAACTTATATTATACCCACACCAGTAACTTATACTATACCCACATCACTAACTTATACTATACCCACATCACTAACTCATATTATACCCACACCACTAACTTATATTATACCCACACCATCAACTTATATTATACCCACACCACTAACTTATATTATACCCACATCACTAACTTATATTATACCCACATCACTAACTTATATTATACCCACACCGTTAACTTATATTATACCCACACCGTTAACTTATATTACACCTGTCTCATTATTTATTAAGAATGCACCTATATTCGTTCAATTTCAAACATACATAAAGCTACATGGTTTCCTTGTCATCACATTAAATATTCATAGGTGAAAGTTCAAATATATAATTTATGTTTCATGGCGAGATACCTAGTGACACCTACATCTGGTAACTTATAACCTATCTAAGGGCGTTTGTCGTCCCACGCTCCACTACCCTTACATACAAGTGCAATTTTTACATTTCGTGTAATTATCAGTTACTATTTTCGTGTTTAATTGTTTTATTTCAGTTGAGCCACAGGCCGGATTATGCTGTTTGGGAGGATGTCTGACCGGAACTTCTCTTTGCCTTCTTCTGGTTATCATATTTCCTGCCGGTAGGTGTCTCTAAACTGTATGTCATCCGTATATGTTCTATTCTGTCTGAATGGTAACATAAATATATATATATATGACGTCATATATCAGGTACCGTAGTTTGGGCAACATCTCGTACGTTCTGCGATCTCTACTTCTTGTGAAACACCTCCTTATGATCTACAAACCGTCCCAAGTAGGGTTTGGACCTCACACCTCGTAATCTACAAACCGTCCCAGGTAGGGTTTGGACCTCACACCTCGGAATCTACAAACCGTCCCAGGTAGGGATCGTACCTTACACCTCGGGATCTACAAACCATCCCAAGTAGGGTTTGGATCTCACACCTCGGGATCTACAAACCGTCCCAGGTAGGGTTTGAACCTCACACCTCGGGATCTACAAACCATCCCAAGTAGGGTTTGAACCTCACACCTCGGGATCTACAAACCATCCAAAGCAGGGTTTGGACCTCACACCTCCGGATCTACAAACCATCCCAAGTAGGGTTTGAACCTCACACCTCGGGATCTACAAACCATCCCAAGTAGGGTTTGGACCTCACACCTCGGAATCTACAAACCGTCCCAGGTAGGGATCGTACCTTACACCTTGGGATCTACAAACCGATCCAGGTAGGGTTCGGACCTCACACCTCAGGATCTACAAACCGTCCCAGAGAGGGATTTAACCTGAATCCTTGGTGTCTACAAATCGACCTGACCCAGCGGGATTAACAAACCGACCCAGGACCTTTACCAGATGTTGCGTGGTTCCAAAGTCACAGAACCGATAGGGTCATAATGAATGACCGTTTGACTCTCAAAGTAATCATATGATTATGATAAGCTAAGAAAAATGTCCTATAATTTACACCCAAGCTCGGAATTACACAGTATATATAACTTAAGCATACCCTGTACAATGCGAAAACTAAAGCCGTTTATGTGTATTCAAAGTATATTTGCGTTCAGAAATAGCTTCACAGCTGTGTTAGCTGTCACAGCTGGTCCTGTAATATTTAACAACTTATAAAGACATGAAAGAGCGGCCATTATAGATACTTGGTGTATAACAGTTTATAGATTTATGGTCTTGTGTGTCTGTTGTGTTTTACGTCGTGCGGATGTATTTCGCAGTATCTGATGTTTGGTGTGATCTTGGTGCCACGTCTAAACCATCTTGTCTACCGACCATCACGGGGACTATTTTTAACGACTTATGTAAATTAATCAACAAACACACTATATTTGGGATCGGAAAAGAAGTTTAAACCTAACACAAAGACCTTTGAGATTGCCTTTCTATATTCTGAACTCCGCGTCTATTTATTTTGTAAATGATTAGCCTAATTGCCTTTGGTTTGCGTCAAATTATTTAATTTTATATTGGTGAAAATGACTGAAGCACACTATGCGAGTTACTAGTTATAGGGCCAATTTTACCGATACCGACCTATGTTTTATGAACAGGAGATTCAGTTGATACAAACACAAGACTGTTTAATAATTTTAACCAATATATGTTGTTATTTTAAATAGACACGGAAGGAACCATTTGTGATGAAAACTTTCATTTTAGTGGCAATGAAAGCTTTCAGCTTTTTAAAAAAAATACATGCACGCACAGTGGAAGCCTACATGTACGGTGTTCTGTATAACTTCAAATTGATCTACCCTTTAACATGCGTTTGTAACAATAGGCAGACCATAAAACTTCGCGTCGCTGGGTACGGCATATGGCGACCAAATCAAAATATTCACAGCCAGAGATGGCTTGGGAACTAGATTACTAGTAGGTAACAAAATTGATTTATTCATCAAACACGACACAAACTCAGTGATACGATCATTGTAATTGTCATCATGGGAATTCGTCACGTGATAAACTGGGGTACATAAGTAGATTTGACGGAAATAATTTCAGAATGACTAATAAAACAAAGATAACCGAAAGGGATTTCTTCCTGTTGTCTAATCGACATGATATGTCGTGCTCATGTGATATTAAAAGATGATTTAATATTCAATATGTTACATCTCCAGATGTTATAAAGCTATGATGATCAATACGTCTTGTTTATGTTATAAACCGGAATTTTACAGGCCAATGTAGTTTGTCCTTGGCAATATGTCATTATAACGATATTTAATGTGAGTTTTAAAGGGCAATATAGTTTTACTGGGCAGTATATCGTGTTAAAGCTATAAACCGGAAGTTCACTGAGCAATATAGTTTTACTGGGCAGTATATCGTGTTAAAGCTATACACCGGAAGTTCACTGAGCAATACAGTTTTACTGGGCAGTATATCGTGTTAAAGCTATAAACCGGAAGTTCACTGAGCAAAACAGTTTTACTGGGCAGTTGTCGTGTTAAAGCTATAAACCGGAAGTTCACTGAGCAATACAGTTTTACTGGGCAGTATATCGTGTTAAAGCTATAAACCGGAAGTTTACTGGGCATTATATCGTGTTAAAGCTATAAACCGGACGTTCACTGAGCAATACAGTTTCACTGGGCACTATATCGTGTTAAAACTATAAACCGGAAGTTCACTGAGCAATACAGTTTTACTGGGCAGTATATCATGTTAAAGCTATAAACCGGAAGTTCTGTGAGCAATATAGTTTTACTAGGTTATAGTTCGTGTTTATAATATTATCGGGATCTTCCTTGACAATATATAGTTTGTTTATTGACCAATACATTAGTGTGTTTCTTTGGTGTTTATGGTTTAATGGTTAATGTGTTGTATGTAGATGTAATAGATCTCTTTGGTTAAGAAGCCGTGTTTATCAAGATGTTATAAATCGATGTTAATCTGGTTAATTTGCAATATTTTATGGATATTATAAATCGATATTTAACATGTTTTATTTCACAATTAGATGTTATAAACCAATATTTACATATTATATGTCACAATTAGATGTTATAAACCAATATTTACATATTATATGTCACAATTAGATGTTATAAACCAATATTTACATATTATATGTCACAATTAGATGTTATAAACCAATATTTTACATGTAATATGTCACAATTAGATGTTATAAACCGATATTTTACATATTATTTGTGAAAATCAGATGTTATAAACCGATATTTCAGTTAATATGTAGTCTTTGAATATCAAGCGCACTACAGCCCTCGCTTTCCAATTTACATTTATGAACCTTTATGTGTAATTTGTGTTAAATGTGTTACGAACCATTGTTTTTACTGAATTTTAGATTATTTTTTATTATACAGACCGATGATAACTGGTTAAAGTATAAGTTTGGTACCATGTGTTATTAACCGATGCCGGTGTTATAAACCATTGTTTTACTAAGTACTAGGTTATGTTTAATAACACAGACCGATGATAACTGGTTAAAGTATAAGTTTTGTTCCATGTGTTATTAACCGATGCCGGTGTTATAAACCATTGTTTTACTAAGTACTAGGTTATGTTTAATTACACAGACCGATGATAACTGGTTAAAGTATAAAGTTTGGTTCCATGTGTTATTGACCGATGCCGGTGTTATAAACCATTGTTTTACTAAGTACTAGGTTATGTTTAATTACACAGACCGATGATAACTGGTTAAAGTATAAGTTTTGTTCCATGTGTTATTAACCGATGCCGGTGTTATAAACCATTGTTTTACTAAGTACTAGGTTATGTTTAATTACACAGACCGATGTAACTGGTTAATGTATAAGTTTTGTTCGACGTGTTATTAACTGATGCCGGTGCTATAAACCATTATTCTACGAGTTTAGTCCTGATTGTTTGATGGTCGTTGATATAAACTGATTCCTCTATTTCCATACCGACAGTGGGCGGCTATATCAGCTACACTATTTGTGTTTATTTATCAACTCATCGATCGTTATATACATATTCTGAGAATTGATAGAGTTCCTTATATTATGGATATTACATTCATTACTATCCGTCATTACTGGATCAATGTAACCAACACGCTTGGGAAGCAGAATGGTACAGACTAAACTCAGACTGCAAGTCAGTAGGCTGTAGTCTTTTCAGTGATGTCTACAATTCTAATAAACATCAGGGGTTCGATAATGTTCGGTAAATCACCACCGACTTGTATGATATAATCAATATTATTGTCCCAAGCATATACACTGTTTTATCAGCCCTGGTCTAACTATGTACTTTAGCAGTGATTTAGTTCACGGTCACGATAAAAGGCAAATAAATTGAACCGGGTAACTATTCAAAACTAAGCGTAAGACAAGAGATATATCTGCGAATTGTGTATGTCACGAGGACACACCGCAGCACGAGACTACTTCAGATTAAGTAGCAAAGGAAACAATGTAAATTTTGGACTTAATATGAAATTTGTCTGTTTCAGGTATTCTACTGTCGATATATGCTACAAATAACAACCAGTACGATGTTTTGGCAGCTGGTATTATTCTGGTCGCCTTTCCCGTCATCACCATCCCCATAGTGATAGCAGTTTATCTCAACAGACGACAGATCATGCGCATCCGGAAGCGGAAGGTCGCTGACGGCAAAAGTAAAGAGAATGCTAGGAAATACTGACATCACCAATCCAAGGATAGTTCAAGATGACGCGGAAATCCTCCCTTGTAATCTATGAAATTAAGGGAATTTAGAGATACGTCATAACAAGCGTTTGTACACGTTCTAGTGTAAGTTATTGTTGAGATGTAAATATTTGTTATTTATTTGACTGCTCATAGAATGTGCCAAATATTTTTGTTATCTGTTAAGGATACAATGAATTCATCAATGTATGCACTGTGTCAACAACTACAAAGATTCTATGATATGATCAGATCTGTATGCTGACTCGGTTATTAACGGACCGGAGACGATAGATTGTGTTGTCCTCGAATCCTTCCGTATCGATCGCGTGGTGATACCCGTTGTCAGGTGCCCGTCTACTTACAGCATGGCAACCCGTGATGACTAAATGGCGATGCTATTATCGGAGAGATATTCATTGTTCTTATATTACACTCCACTTGTGATCCCGATGTTTAAATCTGTATTAATTACGTTTTGATAAATCTATAATGATGTTGATGTTGCATTTTGTTACGTTCCCTTCTAATCGTTACCCCTCGTTAGTTGTCGTTTGAAGTAATGGACACTACATCCGGGTTAATCAGTGTAAGGTTTCTGTTACACTGTAACTTTAAGGACTGGACGCTACATCCGGGTTAATCAGTGTAAGGTTTCTGTTACACTGTAACTTTAAGGACTGGACGCTACATCCGGGTTAATGAGTGAGAGGTTTCTGTTACACTGTAACTTTAAGGACTGGACGCTACATCCGGGTTAATGAGTGAGAGGTTTCTGTTACACTGTAACTTTAAGGACTGGACGCTACGTCCGGGTTAATCAGTGTAAGGTTTTCTGTTACACTGTAACTTTAAGGACTGGACGCTACATCCGGGTTAATGAGTGAGAGGTTTCTGTTACACTGTAACTTTAAGGACTGGACGCTACATCCGGGTTAATGAGTGAGAGGTTTCTGTTACACTGTAACTTTAAGGACTGGACGCTACGTCCGGGTTAATCAGTGTAAGGTTTTCTGTTACACTGTAACTTTAAGGACTGGACGCTACATCCGGGTTAATGAGTGAGAGGTTTCTGTTACACTGTAACTTTAAGGACTGGACGCTACATCCGGGTTAATGAGTGAGAGGTTTCTGTTACACTGTAACTTTAAGGACTGGACGCTACATCCGGGTTAATGAGTGAGAGGTTTCTGTTACACTGTAACTTTAAGGACTGGACGCTACATCCGGGTTAATGAGTGAGAGGTTTCTGTTACACTGTAACTTTAAGGACTGGACGCTACATCCGGGTTAATGAGTGAGAGGTTTCTGTTACACTGTAAATTTAAGTATGAAAACTTGTATTGTCGCAGTAATTATAGTTAGTTACTTTGTTTAAAGAGGATTTATCTTCAACTGCTTCTAGTTTAAATAAGTTCACAAACTCTGTCCCTTCATCAGTATGTTTCTCTGTTTACAATTTGACATTACGCTTTCGTTTTCCACTTTTTAAGCTGTGCCCTCTGTGTTTAATCATAAAGAACATTCCATATTTACCTATTCAAGTCTCTGTCTCACTTTTTAAATTATTTTTATTATTATTATTCTCTTTATTACCTCCAAAACTAAGAGTACAAAAGAAATGGAACATGTAATTCAAAACATTGAGAACATATCACCACGATTACATAATAGACAATACATTTGTACCTTACATACACGTGTGTACATACAAAGACGATGAAATCCACAATTTCGAAGCTTATTTAGGTTTGTATTGTCGTCCTTCCATCAAGCTATCACACACATGGAACTGACATGTTTTTGATAATACTTGTTAATGATACGAGATTAAGGATATGATGACAGACATTTTATTGTGTGCATAATTTTATCGTGGTATCAAGGCGAGCGAGAATTGTTAAATTTCTAGTCTGTGTAATGTTGACATTACTTACAGAATTATTTTTATGAATGAAGCATTTTAATATTTGTTAGAAATACCAAAGGATTGAATTGGTCCGATTTAGTTACACGTATATCGTGAACCTTTTCGTGCGGAGCATCATGGGAAGGTCGTGATCTGGCTAGTTCTTCGGTTCTGTTAGACGTAATTAGAGTGGCATTAAGGAATTTTTTGAGTGATTGTGTTAAGTATGATATTTAGGAGCCGTTGTTATGACTGAGTACAAAGAGTTCTAATTATGCAATATCTATATATATTTTTTCTATATTTCTGCCTATTGTTGTAGTCAACAGATACTTAGCTGTATATTTTGCCGATACATAGTCTGGCCTTTTAACATATTGTGTGCGAACTTTTCAGCTTATGATTTATCTGATTTGACTAAAGTTGAGCGTACATTTTTTATTGACGAAGTGTAAACATACATTTTATTTTACTTAATGTTTATCACCGATGTTATTTGATGACCAATTTTCTGACATTATATAAATGGAATCTCGTGTGCAATGGGTTTAAACCCCTAGTAACTACCCCTCCCCCTCCCACCCACACTTTATTGCTTATAATGGATAAAAATGTTCAGAGCCAACACTATTGATGATAAAGTCAATATGATAAACGAGATCAGTGATATATCAGGCTACCAAGAATCTCCACCCATTATAAAACACATCTGTAACCAAATTGATCCTATGTAATAAACATTGTCTAGTTTTCAATCACTACCTCTCTGTGATTTCTCATTACCTCCAATCAGAAGTCAAATTCTACTAAACAACCAACAATTTAACCAATAAAAACGCTCGAAACATATCAGTCCGTTTAATTCTTATGATAGAATGTTTTCTATTGGTTAGTCCCGACGGGACGTTACGCAAGGCTGTGTTACCCCAATGTGTTTATTCTGGTCTATTGACTATCATCAGTCCTTGATGTGTAATAGCGAGATATTTCCAAGTTATTGAATTAAACTTTTTAACAGTTTTTCATTTGTTGTTTATTTATTTGCTTACTTAATTATTGCTGCGTGATCTCTGTAGTACGTATATATATATATATATCACAATGTGCTGTAATAGTAGCGTCACAAAGCTTCCGGGTTTATCTTTATAAAGACAAATGGAGGGACACTAAGACTTCCAAATACATATTTGATACATTCAGGAGACAACTTGAAAATAATGACTTAAAATGTAGTATTAATGATTTAACAAGAAGAAATATGAACAAGAAGTTGAATGTGCCGAGAATACAAGAGAAATACCAACATATTGTTTGAAGTATATGTAAACAGCGTCAAAGCAATATGTAGAGTGTCTGGGTAGTAACAACGCACCATCAGACACACTGACAAGCACTGGACACGCCTATGGTCACGTTACACTAGATAATACAAAGTTTCTTGATGAAATAGTGATAACTTCCATAAAATATTATCAGTCAATCTGCATATATATATATATCTACCACAGATATTATTGTAAGTGATCTTAGAATGGCGAATTGACTGTGATATGTTAATATCATAGAAGCATGCATATGTTAATAGAAATGGTAAGTTCACAACAGGTATTTTGAAGGTAAGTTTGAAAAGTTCACAACAGGTACTTTGAAGGTAAGTTAGGAATGTTCACAACAGGTATTTTGAAGGTAAGTTTGGAAAGTTCACAACAAGTACTTTTAAAAACCTTGGAGGCGATTGAGGGAAATAAAAAATGAAACGAATGTCGAAACAAGATAGTGAGATTTATTAGTCCCACAATTTCAAAAATCTATTTAAAATACGTGTATCTAATAGGTATATTCTGAACCGTGACATGCAGGTTACGAAAACATCACAACACAACATATCAATTTCATTTTTGAATAATTGCTATCTTCAAAGAAGATACATTATATTACGTAAGCAAGTGATGTTAACAAAATCGGTACTAGGACCTCTTTATCAACCTAGGCGTATACTCTCCAATGAATTATCGATTATCCATGTATCATGGATGAGAGAATGTACTTATCTTCCTGACCACAATGTCTGAACAAGGTCATCTATTGCAGTTATGGAATTAAAATTATTTTACAAAAACACACCAGCGAATTAGACTGTAATGTCTTCATATTTCACATTCTAATGTTTGATCATGTGACTAGTATTATTTCATATTTGTATATCTGTATATAGGGAGAGGCCACTTTTAAGTTGGTAAAACTTACTGACCAACTCTTCTCACATCGTAATATGACAATAAAATATTCTTAAACAAATACAGAAATATTTCGATGGAAATCTAGACCTAAAAAGACAGAGCCAAAATGAATTAAATAATATAAGGAGAATGAGACCATGTGTTTCAGAAGGGTTAGCGTTACATTCAAGTTATCCACTATAAAACATTGCAATATAGAGTTGCGAGCACGCTTATCAACTAATTATTGACAACGAGACAGAGTCGACCTCTCAGACAACTTCACACATTTACCGCGAGCCTCAGCAGTTTTCTCGTGCTGTGAATAAGGTGAAACGTTTGTTACACTGTATAAAAAACAGACAAATCTTTATAATGAGGCGAGCATGATCAATATAACGTCTGAACTAATGGAATTTATACTAGGAATTGTGTATATAGGGGAAGGGAGACTATTCCAAGAATTTCACAAAAAATACTTGGTATTGCCTGGTAACGGATTTGTACAAGTATCCCTTATTCAACCAGGATATAAGAAATAGCTACAGGTATGTAATCTAATCTACTTTTGTACAACACACCTTTTTTTTAAGAATATAAAAATAAAACCAAGTATGAATTACCACGGAATATAAATGATAACTGCTACCAAAACCTCGTACACGGGTAAATCCCTTACACATCCTTCCAAGTAAACGAATATCCCATTCTTACGAATATCTTATATATACACTGTAAACTCCTCTCTATTTGACCGATATATGGTAGTACATTACATCTCCTGAACGCTTCCTACCACTTACAAAAGTGACGAGTCTGACCTCATTAAAACACTACCTGGACATAATTACCGTACAGGTAAGTGTG